CCACCAGTAATAGTTAGCACTTGACCTGCAGGCTAGTTAAGTAGGCTCCCTGCCAACCAGGATGAGGCTGTTCGTAACTCCAACATCAACATATCAAAAACTCCATGTATCAATAGCAACATTCAACATCAACAATAAAAAAGAACAGAGATGTCCCCACGAATACAAGTGCTGTCAGACCTCCATCTAGAAGTCAACAATGAATACAGAACCTTCAGTATACCCGTGGCAGCCCCCTTTCTCGTCCTCGCCGGTGATATCGGCCAACTGATCGACTACGAGGACTATCTGCACTTCCTCAGCGTTCAGTGCACCCAGTTTCAACACGTCTATTTGGTCCTTGGGAACCATGAATTCTACGGCCTCTCACGACAAGACGGACTCAAGCTGGCTGCGCGTCTCGAACAAGAGGCACAACTCCACGGCAAACTAAGCATACTCAACCGTACCCGCGCTGAACTGCCTGGATCTCCCAACATCATCCTACTAGGCTGTACGCTGCAGTCTAGAATACCCCCTGAGTCCGTCGACGCAGTATCCGGTCGCGTCAGGGACTTTCAACGTATACTCAACTGGTCTATTGCAAATCACAACGCAGAGCATACCCGAGATACAGAATGGCTAGCAGACCAAATCAAGTCTATCAACGACGAGAAGAAAGATGCTACTATAATGATCATCACGCATCATGCCCCTTGTATTCGGGAGAGCAGCAGGCCAGACCAGGTAGACAATCCGTGGACGTGCTCTTTTGCCACGGAGCTATTTGATAAGGCTGCTGTCTTTTCTCAGGTGCAGTTCTGGGTCTTTGGACATACGCATTACACTACCAGCTTCGTCAAAGAGGGAGTCAGACTTGTAAGCAACCAGCGAGGATATCCTCATACTGGCAGTGCTGTAGCAAAGGGAGCTTCCATGTCTTCCCATGACTTTGACGTCAACAGGACTATAACACTGGATTAAGCATCGAATCTTAACCACTCTTCAACTCTCCTTCTACTTTCTCTACCCTTCTACCCTCCTACTATTCTTCTTCTATCCAACTCCTCTACTTTTTCTCTTCTTTCCCCTGGATCCTCCTTTCTGCTTTTTGATGCCAAGCGTTGACTACACGTGACTGGGGCTTCTCCGTCTTGCCCTAAATCTTGGCGCGCACTCGAACTTTTTGATTTTTCTTTTTGTTTTTTCTCCAGCTTCAACTTTTTGCTCGAACTTCACCAAGAACGACAAGACACGCGGTCAACTTCTTCAACTTCGCCCATTCTATCAGCTCGAGGTATGTGATCGGATCCTTTGCTTTACTCGCTCGAAATGCCCTTTGGCTAGCCTGGGGAAAGGCAATCATCATGATCGGGCTGCAGCGAGGCCCGTCTTCATGATGATACGCATTTCCTCTGTACCCACGGCACGGGCTGAAGAACCCTCTTCTGCTTCATCAATTGCTCTGAAAAACGAGCCGGTTGGCGAGCAGAAGTCATGAAAAGGGCACTCTTTGCGCTCGGAAAAGGCTGCTGAAGGCTAACTCGGTCCATCCTGGTCTCTTTTTTATCTCCTCCCGCCTTGCCTGAGCCCTCCCGTTATGCAGGACGGTAACGGCAAGACGGAGAGAAGATAAAAAGGACTTGGGAGTTTCTACAATAGATACCTCATCTCCAAAACACAATCCGTTTTCGATTTGAGAATCTCAGTTCTTCAATACCGCCAAAATGGTCAAGACTAGTGTTCTGAACGATGCGCTCAACGCCATCAACAACGCCGAGAAGGCCGGCAAGCGTCAGGTCCTCATCAGACCCAGCTCCAAGGTCATCGTCAAGTTCTTGTCCGTCATGCAGAAGCACGGTAAGCCACCACGACTACTTCTACTGCTGCAATTTTCCTTGCTTCAGCACTGCTTTCCCTCCCGTATCCCTGTTCTATCTCCCCATTCGGGCTGATAACTAGGCGGTTGTTTCGATTTTAAACCCACTCTACAACGTCCGCCCTTTAAGTGTCCGATATATTGAAATATTCCATATTGGCGAAGATCTTACAAGTTTCCTGTCTTGCAAAGCTCGTCTTTGTTGCTCCATGATTTGCAACGTTTAATTCATCGTCACAGCACTTACTGATCATTCTTCTTTCCAGGCTATATTGGTGAATTCGAGGAGGTTGACGACCACCGTTCCGGCAAGATTGTCATCCAGCTCAACGGCCGGTTTGTACCCCAGACAGACCCTGAATATATTTAGTCGAATAAGCTACTGACAACAAGAACAGCCTGAACAAGACCGGTGTCATCTCTCCCCGCTACAACGTTCAGCTCCGTGAGCTCGAGAAGTGGGTTGTCCGTCTGCTGCCATCTCGTCAGTTCGGATACATCGTCCTCACCACCTCTGCCGGTATCATGGACCACGAGGAGGCCCGTCGCAAGCACGTTGCCGGAAAGATCATCGGTTTCTTCTACTAGACCCTGATACTTGTGGCCTCATGACAAAAAAAATAATAAAAGTGTTTAATGCACCTGGCGGGGATACCATGGCGTTCCTTTTTCGTTCTAGGGCTGAGCGGGCGCTATACATTCTATACTACGACGTAACGATGTATTAGTCTGAGCAATCTGCTTTTTGATTAGATAGTGAGAGGCAATATTCGCACTCCATCTAGATATTGAATGCTATGGTCATCCCTTGTCATATCCGTCTAATATCCCAGTAAGGTCTACATTATAACCACAGATCTATCGGGTATCTATTATCCAAATAAACCTCTAGACGTCAAAGCTTGGTCGATGCGCTGGAAATATCATTCCTCGACCCGGAGTCCTCTACCACCCCTGAAGAAGGCATTGAATTAAAATCCTCTTCGCCATGAAAGTGCCTAGTGCAATTATCCGTTAGCAGTGAAATAGCAGCAACAGTTGGCGTAGTTAGAAACCACACATACCATCCCCGTTCGGCCCCATTACTTAGATACCTGCACTCCCCATTCACTACACAATCCCAACCGCCTCTAATGCCCTTACCACCGCGCCAGATAGGCGCCGCCCTGCCGGAAACCGAGCCGGGTTCATCGAGACCCCTATCTCCCAGTGCACGTCTCTTAAACGTACTCATTCCCGCCGTAAACACCTTAAAGTCATCCGTAGACGAATCCTCGGGCATATTCCCCGTCAACGCTCGCCCCATAGCGATCAATGGCGCCGCATGTCCACATATGATAATCGCATGGCTTTTCCCAACGGACTCCGGGTGCGTTCGTTCGTATTCTTGTATCTCACGGTCTACATCCGCTACTATGGCGTTCAGAGCGGTTGCAATTCGGTCATGAAGTTGAGCAATTGTCTCCCCGCTCGGGTTGGGGTATACGTGGGCGGTATACGATGTGTCGATAAGCGACGGGAATAGAGGGTCCAGGTCGTTAACTGATGCCGGTGAAGGGTGTGTAAACGAGGATGAGTGTCCAAACCATTCCCTACAGCAACGTCAGTAGTTGAGCTTATATTGTAGACATGCGAAATGGAGAGCACATACCCAAGGCCATTCTCTACCCGCACACGCAAATCAGCATTCCCCTTCTTCTCCAGCACCCTCAGCGCCTGTACTGTCGGCTGTATAGTCTGTAAACAGCGGTAGAACGGACTGCTGTATATCCTGCACGGCTTTGGCTGGAACTCGGCGCTGCTCACATACGATGCAAGTTCATGCGACTGCCTCACGCCGGGCCCAGTCAGCGTCGGATCGACAGGTATTCCGGTTGGAGTAGGGTAATGGGCATGGTAAGTCCCTGTAGATAGATCTATGGACCAGTTCAGACGAAGCTGGGTTGGTTTCGGTTGTTAGGAAAGGAAGACGAAGGTTAGTTATAGTAGTTTGCAAGGGGGGGTACTCATACGCCATGTCTGGTTAAATAGATAGTGTCTAGGGGCATTTGAGGCTAGATTAATGTTGAGTAGAAGATATAGTGCTTTATCGATGCGACGCCTATCACTTTTAACGGCTTTAACGGTTTCATGGGGAAGCGTTGAAGAGATCGCAAATTGATGTCTTGCCAATTTTAATCGCAACTAAATAGTTACCGAGGCCCGCTGGAGCTACCAAAGTTACGAGCAAGAACACTGGGCATTAAGAATAGTGATATTGAAGCCGGGTTGATGTTTGTCTATAAACTGAATCCTTTACAATTTAGGCCTGAAGGAACAGGTATGCTACAGGCCGAAAAGGAAATACTATGCCAGAACGCTGTGGAAGGGTATACATTAATATAACAGGAGAAAAGCCGTGATACTGCACCAAGAAAAGAGAAAGCCAAAGCCAAGTTGTTGCTCGAGAGGACGAGGCGGCTAAAACGAAAAGAAGAAGGGGAAATGAAATATCAAAGAGAATGGCAAATGCCGGAGTCTAATGGCACCTGGGTTGATCTCGCGTTGATAGGAAGAGGGAAGACGGGGTGATGTTCGCTGTGTCGCTAGATCTCCATCGCCTCGACCTATCCGCCATCGGCCTGCTCGCCCGCTGCATTTGGTTCTGCGGCATTCGGGTTCTCCTGCTGGGCAGCTTGTCTTCGGGCTTCCTGCTCAGCACGCTGCTCATTATCACGAAGAGAGTTGATTCCCTGTAGGTCCATAATCTGTCGCTCGCTCACACCAGGGATGAAAGACGAGAAGAACAGAACAATGCCTCGGGCAAGTGCCCTATGCCTTTGCAAAAGCTCTGTAATATAGCTGGGGCCCTCATTTTGTCTTGCACGCTCTGGCTGGGCTGGATCAGGGTTGATGGGTAGTAAGTCATGGATGTGATCTTCAAGAGGGAGGAAGATTGCTCTTCGGACATGTCTAGGAATTTCAACCTCAGAGAGACAGGCCCAGGCGATGGAAAGGATAACAAGGAAGAGGCGGAGCCAGGTTCCAGATTCACTCAAGATGTAGCAGAAGAAATAGAGGCGGATGAACAGCCAGGTTGCCCGTATAGCTCGAATGATGGTAGAGCCTCTAATGACCAGGTGATGTCGAGGAACTCGCATGGCAGGAGTGTTTACAACTGGATGAGGGGCGGCAGATTGCGCCAGATTGTTGTTATTTGTGGCTAGCGGCACAGTTGGTTGTGAGGTTGGCTGGACAGTGTACTGAAATGTTGGCTGCAAGAGTGAAGCTGGGACCGGAGTCAGAGTTGCGAACGTCGGTTGACCCGTATACGGCATCAAGACAGCCTCATATCTCGTTGGAGAGGCTACCAAATACGCAGTGTGGCGAGGTCTTGATGCTGGCCAGGGAATTGTCGCGGCTGTTGCGCCAGTGCTAACGTCCTGATTCCTAAGTCTCCATTGACGAAGCTGCTCTGCGCGGGAGGCCAGATACGATACACGGGTGATCCATCCCTCTATCGCGTGGAGGTTGCGACGATGAGCAGCCATGTATTCAAACAGCCGATTCCGGGCAGCTGATATTTCCTCCGCTTCAGGGACGGCTCCTGCCTGTAGCCGGGCCTCCATGGCAACGATGTCTCGCACTATTTGCGCTATTGGGTTAATCCTGCTCTCCTGCTCTGTTGCTCTCCCAGGTAGTTGGCCATTTACCGTTGGCTGAGTGGGAGGGTAACTCGCGGTGCGATGTAAATGTAAGCGGCTTCCTAGTGTGCCATTGTAGGAACCTTGCTGTTGGAGGAACTGAGAAGGATCTGGTGGTACCTGGGTTTGTGGCCGAGTGTAAGTAGGTGGGTAGTCTTCTGGCAGTATTAAACCCTCATCCCGTGGAGGATCGAAATCTGAAGTGTCCGTGGGGCCACCGCCCAAGCTGTCGATTACTCGTTCCTGCCCTCGTGTAGTTGCAATATTAGTAGGTGCTGAGTCGCTCCCCCACTGGGTAGATGGCGGAGGCAATGCTCTCGTTCGCTCGGCCTCGATGGTATCCTGGAGAAATGTCCTGGGAGTGTTTGGTCGTCGCCCGCTGTTCATGTTTCTGTCGGATGCAGAGATATATGCGTTTGATTGGTGGGATGTAGCCGTCGCCGCCCGAGGGGGCAGTACAAGGTGCATCGAGTATTCCAGTGCCTAGATGGGTCAGTCAAAAGTGTTAGCTGGTGCTTGTAAAAGGTGAAATAGAGTGAAGTGAGCAAACATACCTCAGTTGGCTCAACAATGCGACTTAGCACCTGACTATTGTCTGACAAACATCTCCCTCGATAGATAAGCCGCTGGTTTTCGGGAGGAGGTCTGGTTGACAGCTCCGCCATGATTTTAGCCTTGACTTCTAGCACTGTGGTGGAAAGAGGGAGGTTGTTGAAGGTTATGCGGCGTGGGGAGTCAAATGAAGGTGAGAGAATGTGCAGCACAATGGGCTGGTCATGGCCGTCAGCGGGATCAGGGCCGGACCCCAGGCCTGAAATCGAGGTATCCGTCGTCATCCTGATTCAAAAAAAGAGCAGCAGTCCGCTATCAACAAGGCGTGTATAGCAGCCAGATGGGACGAGTGTTCAGCCTCAGCTCAGAGTGATGTCACAGGCCTGGAACAGCGCAACCCCGCAGAGCAATTACCAGAATAAGTGCATGGTAACGCTGGTTATACCACAGCCTTCCTAGCGCATAAGATAGGTGTGAGTCCGGGCTGTGGATAGTTATCAGATCTGGCTGGCTGGTGTTGGTAGTTTCAGGGTCTGGATGTTTGCTGCTGCTGCTGCTAATAGTGATCTAACCGCGCCGTTAGCCAGTGAGACAAGCAAATCACAAACACAAACTTGTAAACTACCCCAGCTATTGGACAGATAAGCCAAAGCTCGCGCGTCTAGGTAGCAGCAGCCAATACTCACAGCCCTGAAGCAGAGACACAGGAGTAGCAGCCTGAGGGAGACTGGATTCTCAGTTCTGACGGTGTCGAGAGATGCAAAGAGCGAAAGTTGAAGCTGAAAACGAGACGAAAGAACGACAAGAAGTCGTGGATTTCCTAATTGGGCGACGGAGGAGGGCGGATGCGGAAGAATGATAGTCCGGTGATTAGTAAGCTTGTTTTTTCAGGTGATATCAAAAGTTTGAACAAAAAGCAAAGAAGACGAGGAAGAAGAAGAAGCAGCGAAAGGGAAGTTGAATAATTATATCCTTGAAGGCAGGGGAACATAAGGAGCCAAAGAGCGGCTACAGGAAGAGAAGTACTTCTCCGGCTGAACACAGGGACAGCGGTTTATGGGGATTGGAGCTGGCGGGAGGGACCATGTTTAGGCGCATTCCCACGACCAGGGCCAGTCTCCGGCAGGGCTCGAGGGGTGTCTTTACATATGAATTTACAGGAGCCGGAAGCAGTAGGGGATGTCGGTCAGCTGGTGTACGGCGGCAGTTCTCATCATCCAGACATTGGAGAAGCCAGGAAGAGCCCGGAAAGGATGGAAGGGGGTCGTTCTGGTCACGGCTGGGGCCTGCACTCCGCAAGACCAAGATTGAATGGTATCCCATTCCTGTGGGCCTTGGAGTCGCATTTCTCGGACTTGCTCAGTTCTACAAGTCCCATCAGGCTGAGAAACAGAAGATGTTGATGGAGACGGAGCGCGGGGAGCGGCCTCAGGAGGTTGTCCCCCGGCAGCGAGTTCGTCCTACGGGCCCGTGGCAGGTCCAGGTCATGTCTACATTGCCATTGAAGCTCGTTTCTCGCATATGGGGCCGGTTCAACGAGCTTGTATTGCCGTACCCCCTTCGAGTTCCGGGATTTAAGCTGTATTCTTGGATTTTCGGAGTGAACCTGGACGAGGTCGAAGAGACAGACCTTCACGTATACCCGAACTTAGCCTCCTTTTTCTACCGGAGACTGAAACCAGGCGTTAGACCTCTGGACCCCAATCCGTCTGCACTTCTCTCACCCTCTGACGGACGAATCCTTCAGTTTGGAATGATCGAGCGTGGAGAGGTTGAGCAGGTCAAAGGGATGACATACAGCCTGGAGGCACTGCTGGGCCTGGGGACCGTAAGTCCAGACTCGGAGCCCGTCCACCCAACTACTCGGCCCATGCATAAAGTGGACGACGACACCGACCCCGAGAACCTGGCTGCAGACCAAGAGTTTGCTAAAATGAACGGTCTGAGCTATACGCTTCCTACGCTTCTCTCCGGATCCACAAAACATGACGTCAGTAAGGACGGATCAATGGATGTGTCGATGGAATCCAGCTCTACGTCCGAAGAGAAAGTGAAAGCAGATCTGGCAAAGGGAGAACCAGCATGGTATTCGCCGAAACCAACCTCCAACCGAGCACTGTACTACGTCGTGATATACCTCGCACCAGGAGACTACCATAGATTCCACTCGCCAGCGTCATGGGTCGTTGAAAGCCGACGCCATTTCGCAGGAGAACTATATTCAGTCTCCCCATACCTTCAGCGCACCTTAGCGGGTCTTTTCACCCTCAACGAACGAGTTGTGCTGCTGGGTCGCTGGCGCTGGGGATTTTTTAGCTTTACTCCAGTCGGCGCAACCAACGTCGGGTCAATAAAGATTAACTTTGACTCTGAACTTCGCACCAACAGCCTTACAACCGACACTGCTGCTGATCGACAGGCAGCCCTTGCAGCCCAGCGAGGCGAGCCTTACTCCGGCTACACCGAGGCAACGTATGGACACGCCAGCAAGACGCTCCGCGGCCATGCCTTGCAACGAGGAGAGGAGATGGGTGGCTTCCAGCTCGGCAGCTCGATAGTCCTGGTGTTTGAAGCGCCCATGGGCAGTCGCCAGAGCTTCGATGTCTCATGGACTGGTGAACGAGAGGGCGGATGGCAGTGGCATATCAAAAAGGGCCAGCGAATAAAGTACGGCGAGGCATTGGGCGAAGTTGCATAAGAAAGTCATGTTGTGCATGTAATATGGATATTTTGTATACTATCAGCGAGTCCGGCGGTGTTTTCTTTACAAGTTGGTCGTATGAACTGTAGAATAGCCATCTATCTTCTTTTTCTTCTCTTTCATCTCAACTCCTTGACAGTCCTGTCCGCTTAGTCAACTTATGTCTTGGCGCCCGCGATATCAAAGAAATTTTTGTTACTTTATTTGTCGTGCCTTTTTCTGCGCTTCTGACTCCAGAACCAACAACGCGCCCTCAGAGGGAGATAGGAATACTAACTACACTAACCCACGGGCTAGGCTAACTCAAAGCCAGCCAGCCGAGGGACACGCTTCCACTGAGAACTGGGACGCCAGTGCAGCGCCGCCGGCACAAAAGAGCCGTCTGAAGGCACTCCCGAGCCAGGCCCGAGGACGATCCCGCTGCCCTCTACACTTGCAGCAGCGAACATGCCTGCTCGCCTATCGCGGTTCCGTAGCCTGAAAATTCAGTCCGTCATCGTGAAGGATCCTGAAACCTTACAACTCCACGGCCAGTGACATCTATCCTTGCGTCCCGGGTGCCGTCGGAATATGAACTGCCATGCCGCTTGACGTTGGGGCTAGAAACAGCCACCAGGCATCTGAGTCCACGGGTCTCTCCAGGCGAGCTTCTAATTTGCTTTGCGATCCCGATTGCCAAGGGTACGTCACCATGGTGGCCAAGGAGACCCCTTGGCAGGTATCTCCGCCATGGGTTGCCTTGCCACCAGACTGGACGCTCTTTCGCTGCACGGCGGAACTGTGGGGTAGGCGGAGGTCGTATCGGGCAGATTTGAATCTGGACATAGGGCGAGGATTCTTTAGCGAACTGTGGGCGGACGCTTGGCGGGTTCACGCTGATTCGGCGCTGGCCCTGTTGGAATCAACTCCAACGACGGAATCCTGCTCCCAAGAGGAACATATGGAACTTATTTGTGGGTATGAGGGAGGCAAGGCACCTTTTCTCCGGAACAAAGGCTACCTGGATGGAAGTCTACATTATTTAAGAGAATGATGAACCCCCCCCTCCCCTGGCTTATTCCAAGCCTTGCATACATTCCCGCATATCCGGTTCTCACTCGTTCATTGAGTAGAACAGGCTGAACCCTTTTTACCCCGGGATATAGCTATCCATAGTCTAGATAGGACTAAAAGGAATCAACATATATTTGCCAATTCCACTCTCTTATCACAAAGAGTCACTTCGTCTGCGATCATGGGAGAAAAATCTACTGCATCAGGCTCTGGGTCTGGTGGTGTTTCTCTCTCCCATCCAGCCCACTGCCTCACAGCTGATGCAGCAACTCGGGAATTAGCCACCCATCCTGACGATGGCCTTACTGCGCAGGAGGCAAAAGCACGTCTGGACAAGTATGGACAGAACAAGCTTGAGGACGGAGAAGGCGTCTCGGTCGTCAAGATCCTGATCCGTCAAATTGCAAATGCCATGATGCTAGTTAAGCGGCCCATTTCATTTTGTCCCTGTTTACCCCCCCCCCCGATCTAGAAGAACTTTGTTAGTCTGATCCAGTTGCCGGAGTAGGTCCTTATCATGGCCATGGCCGTGAGTTTCGGAATTCAATCTTGGATTGAAGGCGGCGTCATTGCCGCTGTCATCATCCTAAACATCGTTGTCGGGTTCTTCCAGGAATACGCTGCTGAGAAGACTATGGACTCGCTGCGTTCGTTGAGTTCGCCCACCGGAACTGTCTCTAGAGATGGGCAAACTATCGTCATTCCGTCCATTGACATTGTTCCTGGTGATATGATCGAATTAAAAACCGGTGATACCGTTCCAGCTGATCTTCGGTACGTTATTTTCAATTGCAACTTAAATTCTATCTATATTCATTTTTGGCATAGCTAACGGTTTTATGTACGATAGACTTGTTGAAGCAGTAAACTTCGAAACCGATGAGGCTCTGCTTACCGGAGAATCACTCCCTGTTCAGAAAGACTGTGACATGGTGTTCAAAGAAGACGTTGGCCCGGGAGATAGATTGAACATCGCGTACAGTTCGTCTACTGTGACCCGCGGCCGTGCCCGTGGTGTTGTCGTAGCCACCGGAATGAACACTGAGATTGGTTCAATTGCCGCTGCTCTAAGAGCATCAGATAGCAAGCGTCGGCCAGTCAAGCGCGGGCCCAGCGGAGAGACCAAGAAACGGTGGTATGTGCAGGCCTGGGCTCTGACAGGAACTGATGCCGTGGGAAGATTCCTCGGAGTTAACGTTGGAACTCCCTTGCAACGAAAACTCTCAAAGCTAGCTCTGCTTTTGTTCGGGGTTGCTGTGCTCTTCGCTATTGTTGTGATGAGCGCGAACAAATGGAGTAGCAATAACGAAGTTATTATCTACGCTGTTGCTACCGGCCTTAGTATGATTCCTGCCTGTCTAGTGGTGGTTTTGACCATCACCATGGCTGTTGGTACGAAGAGAATGGTCGAGAGGCACGTTATTGTCCGGAAGCTTGATTCCCTCGAAGCCCTAGGCGCAGTGACGAACATCTGCTCCGACAAGACCGGCACACTCACTCAGGGGAAAATGGTTGCAAAGAAGGCCTGGATCCCATCGATAGGAACTTACTCCGTAGGCACTTCGAACGAGCCATTTAATCCCGAAGTAGGTGAAATCAGCCTTGATGAACTTCCTCCAGTCAAGGTGGACGAGGAGAAGCTCGCATCACCTACTCATCCCAATGAACTGCTAAAGGGTAGCCCCCAGCTGGAAGAATTCCTCAATATTGCTGCGATGGCTAATCTCTCGCACGTCTACCGATCTGAAAATGAAGGGAACGAGTGGCGTGCCAGAGGTGAGCCCACAGAGATCGCTATACAGGTCTTTGCATCGAGATTCAACTGGAACAGGGACCGTTGGACAAAAGGAGAGGGAGCAATCTGGCATCAGAAAGCTGAATTCCCGTTCGATTCCGACGTGAAGAAGATGTCAGTTATTTTCCACAAACTCACCGAGTCGGAGGATAAAGAGATGGTTTTCACTAAGGGAGCGGTGGAACGTATTCTCGATTCATGCACAAGTGTTATTTTGGACGCAGCTCAAGGCCCGGTGCCCATTACTGATGATATCCGCAACGACATACTAGAGAACATGGAGGCACTGGCCAAACTCGGTCTGCGAGTCCTTGCACTCGCCAGTCGGCCGTATTCTCCTACCGCTCACGCACTCGAGGATGCGGATATCAACCGTGAAGATGTTGAAAAGGACCTACAATTCTGCGGCTTGATCGGACTCTACGACCCACCACGCCCCGAGACAGCAGGTTCGATCGCAGAATGTTACAAGGCTGGAATATCGGTCCACATGGTCACCGGCGATCACCCAGGGACAGCTCGTGCTATTGCAGCACAGGTCGGAATCATTCCTTCAGACCTGAGCATGGTTGCCCGTGATGTAGCTGACGCAATGGTCATGACTGCAAGCCAGTTTGACAAGCTATCCGAAGACGAAATTGACCGTCTGCCAACCCTTCCACTGGTTATTGCCCGGTGTGCACCACACACCAAAGTCCGTATGATCAAAGCCCTCCACAGACGAGGCAAGTTTGCAGCTATGACTGGCGATGGTGTCAATGACTCTCCATCGTTGAAGCATGCAGATGTCGGTATTGCAATGGGCCAGAGTGGCTCTGATGTAGCCAAGGATGCCTCTGATATCGTTTTGACAGACGACAACTTTGCGTCCATCCTTAACGCTGTTGAAGAAGGCCGTCGTATCTTTGATAACATCCAGAAATTCGTTCTGCATCTGCTTGCAGAGAACATTGCACAGGCCTGCACCTTGCTTATCGGGTTAGCGTTCAAGGACAACGACAACCAGTCTGTCTTCCCACTGGCTCCTGTAGAAATCCTGTGGATTATCATGATCACGTCCGGAATGCCTGATATGGGTCTTGGAATGGAGATCGCAGCCCCCGATATCATGGACAGGCCACCCCAGAGCGTGAGTTCCCTCTAACCTTCCAGTACCACAACACCTGCTAACAGCTGTACATAGAAACAAGGAATCTTCACTTGGGAGATCATTGTGGATATCCTGGCCTATGGCTTGTGGATGTCGGCACTCTGTCTATCTGCCTTTTCTCTGGTAGTATACGGTTTCGGAGACGGCAACCTAGGCACGCACTGCAACCGAGACTACACGCCTGAATGCGACACCGTCTTCCGAGCGCGAGCAACGACATTTGTCTGCCTGACTTGGTTCGCCCTCTTCCTGGCTTGGGAGATGGTCAACCTTCGCCGCAGCTTCTTCCGCATGCAGCCTGGCTCAAAGCTGTACCTGACACAGTGGATGCATGACGTCTGGCGCAACCAGTTCCTCTTCTGGGCCATCATGGCGGGCTTCATCACCATCTTCCCGCTGTTGTACATTCCTGTGATCAACCATAAGGTGTTCAGACATACTGGTATCACCTGGGAATGGGGTATTGTCTTTGTCGAATCTCTGCTGTTCTTCCTTGGAGTCGAGGCCTGGAAATGGGGGAAGAGAATCTTTTTCCGCCGCCAGGCACGCCTCAATGAAGCGTCTAGCACAAGCGAAGTGTCTCGAGTCCGAGGAGCTAGCTCTGTGGAAGAATAACACTTACTGACAGGGTGAAGCGAAGAGTGACGAGGTGCTGAAGCTGATGTTGATGTTGATGTTGGAGGTTGTGGGAGTTGCTATGTTCAATCAAACGTCGGAAGTACGTAGAACCGGCAAACTTCCGCCGGAGAACCATATCAAGCAAGGTAAGTAGTAAAAGGACACTCACGGTATAAATTGAGCTTTTCGGTCTCATTTGTGATGTTGCTGCTGGTTCGTATGTAGGGGGTCATTAGTTGATAGTTGTTGATAGCCAAAAATGCGATTTTTAGTAGTTATCCACTTTACGCTCTACCTACAAGTACCATAACAACCCATTATTCACCCGACTATAAAAAGAAGAAGCATTCATTCGTTATATTAATGAAATAATAGTACTCTCTGTATGTACTCCATAGAATTTTATCTTACTCTGACAATAAGAAAAACAAAAATAAAAATAAAAAGAGCAAAAAGAGCAAAAAGGAAAGCCCAACGCGGGGCTCGAACCCGCAGCCTTGTGATGGCGAACTAGTATAAACTTGTTATAAGAGTATAAGAGTCACACGCTCTACCGATTGAGCTAGCCGGGCTGACTTGATGTAGAGCCGAAGCCAGTAGGTCATTATAAACACATACTGGGTAAAGTTGACGTGATATCAAGATGGAGATGGAAGAAGTTGATAGCACAACTTCGAGAGAAACAGACAAAACTCACATTGTGGCCTCGCCAGGAGGACTGCGCAGCGACGACCGCCAGGAGCATGAGAGACGGCGGCAGATGGCTTTAGGGAGACGGGATAGAGCAGCTGATCCATTCTGATACCCTCGTTTTTGCCTTGATAGAATAGCTCTCCATGCCGCGCCGCACCACCCACTACGCGCCGACCTTTCCCTCAGGCGACGGCGCCTCCGTCTCGACAGCGAGGGTGCCCCAGCTTCTACCATCGTACACGCCGCAGCAGAGGGGCCGTGGACAGCAGCCGGTCACTCTCGGATCAGACCGTGAAGACGAGCTGGACGAAGGCGAGGGCGAGGGTGACGGTGACGAACAGGAGGAAGAAGAAGACGAGGAGGAGGAAGAGCAAGAAGATGAAGACGACGACGACGAAGAAGGGGAACAAGACGAATTAGAGGCCGTTGAAGGCCAGAGCTATGAAGAGGGTTTGTTGTAGCCTCTGCATATCTATTACTAAACGGTACTGACAATTTCCCTCCCCAGATCTAGAGGAAGAAAAAGAGTCTTCAGCTCCTATACCGCCTAACCTCCGTGAGATATCATCACTTGCATCGTGGACTGTCTCAACATACAAGCCAGGAAGCGGTGTGGCTGCTCTTCGCCATCCATCTTCCAACCAGTTCTGGCAGTCTGACGGACCCCAGCCACATACCCTCTGCCTACACTTCTTTAAGCGCGTCTCCATTGTCCGAATTCGCGTGTATCTGGACTTTGAGCTTGATGAGAGTTATACGCCTACCAAGATGATCTTCCTAGCCGGCATGGGTGGTAACGACCTGGTTGAATTCGCTACTTGGCAAGGCGAGACGCCATGTGGATGGGTGGACATAAACCTTGACGGAGTCGGAGGCAGACACCAGAAGCTAGGTAAACTGCCTGCACGAGAGGAACGGCGCAAGTCATATGCTGCGGCCAACAGATCCGGGGATAGTGATGTATCTGCTCCCGAAGACGATAGTGACGAAGATACCCACGACTTGGATGACGATGACGGCGACGACCCATCAGACGGTAACGTCTTGAAGCTGATGGTGCTGCAGGTCAAAGTATGTGAGAACCATCAGAACGGCAAAGACACTCATGTTCGTGGGTTCCAGGTCTTTGCTCGAGATGACAAGTACTACGCCCGCGTGGGCAGGGGGGATAACGGACAGAAGCTGCTCCACCATGATCTCGGGGCGAGCGTATTGCATTCTGACGATGCCGAGCAGGATGCAGAGAATGCTCCCAAGTTTGACGAAGAGGACTGGATGATGGAGCCAGAGCTAAGATGACATCCCGCTACCAACCCGTATCCTTACATACAGCTACAACATTGAATTATTGATACCCCTTTTTTTCATTAAGTACTGCATAGCCTAGATAACCATGAATTTACACCCATTCATGAGATATATCTATTTCTTGTTACAAAAGGAAAAAGCCGCAATTACGAGAGCAACTTCTCGACCTCAGCTGCAACCGCGTCTCCAACTTCCTTAGTCGTGGCCTTACCACCGATATCACCGGTCTTGACTCCGGATTCAATTATGTTTCGTACCGCGGTTTCGATCACCTTGGCCTCCTTGGGTAGGTTGAGAGAATATTGCAGCATCATTGCTACGGAAAGTATCATGGCAACGGGGTTGACAATGCCATTCCCAGCGATATCCGGTGCGGATCCTATACACATTATCAGCCCGAGCCTTTATAAAAACAAAGTACAGCAAGAAAGAATAATACACACCGTGAATTGGCTCGTATATACCGCTGACCTTGGTCTTGCCGTCGGGGATACCATTCAAACTGGCACTAGGCAACAGCCCCAACGAGCCAGGGATAACACTGGCTTCATCACTGATGATATCACCAAACAAATTGCTGGTGACCACTATCCCGTTCAAAGCACGAGGGTTCTTCACCATCAACATGGCTGCACTATCAATCAAATGATGCCCGTACTTGAGCTGTGGGAACTCCTTATCCATCACCTCTGTGACAACCTTCCTCCACAGACGACTGGTAGCCAACACATTTGCCTTATCCAAGCTCCACACAGGTAATGGCGGGTTGTGCTGAAGAGCTAGATGAGCGGCAAGACGAACAACACGTTCAATTTCAGTCCTCGAGTAGGGTTCGGTGTCACACGCGGTTCCGTCGCCGTTATCTTCTCTCCGTTCACCAAAGTAGATACCCCCCGTGAGCTCGCGAATGATGTTGAAGTCAACGTCCCGACACACCTCGGCCTTGAGAGGCGAGATGTCAACTAGCGACGGTGCGGCAAAATTGCAGGGGCGTAAATTCCCGAACGTTCCCATTTCTTTCCGTAGACGAAGAATTCCTTGCTCTGGACGAACTGCGCCCGTGCCCCATTTAGGCCCGCCAACTGCTCCGAGCAGCACGGCATCGGCATTCTTAGCCGCTGTGAGAGCTTCGTCGGTAAGGGCTGTTCCAGCTGCATCAATTGAGGCCTAGAAAGTTGTAACTGTTAATTAAATATCCTCTAACACACAATAGCTCCGGCATATGCTGATTCGTGGTCAAGACTCACTCCACCTAGTAGCTGGTCCTGGAAGTTGAACTGTATCTCGGGCCTCTTCTTCTCAACAGCTTTCAAAACCTATCTATCGCATCAGGATAATGATTCACTGCGCGACTCTTCCTTCGCAGACTCAATGTACACACCTTAATACCCTCTGCAGCGACCTGTACACCCATTAGTAACCTGGCACGCACTTATGCGGGGATCACATACCTCTGGCCCGCAGCAGTCCCCCGCGAAGACGACGATGTTATATTTACCCATGATGGCTCCGGAATGGTTGGTAGAGTAATAAGAAGGAAGCTTCTAATGCAAAAAGCTCTCTGGATGCTGCCTTTCTGCGATAATGTACTGATGGTTATAATAAGGCTTTTATATCTTGTTGACGTCCAAGCTTCTTCGAGCTTTATCCCACTTGAGTCCGACCTCGGCTGTGCCGTTCCGACCATCGGCCCGCGGCTCAACCGGAGTTTGCACTGTTTGCACAACTTTTACTGATGAGTAATAGGGTTCGTAAAAATATTTATCCGGTATCACTGTATTTTATTCATACATACTATTGGTCCAATTTCGTCAGTCTCACTATAACCCGGTATGTACTGTAAATGTCTACTTGTCAGCAAACATTTCCTGATATAGACTTAGCGTCGCTTGTACTCTTTCTTATAATCACCTGACTATATTATACTATGTTTTCATTATTTGTCAGCAACTCCAACGTCCTTCCTTTCGCTCCACCCAAAATTCAAACGAACGCAGCAAAACAAACCAAGAAATGCAACTTGATGAAGCAGACAGCCAGGAATCTCAAGCATAATGGCGCATTATGTGCTGGATCCAGAATACGGATACTCAAGATACCGATGTGATGCGCAAATCCAATCAATCATATTGATTACGAATGGTCAAACGTATCTGCATGCGCAAGGAAGACTTTAGTCAGGATCCGGGATGAACAATACACACAGCCTTCCTTTTGGTGGAGAACGCTTGTGTTCGAGCATCTTGCTGATCAGTCTTGTTACCAATAGTATATCTACGACATGGCCACACTCAAACAGGAGCAGAGACCATGTTCTCTGGAGCTTCGTATAGTTATGTACCTCGTGTTGAAGGAGTATAAGAGACGAAAGCCCACGATCTCATCGAGAACCAAATCTCATCTTTCATCCTCGATTTAAAGCCATCAGGAGCTTTATTTTTAATTTTCAAAACCGACAGCCCTCCCCTGACATTCTACTACCCAGCCAAACATGCGTTTCACCGCTACTATAGGGGTTGCCGCCATCCTTGGCTGCTGCACTACAATGGTCCTTGGTGAACAGGTGTGCCCCGTTCATCCTTGTATCTAGCACGTCACTATCTCACTTCCACCTCACCTCACCATCTACTTCCCGGCTGTATTACTTTGGTAGTGAATATACCTGGCTTATTATCATGCAAACCAACTGTCTTGTGCCTGATACAACAAGATGACTGGCTTTCCCGCTCCTGAGTACTACGGTGAAGCGGTAGAAGTTGAATATGAAGATAGCAAATGTGCATATTTCAACGGGATTCAAATCCGGTATTTTACCAATGTTACTGCCCGAAGAGACAAGAAAGCCACGGCGGCTAACTTCCGATTTGCATAGATCCGTCCAGACTCCTGGGCAGGATAGCTGTGTGTTTTACGAGTAAGTCCGTTTCTTGTCATGTTCAGGATGGAATCGTCGTTCTATGCTAAATACGAGTTAGACTGCCTGGTTGTGAGGGGCCTGCTGTTATAGGGACTGGGAACACTCCTGATTTTCCATTCTCAATCAGAAGTTTCGTATGCCACCAGAAGCAGTAGAAGTAACCCTCTGCACATGCATTATATATATTCCGACGACTCCGGAACATATCCTTCAGTATGCCGTGCATAGTTATATGTAACTAGCGGTTACTGTAATGCGTGAACCAGATTATACAGCTTTTTGCAGGTTTTTCTGTATATGCGGTGAACTCGCAATTGTACACATAGTATATCATCTAGATACCAAGAATGAGCCCGGGAACCGGCTATTTCAAGCAGCCTGTATACCTTCACTTTTCTTTTTTTTTTTTTTTTTTTTTTTACTTTTCCAACTTTATCTTCATACCATAGTGGATTCAGAGGTACGCAGATATCAATATTATTTCACGCTCTCCAATCCCAGGCAGTTCATGATATAACCTGTTGGAGAATGATGTATTGGTAATCATAACAATATGGGATATAGTAATAAGGCATGCAGGCGTACAAAGTTACTAGGTTTAAGGCGAGCAACATCCCTGATTAAAGATACGGCTTCGAGTATAAAAATTACTATAAAAAGGGAGTCTTAGTTATATTCCTGTTCCCGGTCGAATAATGTGTCATTCATTCCGAACATGCGAACGGAGATGGCAAAGGGAGGCGCTGTACTCCGTATATAAGACTTCCATGTGATATAGAGAAATATCGCTAAGATATAGCTTCTAACAGCGTAATCCTCCCGTCTTTAACCACCAACGCATCCAACAATGACCAATGGGGCGAAAAATGTCTGGAAACCCCTGGCACAGGAGTCTCCCTGCCAGAAGCCGGAGCCGATGCCGCCTATGAACAAAATGACAGCCCTGTACAAACGCACATCACGGCGAACCGTTCCGTACTCCGGCCTACTCAGGGATTGCCTGCCGCATCTTCCCCCCTCCAAGCATTTGCAGCCAGCAGGCGTGTGGAGAATAATACTCCGTCAATTGTACTGCATATGTAAGTAGGCATCTCAGCTTCCCCGGCAGGGTTCAGAGGAGGAAAGAGTAAAAAAAAAGGAAAAGAAACGTAATCGCAGGTTTTTACAGTGGCCCTCGTCTTGTCGTTCCCCAAGCATCGTGAGGCCTTCCCCGGACCAAAAGAGAAGAAATCATCGGAGGGCCGTGAGTGGTAGAAAAGAAACCCCGGACAGGCGAGATCAAGGTTGAGTCCACGGTCCGCGACCCGTCCGCAGCAGACTAGCTAGTAGACCAGCTAATCAGCTAGCTCGTCTTCGTTTAATCTCGAGAAATGGGGAAATTGGTCGAGTTGCAGGTCGAGCAGAGGGACCAAGCGACGCCCAACCAGCTTGTCTGTGCATCGCAGTTGGTCACTAGCGACCGTTAGCCCAAACCCCGGCCCTGCAGGAGATGAAAAGGCGCTGCGCATCGTGTGATCTGGCCCCGGTTGATATGCTTCATGGCCTGTAGACTGACGGGGCTGTTGGCGGCCGCAGGCTGGGGTTTGAACGGAGGGAAGTTCTAGTTAAGGCTTAGGAGTGCGTCCACGCACATACGTGGCCGAGCCCAGCTAACGCAGCTGATTGAGTCGAGTCCAACTTTTGCTTCCGAGAGACAAATAATAGCAGGCGAGTGACGGCCTAGCGTTGGCTATCAATCCTTCACCCGGCTGGGCCGTTGTGATTCAGGGAGGATGCGAAAATTCCAGCATCCTCAACCCCAACGCGCAAGCACCAGAACAACCGCAGCGAGCCTCACTGGCCGACGAGCGCGCTAAAGGGCAGCGACAGAGTGACATCGTCAACCATCCCCGGGATGTCTGTTTGAAAGCTGCACGGCAAAGAAAACTAACGAGCTGGCTAAATAATCCGACGGCAGCACTGAACTCGCCTCCCGAGGGTCGGTTGGAGGGAAGACAGACCGCGGCCTTGGCTGGCTAGCTCGCTCTCGTTTTGCAGCCACGGCTTGCTTCATATTTCGTTATATACACGCTTTGTTATGTATATATACGGAGCACTGTATATATATACTGCGGGCTAGCTGCTGCCCTGACCCCTTTGTATGGCTGCTTAGCTGGTTTATGCCGGTTTTTATTTTATTTTTTTATTTTTATTTTGCAGTTGTTGGCCGTGATTGTCACTGTGATATCGGACGAGGGGATCCTGGTTTCGTAGCAGCAGGTCGTTAACTACTATAACTAACTAAATGGCGCCGGCGGACGAGAATAATCATATAGAAGTAGACGAGGTTCGTTTCGTTCGTCCAGTCCAGTCCAGCTTGGTTGGATATATCGAGGTGGGAGTCGCGGGTTGTGGGCTGACACCAAGTTTTGCTGTAACCACCAGGCCGCAGAGATGGACGACGAGGCCTACGGGGACAACGATGAGTATATATCGCCCTGTCCACCTGTCCTGGGGCCGAAGGGAGGCCGGATGACTGACGGTTGGCGGTTGCAGGTCGACGTTGTCAACCTCGCTGTCGTCCAGCATTCTCGCGTACCGGATGGAGAATGGCAGAAGATACCATGCATACAAGGCTGGCAGTGAGTAACCAACTAGCCCATCGATCGCCCTTTTATACATTCATACATTCATATAAAGTGTGCAGAGCTGACAGATGGCGTAGGCTACCCATTTCCAAACGACGAAGTGAGTCCGATTGCGTCTCCTGTCACGGCGTAGCTAACATGTTGTCTGTCGCTGTAGATAGAGAATGACCGGCTAGGTGAGCTCTCTCTTTTCGTCCCTCTTTTCGTCTAGGTGGCTGCTAATGGATGCTGTGACAGATATGCAGCATGCTGTCTTCCTCAGGTCGCTGGACGGCAGGCTGTGCCTATGTCCAATTAAAGAGGGTATCCAGAATGTGCTTGATGTTGGTATGTGCCCACGCAAGTATCACAGCATTGGACGTGTATATGTATATTAATACCCAATACACTATATAGGCACCGGAACTGGCGTCTGGGCACTTGACTTTGGTATGTTCAACATCGTTTTGTATGTTTAAGGGGTTCATTCATACTGATGTAGACACGATTCATAGCCGACGAGCATCCCTCTGCACAGGTATGTTGCATGTCCACACTGACTAGCTGACTTGAGGGGTCCCGCAGCAGCTCACCTCCTTTATACAGATAATTGGTACAGACCTGTCACCAATCCAGCCGAGTCTGTATGTCCTTTTCCCGGCCCTTTACTATCTACTGTTTACTTCGTCAAGTCTAACAGTGCAACATAGGGTCCCCCCAAATCTCAGCTTCCTGATCGACGACGCAGAAGCAGAATGGCAGTTTCATCAGAAGTTCGACCTGGTCCACGGTAGAATGATGACAGGCTCCCTGAAAGACTGGGACCGCTTCTATACCCAATGCTACAAGTGAGGACGCCTCCATACCCAAGCAGGATGCAAGTACTAAAATACGCCAACAAACAGCAACCTCCAGCCGGGCGGATATGTTGAAATGCAAGATATCTGTCTCCCCCTGAAATCCGATGACGGCACACTAACACCAGATCACGCCCTGGACAAATGGTCCCGGCTCTGTCTGGAAGCATGTGAAAAGCTAGAGAGGCCGTTGGACGTGGCTAAAAGTCATAAGAGACGCATGGAAGAAGCTGGCTTCGTCGACGTTGTTGAAGTTATTTATAAATGGCCGCAGAATTCATGGGCTAAAGACCGCAAACTGAAGGAGATAGGGAACTGGACGATGACGAACATGCTGGAGGGTCTGCAGGCGCTAAGTATAGGGCCCTTTACGCGAGGGCTGGGCTGGAGTTTGGAGCAGGTCGAGGCGTTTTTGATAGACGTCCGGAATGACGTGAAGAATAGGAAATTGCATGTTTACTGGCCGATGTGAGTGTTCAAGAGACCATGGAGAACGAAAGTACATCATCTATACATACTAACGGTCCGACATAGGTACTTTGTATACGGCCGCAAGCCAGAAAGCAACGAGAAGATATGACTATAATGAGCCCGAGAATATCCAACCCCTCCCCCTTTTTTCTTTCATAACTAATTGTTACGGCTTCTTGATCAGCTATTTTTATATAAGGAACATGGAGGATATATCATAGAAAATACCTGACCGAGATAATATTCATACCAATTTATTATTTACTATTAATGATGATATCCCGGTTAGTAGCACTTTGAGGTAGAAGCTGGAGACCGTAGATCAATGAAACAGTGATAGATTGCAAATGCGAGACGTGATACATAAGCACATCAGCTCAGCACCGGTTCCTAGCCCTCGCCCCTATCCTAAGGGCTCTAATGCTATTAATACAAAAATCATGAACAAGAAGCGAAATGATAGAACAGACCATGTCAAAGAAGAGTAAAAAAAAGGGGTGGGGTTAGAATAAAGAACATATCACAGAGAAAGAAGAGGTAAGTCCGTAGAAAGGTCAAATGTCAAAGGGTCAAAACAAAAGAGAAGAAGTGAATGAGTAAACAAATAACTGAGAACATAGGGCATGAAGTGGTGTGAGCGAGCAGTATAGGTAAGAGTATTTTTTCCGACCAGCAAGAAAACTCCATAACAGATAATTAAGTAGTGTGTGCGTATGTGTGTGTTAATAGGGGTAAAAAAATGCAGATAAGAAGGCGAAAAGAAGAGTAAAAAACGAGGGGGAGGAACAAGTCATATATAGCTGTCACCAGCTACGTAGACTTTAAGTGGGAATGGATTAAATTGAGAGCAATTTGATTTAGTCAAATTAGTCACTTTGCGATGCCTTGCGGCGCCTTGCGAGATCACCTTCTGCCAACCACCGGCTGGCCTTGACCATCTGGACAATGTTGATAAACTGCTTGCCGGCCATAATGGGAGCAGAAACTCCAGTAAGGACCCACGGCCAGAAGCTGTCCATCTTGTTTGCTCGAGCCATCTCAAGGGCTCCTGCGCTCCATGGGTTGGCAAAGAGGGTGGTTGGCTGGGCCACGGGGACAGCACTCGGCTGAAGCAGCGAGGGAGAGAGAGTCGGCGAGGAGAAGGAGAGCAGGTAAAGGCCGATGAAGAACATCTCGTTCATGGCACAGAAGGTGAATAATACTGCCTGGAGGGAGTTAACTTGAAAGCTGGCCACACGGGGAGGATGAATACGAGAGCAGAAAGGAAGCCTACCTTGTTGTTGTAGTACTGGTACAGGATCCAGCTCCTGCTCGAATCGATCTTCTTATGGCTCTGGTTCGATCCGCCCATGGTAAGCGTGGCGTACATGTGCATGTAGTGGCTTGTCAGGTCAAGACTGATGAGGCCCTGGAACAAGATAGCCCACCGAGGCCAGGCAGAGCTAAGAAACACCAGCAGACAGGCTGTCGTGCAACGGTCCGTCACCATGTCGAGCACCGCGCCAAAGGTAGTGGATTGGTTGTAGACTCGGGCTGCATAGCCGTCCAGTCCGTCCAGGAGGCAAGAGACGCTGTACAGGGCAGAGCATGTTCGAGGATGCAGAGGCATGTAGTAGAGGGATGCGGTTGCAAGGACGATGCGGACATATCCTATAAACCCACAATTAGCATCGTCGTTTTCATCAGTCACTGTTATTACGGCCGCCATCGCCGCTGCAGCATGGCCGAGTGTCCTCCGTACGTACCGATGATGTTGGGCCAGAAGAGGAAGATGTTCTCCTTCTGCTCCTCGTCCCGCGGCGGCGTCCGTTTGCGCCTCGCACTGCGCTTCTCTGTGCTTCCGTTCATCTTCTCGACGGTCTTGCTCGAGCCTGCAGTGCCGTTTCCGTGGCCGTTCACGACCGGGTCAGAATGCTCGTCCTCGATCTGAGCCTGCTGGGCGACCTTTTGTCTTCTAGTGCGTGCGGACATGTCGCGTGTGTGGCAGCCAGCGAAGCAAGCGTCCGGTCTGGTCCTTTGACGGGCGAGAGTACGGTCTCGAGGCCTCTTTGCGGTAGAGTCGAACGGCAGCAGCTGAATTCGAGGAACTGTAGCGGTCTATCTTCGCTGTCTTCGGAGTCTCTGTCTGTGGCGGTTGTTTGGTTGATGCCTGCAGGCTGAAGTGTTATTTTTTTTGGCTGTAGATATTTTTTTACTATGGAGTTTGCGGCTCGGCCGGAGAGGGAGCAACTTGGCAGGCCAGCGAAGCAACGGAGGCGGCGGAGAGGAAAAGGAGACGGTGGTAGAGCGGTCGAAGGGCGTAACGAGAGGATCTTGAGCTAGAAGATGTCGGTGTTGGTGCTGATATTGCTGCTGGTGTTTTGGTGGTTGTGATTGTGGTGGTGATGATGATGTTATTTGCCTGGTGGGAGCAAGACTGCTATTTGGCTAGTAAACTAGTTATTTAGAATAACCAGACGCCCCGCGAGCTGAAGACAGGCTCGAAGGATCGGAGATGACAAGGGTGGATGATTGATGCTCCGTTTCTTTCAGGAGAAGTGAATTGGGAACTATTGGATAAAGAGACAGTTGGTTGTTTACTGGTCAGGGGGCGAAAGATGCCGAGTAGCTTGCTAAGAGTCGATTATTTATATACAGTGAAGCAAACAGAAAGATGGCAATGCAGAGGGCAGAAGGGGATGCAAGTATCTAGATGGCATAGTATTCGAGTATGCAAGTGTATCGTGGTATAGAAGGGAATAGATGCAGGTCATAACAATAAACAAAAACAAAAGAAAGGGATAGTTAGTGGGAAGAATGTGAATAGTGCAGCAGAGATATTACCTCCTCCGCTTCCTGGGGTCGGCGGCGTCTCTGCTCCTCCATTCCCGGGCTTCCTTGGTGGCCATGCTGCCCAGGCCGCCCTCCTGTCGTCTCTCCCATCCCCCCAGCCTCACGACCAGACAGGTAGCGTTGTCGCCGTCCGAAGACACCTCCGTAGCAAAGGCTACCACGTCTCGTGCGCCTTGGTCCGGGGTCTTGCTCCTGATATGTCGACTACTTCTGGTCACTGACGTCCGCTCACCATCGTCATCAGACAGAGGTGGATTCGCAGGACCATGTCGATACGGCGGAGTTCGGGCTCAGCGGAGACTCCAATGCGTTTGCTGTTGATGTCTCCAAAGGCGCGGGTGTTTGCAAGCCCGCTCATGCGTTCTTCGCCAAACGAATCAGTCACAAAGGTGGCGGCGTAGCGTTGTAGGCGTGCACTTTCAACTGGAGAGGACGGGTGGTGGTCTGTCGTCAGCGGGATTGGGTGACCGGTTGCCGTCGAGCAAAGCAGGATACGGGTGTCGCCAATGTGTGAGACCAGCAGGGAGGAGGGAGCAGATGGGTTCCAAAACGGTGTCGGGGTCGGGGTTGAGATCATGGCGATGCTGCCGGTGCTGCCGCCCTTGAAGGTCTTGTGGGATCTCCCGCCGGGCATCTCGCGGTACCGGTTCGGCTGGTGAAGAATGTCGTACTCATTGAGCGGCTTGTCGGGGCTGGTTGGTAACGAGCAAGCTTCCCCCTTGGACACTTGAGCGGACACAAAGTCCAGATCGGCCCGCAGGAAGGCATATTCGACGACCTCTTCGATAGAGACCCCTGACTTGACGCTAACAGGTACGTCTTCGCCCTCTGCGTCTGCTTCTGCGTCCTTGATGGTGGTGCTGTGCTCGTCATCTTCGCTCGTCGGCTCCGCACCTGAATAAGAAAAGTGTAATGGTTGGAATCGACGAAAGTATCCGCCCACTAGATCTCTCCAGTCTGCGACCAGCTTCTTCTCCATTTCTCCAATATGCTCCCTATTGGCCTTTTGGAGGATCGGGAGATCACCTTGCACAGCATGGCTCCTTTGCTTGTCGTCCGTAGAAGCTGGGGAGACACCGTATTTGACCTCCCCTACCCGCTCTCGATGGCGTATTGCTCGGTTCGTTAGCCTCTGGCTCTCTACACACTTTGATAGAGCAGATTCCATGCCAAACTCCATTGCTGTCTCTTGAATGTATCCATGTAGTTTTTCCCGGAGAAACTCGCTACATTCCGTCCCGCCATGGCCATCAAAGACGCCAAAATAAAACACTTGGGGATCACCTGTAGCACTATCTGCTACTTTGTTCCCTTCCGCCGCAGACGTAGACTGGCCAACTGTGACAGAAAGTGGAGCTCGCCGTGCAAAAGCCGGTAAATCGATGACACCGGCCTGATATGTATCTTCATTTCTAGGACGTGTACCACGCGCATGAGAGACACCAAAGTGGTGCTTTGCACTACGCAGAGGAATGCGAACCACGGTCGTTTCTCGGCCTATGGCTAGGCCGGATGTAGGCGATATCGTGGCCGGGGATGCATCCCGCCCAAGCGGTCTAGTTCTAGTTCCGGCGCCAGCAACGGTAGAAGAGGAAGCGTGCGGAACAGAAGCGGACCGTGGGAGGTTGTGTTGAGGACCGACTGAGACACGAGAGTCCGGGTGGAGCGAGGAGGTAGGCAGGTGCGTTACAAAGTAGTCATGAAAGTGGCGGCGAGGAGTACGTGAGGTTGATGCTGCTGCCGCTGGATGTGATGGATGAGCGGTGTCTCCAGCAGTTACGGTTGCGTATCTTCGCAGGAAGACGGAAATGAAGGCTGAAAGCAGAGTCAGTCAACGGATTACGATGCCATCGAGGAGAGAAAAGGATATGTATGCTCTTACTATAGCTATCGGCAAGGGTCCAGCCCTGCATGCGCACCCGCTTAATGGGCAGCGAGCTCATTTGCGACGGTTGATGAAGCTCGTTAGAAGAGAAGGTCGGGATATCAAGAGTTAGTTATTTTGATGGTCAAGACAGAGGAGAGTAACACTCTGGCCTCATCGTCCGCCGAAAACAAGCGGCTGGGATAACAGATCCTTGCAACAGCAAGACAGGGACAAGAAAATACAGTAACGAGAGGCTGTACTGTGCTTCTCCACGTGTGCGCTGGCCGGTGATGACGCAGGGTCAGGCGAGCAGGAAGAGAAGAGGCATCTTGGGCAGATATCTAATCCCTCAGTCTCCGTCCGTTCACTGTCTGCAACTGATAACTTATCAGAGCGCAGAAGATAAAACACAGCATACGGAGGAGACCCCCAACAATTCTTGCGTTGCAATGCTACAATAGTTCCGAATATGTTGAGTTGGAGCTCTCCGGAGTTATTTTTATCCTTGCATGAACTCTGAGCAGCCGATCAACAAGCCGCCCCCTTGGTTGATCTGATAACACTTATAATAACGCTAGCCAGTGGTATGGTTTCGTGTGCGAACACTCAAGTGCTAGTGGACTGGCAGCTCAATAACAATGATGTGACGATGCGGCGGAAAAGAGATGTTTCTGATGGTGATGAACCTAGTATGCCGTGTCTAACCTCGTTGCATTCGGAGTAACGAAAGGATCAAGTCAGAGTCGCATCGCAGTGGATCTTCCTTCGTATCAGATGAGATAAGGCACCAGGAGGCAGCATGCTCTACAAACTTTTGTGTTGGTGGGCTCTTCGACAGCCTTCAATAAAAGCCAGCCACTCGAGCTAATATAATTGAATATGTGGCGGGATAGATTGATATCCTGTGTTGCACGGAATACTCTGTTTTGACATGGTTTCTATATCATTGTACGCGCAATTAGAATAGGAAGAGGCTTAGTTGAATCGAGTACAAGGGCTACCACAAAACGATACCTCATACTCATATAATACGGCGTACTGCCTGCCACTCCTTATTATTCGTCAAACCAATGCTGGCTTCATACGCTTGCTTTCGGTGGAGGCACCGGCAGTTCGACGAGCTCATTCCTGTACAGATAAATAGCAGTGTAATGGCTGCCGGTCTGGATAGCCATCATCATCATCCATTTACACACCTGTTTCTCTTCATTTCCAGTGCTCAGCAAGACGCTAAGGCATTCGTTTGCTGCTCCGTTGTATCTTGTGCTGGAGAGGCTTATACCACGTGACGTTCCAGCAACCTGCACCTTGGGCTCCAAAGCCCCTGGGGATACCTGAAATAACACCTGTCCTCTATATCTTCTACTTAAATAACTGCCTGGTTAACAAACTGAAAGTCTAATAAATCTTACCCTTAAATTCCGTTCTACTTCACTTAAAAGGGATATACGCTGCCGTTGCCCCTATCAAAGCTTAGCAAAGCTATAAATTGACTTAACAAACTAGTTATGGCTCCGAAAAAGGTCTTGATTATCGGTATGTAACTTCTCTTTTTCCTAATATACACATTCTCTGCTCTTTATTAACAGATATTATCTCAGGGGCCAACCGCGGAATCGGGCTTGGGTTATCTCAAAAGTTCCATGAGGAAGGCTGGACGGTATTTGGGTCTATCCGGCCAGAAACCCGTAATGACCCATCCGTAAACGACGTATTGTGGCCCACTTCACGTTTACTAAAGTATGGACCTAATACTTCAGCAGCTAAAACGATGGGCCACCAAAATTTTTGAAATTGACTATCGTGTCGAAGCTTCAATTTCAGGAGCCGCTGAACAGTACGGGTCTGACTCACTTGACTGCCTTATTAATTGTGCTGGTGAGAATCTATAGATATTTTCCTTCTCGCAGCTGGTGCCCATCAGCTGAAGCTGGTTTACTTATCTAGGAGTTAGCAGGGGCCCAGAGCCATGGACAGCATATGAAAGCTCACTCCTCACTGAATGGTTTCAGATAATGGTTATTGGGCCTTATCTAGCTACAAAATACTTTCAGAAAAGCCTTGAGGCGAGCTCCGCTGGTAAAATCGCCAACATCTCCTCAATTCTCGGTTCCATAAGTTGTGAGGCTCACGATCTCGAGGTAGTTATGTTGACTGAGCTAACAGAAGCAGTAACTAATACCGGCGAGAAGTTCGGTTATAGGATGGTAAAGGCTGCTCTCAATCAACAAACACGTACAATTGCCATGGCTTTCAAAGAAGACGAAGTTGATATTACTATGATGTCAATTCATCCTGGCCCTGTTCCCACCCACCTTTCTAGATGGTATGGAAGGATTTCTGTTGAAGAATCCGCAAATGGGATTTATTCTGTGATCGATCAGGTCGGACTAGCCCAAACTGGAGAATTCTGGAGCTGGACTGGGCAGAAACTAGAGTTTTAGGTACTAGCCGCCATATCTCTCATGGCTAGAGGGTTTATGATTGTTGACTCACAATTACTGAGTGGGGTTCTATGTATAACCCTAGCACTATCAATGATACAGGCAGCCGTCAGCCAATGGGCCTGCTGTATATAACCTCAGCTTCTACCGTACTTTTGTTGTGCTTTATCCTCGGAACCAAAGCTAGTCTAGTCTACCTTTTAAGATAGCTCTGCCTCTTTTACTTATCTGAATAGCTTCTTTTTTAATCGCATAATACAAAAGGACCCTAATCTTAGGAGGAAGACATAGCAGACCTTATCTGATAGGCCCATCGATAAAAACAGGCCTTAGCTTGGGTAATATCTTCTAGCTCTTGGAACAATTGGACAAATATTGGCGGTAAAGGGGTTAGTTTAGGTTGAGAGAGGGAGAACCACGAGCTAGTGATCTATCTTTGTTTATAGGAGTCGGGGAAACAGGCTGATAGGGGTAGCAATCTGACAGGGACGGTTCAGATGATGCGAAAAACGTGGATAGTCCTGATCATTAACTACGGTCCAACTTGCTACGCTTCCTTCAGAGGTTTGGTTTGTTCTGTGGCACAGTGGAATACCGCTCATTATCTCCAACTTCAAACAAGAATCGGCCTGTCAGAATGTCGGTTGGCCACCCAGCCTTCTTCAATGCACCTTCGGCCACCTTGACGAGTGTCAGGTCCGTGCCTGAGGTGTTATTAGTCGATTAATGTCATCTTGGGTGGGGTACACACGGGGTAATACCTGGAGCACCGATGAGCGTGCTGAAAATAGGAGCATACTCAGTTCGGTTTGACACCTTGGACTCGTAGGGGTTCTGCCCGACTATGGGAATATTAGTGCCATCACCTCCTGTCTCTATATTGGTCGTCACATACTGGGAACAACGATTTGGGGTACACCTAGCATGGACGTAAAGAAGGTCGGGTCTCCCTTATAAGGGCCTGGGTCCCCACTTAATATAAATATCAGTATAAAGGAGCTATGCGGGAGCCATATTTCAGAGAAAGAGCTAACCCTGTGCTAGGTTCTGTCCTACCGTCACGATAATTCGCCCCTGGTCGCCCGTGCGGAACTATCATGATGGTTTGACAAGTCCCTTCCCTGCTAATGGGCAATAACTTTTCAAATGCCCAAGCACGGAAACGCGGAATCATTTCAAATGCCTTTGACCGTTCTTCTGAAGTCTCAGCTTCATCAAGCTTCCTGCTAGTTGTAAGTTATGCCATCCATTTAGCAATACGCAAGAGCTGGTCTCACCATCTCTCTGTGTGCGTAGGGCTCACGTATGGTGGCTTTTGAAACTTCTGAAAGTACTGAGACCGAAAATCATCAAAATAGTGGTAGCTATCATAACCACCCAAAGTAACGGCCATCTAGACAGAGTATGTGAGCCTCAGAACTAGCAGCTTTTGAATTAAACACATACATCTTCGAGGTCAACGAGGGATTTGTCTCGTAGGTCCTCCGGACCTGACTTGGACCACTCTTCCGCAAGGGATATCTCTTTATGCGTGACTCCTAGGAGAGCTTCAAGTGCTTTCACGAATGCATCAGTCATGCTTTGCTGGTTACTATTATTAAGGGGAAACCATTCAGTCGGGTAGAGTATTGTTGTTGGCCACTAATAAAGCAGTTAACTTTTATTCTCAATGCTTAGGGGGCCTTAAACCGACATCATTGCTTTTCTGGGTAGCCCCTGATGTTTTGAGAACGTCATTAATCTCAGTGGGAGTGCGGGCAAGGAGCCCGACAGTGTCAAAAGACCTACCCTATGTGTTAGACTCGATGTAGGCAACGGGTAAATGAATAAACTTACGGGCAAGATGGGATAATTCCCGCCCAGTTAATACTATTCCAAGTGGATCGATGGCCCCAAACCCCATGGCTTGTTGCAGGGTATCTCATGCTACCGGTAGCTGCGTAGTTGGGATTAGATAGTTATTGAGGAATCGGAAAAGGGGTACGCACTATCGGTGCAAATGCTGAAGTCTAACCATATGTACCCTGCTGCTGCTGCTGCTGCTCCGCTCGAACTGCCGGAGGGGCCTTGATAGCCATCGCCGCGTGGATTCCATGGTGGGAAGTAGTCGATACATTGACAGGGGGGAATTTCAGATCCTGCAAACGCTGAGAGTTTTGTTTTCCCTACAATGACTGCTCCTTTGTTTACGAGATCTTGGATGAACTGCGCGGATTCGGTCTGCCTGCCATAGAGCTCAGCGTATGCCCTATTTCCAAGGCCAGTGATGACCCCATTTAGATGGATATTGTCCTTCACAGCGATCCTCATCCCGTCCAATGGTCTCTCATCACTCCGCCTGAAGTAGAGGCGAGATGGGACGGCCACACTCGCGTCCGCTCCTGTGAACCCCGAACTCTGCAAAGATCGAAAGGTCCTTATGATGTCAAAATAAATTTACCCAGGCATTAAATACGCCAACTTACTGTGTGTATGAGTCTGGAGAGATAGCCATAGTGTCATCTGGAACTACTGTTGTCGAAAATGCCCCGAGAGTGTCGGGATAGAGACGCCATGCTTGGTGAAGGTTTTGGCCCACGATAAAGTAAGGGCCTTCGGGTAGGTCGAACTCCCCATCTAGTACGCATAATACTAGTGATTTTGACTTGAGAGAGCTGGCTAGCTCTGCTGGGAGCGCCTCCAGACTAAGGCGTCCGGTCGATGTATGGCTAAGGGTAGAATTTCCTACCTTGGCAGGCTGGCTCCCGATCGGCATTGAGAGGATGAGAAATGTGTCCTTAGTAAATGCTTCCTGAAATACATCATCAACATCCAGGAAACGGTCGAACGTCTCCTGAATTGTTTCTGAGGACAGCTCCCCGAGTTGACCGTGAAGCACAACTGCAGGAGTAACAGTGAAACTACAGGCGGGAAGGTAATCTGGTAGAGAGGCCTATATTATTAGTGTAAGAGAATTAGGATTCAGGGGATAAAAAAAGCCGGTTATACCTCTACTCGGGCTCGAACGTAGTAAGAGGCCTCGGGCCCGATTTGGGTCACCATTGTTGGCTTGAGCCCTGGGATGAACCGTTGTTCGGACATTGTTGCGGGCTGGAAGGTTGCTTGTAGAAACAAATGGGTTTGGCTACGAGGTTGAAGGGCTAATATAATACTCTTCAATTGAAGATAGGCAGTGGAGCAAGTCCTCTTAAATTTAAGCATCACGAAAGAGGTTGAAATGGAAGCGGGGGAGGAAATTAGGCTTTTTACCATTCAAAATCTCAGAAGCGCTACCAACGGAAACACAGGAGGGGCTGTTTACACCTATAAGCCAATCCCTCTGGCAGCGCCCACCCGTGTTGATTTCGTCTGCTGTGACTGCTTCCTCTTGTCGCGGCTGTGACGTGTCCTTTGAAGGGGTGCTTCGGGCTCGTTTCATTTGCAGACACTTTGGCCGTATAATGGGACGAATGGCTCCGATGGAAGGACACGCGCTTGACGGTCCATCCCTTGGGGGTTTTCAAATATTCAATCTTGGCTCTTGGGTTTTTTTAACCTTTTGCCTCGTAATAACTAGTTAACTAGTTAGTTATAATGCAACGCCTCCTATTGACTAGGTTTCACGGAGTATATGGTTCTTTTTTTTTAATTAAGGGTAGGCCCAACTTAGCCAATTGGAGCCTCGATGCAAGCTCATCCTAAACGGATATCTCAGTTGTTTTGTCAATGTCGCTTTCTTGGGCCCAAACACGAATTAATTTATAATCCTTGCAAGCGAACTCCCTTCAGGCTCGTGCTGATGCAGTTCACAAATTGGGCACCACCGTGAGGCGTCCAAGCATGTCTACCTTGTACTCAACGCCCAGCTCGAATTCTTTGGAAGCTCTGTTCTTCGCAATGAGTCTGCCGACCACGCGGGGCGGTCAAGTTTCAAGAGACGGTAAAGGCCCAATAACCACTCCAAGGCAAACTGATCACGACCGCTCGAGTTGAACTCTTTTCGCGCTCAGCCGAGTTCTGATTCTTCGTCGTCAAAGATGACTTTCGCAGCCAAGATCCACTATCTTCAACGCCTCAAATTGTACGAAAGCCAGAAGCCATATATGATCACATTTGATATACCAGAAAAAGTCGGGAAAAAGACCAACCATTCTTATATTCCTTGTGACGTGCATATCACCAATGCCCAACAATGCAAAGAGAAATTTACTCTAGATAGCCATGGCTTTCAGTTTGAAGACTGGCCTACCAATCTTGTCTCGGAAAATTTCGACGACGATAACCTTGTGAAGAATCGATATTATGGTGAAGTTGTGGCGCGTATGGAGCAACTGTTTCCGGATGCCTTGGAGATTCGTGCTTTGACTTATCTCGTATGATTCCCTTACCATTTGATTCTCCAGTCTTATTCTTTGGGGCTACCTCTGGATTGGTTTATTTTTATTCTTATTTTTTTTTTTGAAGGGATGCATATAATACCCTGCCTGGAAGTTAAGAAAAGGCTAACAACTTGATGAAGAGAAGGAAACGGAACGAGACGTTTTTGAAAGTCGCAAGCGCTGAACCAAAGTCTATCAACCCCATTATCTATGCACATACTGGTTAGATTCTAATGTCTTTACTTGATCACCTAATCGTCTTACGTGGTCCATCGCTGATGAGTGGTTCTAGACTTTACACCAAAAGGTGCTGCTACAGCAATCGAACCCCTTCTACGTGCTCATGAGTACTTGCGTGGACATAGATATGACATGTTGAAGTATGTGTTTCCCACAAGACGCAGTTTGCTATGGAAGCCTACTTAGCTGACGGGATACCAACTGTAGTGTCTGGCGGCCCACACGAGGCCCGAATAGGGATTGGCCACTTGCTCTCTGCGACTTCAATACAATCACACGGAAGGATATCGAGTTCAACGATGTGATTCATAGGGACCACGTTGGGGAGAGCCTACGTCTATATCCGAACCCAGAGCACAGGTGGTATTTTCTGGATGACCAGACAACTTCACAGGTCGCCATATTCAGGAACGTGCACTCAGATGGGTTGGAAATTCCATGTAACTATGCCTTTTCATATATAGTAATTGTACCCTGTTTATTATTGACTGTTTATTCTAGTTGGTGTGCACTCAGCTTTTACGAACCCCCGTGTAAATAGTGATCAGCCTCCGCGCGAGAGTATTGAGTTACGATGTGTGAGGTTTTTCAAATGATTATAAACACGATTGGAAGTACGGACCGAGTGCAAGGCTAGGCGTCTCACAATGTTTTGCGTGTTGTTGAAGGAAGCAGCTTTAAGCTAATGCTCAAGAATTTAGGTATGAAAGATGCTTGAGGTTGATTGGGTCCAATTAAGCTAGCTACATCAAGTTTTGTCAGACAGGTTAGATTTTTCCAAGTTGAGGGAAAACGCCTATTCATTTTTTACTTTTTCCACCATTTTTTCCACCATTTTTTCCACCATTTCCACCATTTCCACCATTTCTACCTCCACCTCGTGTATTCTCGTCCATGTAGTTGAAAAGTTCGGCTTGGAGACGACCAGCCATCTCTTGATCGGGACTATCCTGAACTATAGCGTCGAACTCGCTAGAGTTCGGGTCGCAGAACGACTTCCAGGGTTGGTCACGATTGTCTGCGCTGGACTTTTCGGAGTGTTGACCCATAGTGAGCTGAATAAGTTAGTTATGTCCAAACTCTAGTGTGGCAAGGGGATGGATTACCGCTTAGAATACGCAGTTGAACTTTGCGGTACAATATGAGTAGTCGAATGTGGTGTACTACGTGAAGCTGTGAAGACAGTTGAAATATGTTAGTCCATCTCTGAAAGGCGGGTGAAGGGGGTAAAGGAAGGGTAAAGTCGTTTGACGATAGCCACATACATGTAAAATATGAGCGAGGTGAAGTAAAAGGATGAGATTTAGTAGACTTCTAGTGTGTCAAGGCAGCTAGTGAAGTCGAAGACATGGAAGGATGCTGGCTTATTTACCTGGTGTCCACAGTCGTATTTCTTAGTAGCGGGAAGAACCCAGATTCTACCCCGCATTACGGAGTGTACAGTTCAACTAGTTACTGGTGCCCGTCCGCGCACGTTCCTCGGCGGGGCGTGGTGGATCAGGCAACAAACCTTAAGTCACAAAAAAAAAAAACGGGAAAAGTGGCCATCCGAGTACTCGCGCGATTTGCAAAGACAGCCTTCTCATTTTAACGAAGAGCATGGATCAGCTGAGCGAGAAAACGAGTGGAAACAAATAAGCAAGTGACACGATACACTCTAAAGGGTGGCACTTTCTGTAGCCTTGCTCGGTTCCCAGGCCTATCCCTACGAGAGGCCCCAAACCGACTCTACCAACTAGTTAAGCTTCCGAGGCTGCCAGATCTCTCAAGTCATGCTTATGCTTCATAGCTTGGTATTTGCTCTCGGAGCAGCCGCCCAGATTGCCCTTTTTGTTGGAATCATGCATCACTCTGTAACGGTAATTGGTCCCACTCCAGGAACAGTGAGGCTTGTTCAGTCATCCTAGCCTCAACCCGTAACTAGCTCTCAGTTTCCCACGCCCTAGAGTTGCTTGACAGCTGGGAGGAGAACTTATTTATACAGGAGAATAACTTTGTTTAATTCTTCTGAAGTTATTTCATCCGATCAACTACTAACTCTCCCTTATCTTTGAAGTGTACTACAAGACTCTGTATAATCCTGAATCTTTTTCTAGAGGCTCCGTTGCGCCTTCAGCCATGAAAAGGCTCCGAAAGATGTTTACTCGGGGGGAGAAGGCGCCAAAGCCTTCTCAACCCCAGAGTCTTCCAGCACAAGCAACAAACGATGGCTCTATTGTGTCACCAAACGCCTCTCATACGCAACCCATGCCCTCGTCCCAGGACCCTTCACCATCTTTGTTCCCCGATGGAGTCAAGGTCTTACACGAATGCCCTAATGCGGTGGTTGACATATGCTTTATTCATGGCCTGTCTGGGAATCGGGATAGTACGTGGACTGCGCTGGGCCAGTCCATTCCGTGGCCCAAGATGCTACTCCCATCTGCTCTCAGCGGAGCTCATATCCTCACCTACGGCTATGATTCGAAGATCGTCAACAAGTCAAAACCGTCGCTAAATCGCCTCGGTGACCACGCCAAAAACTTACTCAATGACTTAACAATGGAAAGAACTGCCTGCAATTCTTTATCTCGCCCTCTCATTTTTGTCGCTCATAGCCTAGGGGGCCTCATCTGCAAAGAGGCTATTCTCCTGTCACGAAATAATCCTGAAGACTATCTTCAAAATATTTTCAATACCACCAAAGGCATAGTGTTCATGGGTACTCCTCACAAGGGGGCCTGGCTAGCTGATTGGTCTAAAATACCGGTCTCAGCCTTGGGATTTGTTGGGTCTACCAATAAGTACTTGCTAGAGGTTTTGGAAACTGATAATCAGCTCCTAGAAAATATTCAAGTCAGATTTTGGGAGATGATTCGAGGACTGCGAGAAAGTGGAAGGCCTTTTAGGGTGACATGTTTCTTCGAAGAACTCCCTTTGGGTCGCCTTGGGCAGATTGTTTCCAAGGAGTCAGCCTGCCTTGATGGTTATAACTACTTCAGTATTCACGCAGATCACACCAACATGGTCAAATTTGGCTCTGATCAAGATACTGGCTTTAAGAGATTACTTGCAGAGTTAATAAGGTGGAAGTCGGAAGTCAGGTAAGGATCTTCGTTCGCGCCGGTAGAAGAGAACGTAACTAATAGTGATGTCAAGCAAAGCCGATGTGAGAGGTCGTGAGGATCTAGAGACATCACGCATCGAAGTAAACCACAGTGGTCAACATATCCTTTCGCCAGAAAGTAACCAGAACCACCAGAAATCGTGTCACTGGATTACCTTTCCAAAGAACCGTCACTTTGTTGGGAGAAAAACAATTTTAAACGTCATGAAGGAGCATCTGGTCGATATTAAGGCAGCAGCCCCCTCAGAAGGGCGAGCCTTTGCACTATGGGCCCCCAGGGGGTTCGGGAAAACGCAGACCGCACGACGATTTGTTGCTGAAACAGCAGATCATTTCCAGTACATTCTGTGGGTTTATGCCGATACGGAGACGAAGATCCTCGAGGCTTTTGACGATTATGCTAAGCAACTCGGATTGGTGAAGGAATCGTCTGATTTTCTTGCTACAGCGAGAGCTCTCTTGCGCTGGTTCGAATCTTTGAGTAGGTTGACTTTATCCTCGTTGCTTTAGCACTTTCCGCACATTGGTGCGGCGTTGGGCAGTACTGACCGCCGTGCAATAGCTGTTCCATTCCTTGTCGTATTTGATAATGCGGAAAGTTCAAAACTCATCAACACATGGTGGCCTCATGGGAAAGCTGGCGCAGTCTTAATTACAACGTTGGATCCAGCATTTGCAACCAGTACGGTTGCTGGCACGGGGGCTGAACTGCCACCGCTTGATGAGAGTGACGCGGTCGAGATGGTCCTTTCTCAAGTGCCTCTTAACGCGTATGGTACTCTAGAGGAAAGTCGAGAAGCAGCACGTCAAATCGTGCGCCGAGTCGCAAACCATCCGTTGGCGATACAGAGCTGTATAGGGGTTATTAACGAATGCGGCCGATCGCTCTCGGAGTATAACAGGAAATATAAGGACTCCGATTCCGTCATCCGAAACTCTAGTGTTGAGAGAGTCAATCGCAATTACGCGCCCTATGACCGAGGCTTGAGAGACGCTCTCAAGGATCGTGTTGAGACTCTCGACAATGGGTCGCGCGTGCTGATGGACGTCATATCCATTTTGCACCCAGGCAAAATTCCAGCGAGCCTACTGGACCTGGATGAGCCACCAGAATATCTTAGCAACCTTGAGTTCATCAAGGACTTCGATCTGCATATCACAAAATTATTGAAAGGCCTGGTGTCTCGAAATGTTCGAAAAAGCGGGAACGAGCCCTTATATTTCCATGTGCATACGTTGCTGCGGGATTCCCTGAGGAGTGAAATGTCGCTCAAATCTCGCCAAATAGCATTTGAAACCGTGACCAGGCTACTATGTATTGCGCTAGATCCTTGGTCTTACCCTAGTGATGTCCCTGGGAGGGAGACGGACAGGCGTTATTTCTTGGAATATTTTGCACACGTTGAGTCCGTCAGACGCTTCTGTGACGAACATTGGCGGGGCGAACATTTAGAAGCTTTGCAGGTCCCGACTCATTATATTATACTATTGTCATATTCTTCTTGGTATTTACTATTCCCCCTTTCAGCTGCTTATGACCCAGGAATTAACAGCGTAAAGGTTATGTTACTCGACCGGCTTCCTTGAAGACGGGCTGGCACACATAAAATCTGCAGACCGTATCCTTGAGACTCTCAAAAGGAACTCCGAAAACTTAGGCAGTAGTCAAGATTCACACGACGTGACGGTGGCTCTTCTGGATATCTGCCACAATCATGCCTGCATAACAACAGAACTTGGTGACTTCTCTTTGTCTCTTGAGCTATTCCAGAAAGAACAGGCTATATATATAGATGCTGTTGCGAACGGCTTTCAGAGCCCACCCGGGAGTGGTGCAGATTGGAGGATATCCATCCTGGGAGGGATTGCAAATTCTTACCAGGGGCTTGGCAACCAGATCGAAGCAGAACTGTACTATAAACAATGCCTAGAGCTTGGAGAGAAGAACGATATCCATTCTCCATACGAAGTTAACATTTGCCGTTCTCAATGGGCCCGCGGAGCTCTTGTCGAGGCATCAGCTCGACTAGAAGAGTTAATCGCTCTTCGTGAAGCAGAATATGGTCCAGAAGATACGGAAGATTTCATGTACGTTCCCCGGACTCCTCTATATGGCAGAGCTCTGACAGTATAAAGAATTGGTCATATGAAGTATGTCCTCGGTAATGTCCGAATCGACCAAAACCGCCTGGATGAGGCTTTTGAGCTGCACAAAAGTGCCCTAAAATGCTGGCGACAAACTCAGGAACAGCACCATAAGACAGGCGATGCATGGCACAAGGTGGGATGGCACTATGCTCGCTTGGGGTGCTGGAATGAAGCCAGGTATGTGTCGAACAACCAAACTCTAAAAATCTAGGTATTTTCTCGGCCAGTGAACCCATACTTAACTATTTCTCAAACTAGGGTTGCACTCCAGTCGGCTTTGGAGGTATATACGTCCGGTAAGGATGAGATCTTCCGTCAAGGGGAGGTAGGGCGCACCAGCTATAAACTATCCGAAGTTTTTCTCGCACAGGGGCACGAGGATTTGGCTGCAAAAATGAAAAAAAAGGCAAGAGCAATCAAACAAGCAATACTTGGTAATACGACGGCAGATAATGAGGAAGAAGACGAGAGTATGTATGATAGGCTGGTGTCCCTATGGGCTCGGTAATTTCCGCGTAGAAGAGCGGACGCGAACTTGACGTATGCCGTTGATTTGCATATACTCTAGACACTCATTAAACCTCTCTTGTGCCGAAAACCTGCGCCATAGGAAGACTTTCAGAGCCAAATACCTCAGAGATTCAGTTTCGTGCCTTAAAAACGAGTACCCACAGCCGACAATGATAAAAGGCTAGGCATTCAGATAATCTCGGAGGCTTGATGAACGTCACGTGATGGGAGCCTCGTACGGAGTACTCTGTAAGGAACTCTTGTTGGATCGTAGCGGAGGTTGCTGAGTAAGCTAGGCTTGGCGAACGTTATATCGAACTATCTCAATTTACAATGGAGATTGCGTTGTGCAGACGTATGTATTTCAATCTATCTAACTGCTAAACACATGGGATATGGCTCTTCTTATAGCTACGTTTTCCATATATTACCGAATCTCATCTCTGTGAAATCTCTGCTCTCTACTATTGGAAATAGTTGAGCATAAGGTGATCGTCTCCACGTTAATATCGATAGTCGGTTATAGTATCGCGTTCTAGTGATGACTAATGGAATCACGTGTGGTGATTCAAATCCTCATCATAACATACTCGCCAGGTCAAACAGCCTGGTCAAAACGGCGGCTCCAACAGATAATGATTTCCTTTTTGGGCAAGGGTACATAAGATGACTAAGCCAATGTATCTGGACTAGTGTAAATTACAGTATCACATCAAAGCTACAAGATAGACAAGTCTCAGCCAATGAAAACTCATAAATACCATTAGAACTGTAATCGTTACTTACCCCTAAAAGGGAAATATGAACTACAAATCTTTTTGCTTTGAGATGAAGTTTCAATATCAAAATGAAAGACGAAATGAAAATATCGAAAGTCATGACTAAAAGGATGAAAAAAAGGACCTATCTGGAAAGGTAATTACATCATGCGAGCACCGGTAGTGCAATGAAGACGCAGCATGACTGTGGCAGTGGCCTCGAGCACAGAAATAACAAAGTGATTATGGAAAGAATTCTGCAACTTTTGTTGAAAAGGAGAGTGTTGGACTCGTTATGGCCACTATCATGGTTCCAAGGCATTCAAGAGGATACCAGAAGAAGCAGATCAAATGTTGGCATGGATTGTCCAGAAGATGAAGTGTCGACGAATATCATTATCCTACTCGCGGCCGAGCTCCGGACCCAACAGCATGTCTCCAAGATGCAGGACCTGGACGGCCGCATAAGGGTGGAGGACCACGTTCTTGAACAATGGAACTGGCGTGATGGCGAGCTTCACGGTATACTTTCGTTTTGCCTGCTGCATCGCCCAGTCCTCATCCGTTCCGGCGTTGTGGTCTGTCATGTACGTCGGATCGAAGTTGTGGTGGCTCAACGGATGCATAAATTTGAACTCGTATGGGCCGGAATACATGATCAAGGCGAGGCTGTGTGCGTCAATCATGAGTTCGACGAGATCACACCACACATTCTGATCGCGAGAAAAGATTAATGGGGTCAACAACTCAAACAACTTCTGAGTGTTCTCGTGAGTACGTTTGTTGAAGAAGTTGTCGAACAACGGGCGGTTGCGGAGGAGAAGTATGTGATTTCCGATACCCTGGATCATAGCATTCTTTACCGTACACGGTGTGCCTATAACTAGTCAGCATGTTAATCACAGCAACCCGCTGTGGGAAGGATGGTGTTGCCTCTTACCCGGATTGACGTGGGTAACCATCTGTTTAATCTCCGAATCAACGGCCGGATCGAAGCCGCTGACAACAGTTGTCTTCAGCACTGTTTTCGTGATGAACCAGTTGATGATTTTGGAGACCATCAAGAATCGGGTGGATACATTGCTCAGCAACTCGGTTGCATTGTTCGATGCATGGTTCAAGAACGAACGCAGCTCCTCACTCACTTTCTTCTCATCATACATGAAGGCAGTATTGGTATACTTCATTGCGAAGCATTTAGATGCCGTCCACAAGCCGACCAGCCGGTTTGAGAAGTCACTGCTAGTATACGCTGGATCTCGAATGTGGATAGCTTGCTGAGGTTGCATGTTCACCATCGAGACGAAGGAGGCGACCTGCTCCTCAGGCGAAGATGACATACCTCGGGATTCGCTTGTTGCTCCTGTGCCCGTCCCCGTAGCTGAGTTGACGTTCGAGTTCGTCGAGGCAAAGTGAGACTGGGAACCTACACCAGCCTGAGTACCATTTGGTCTAGCGTTTGCGGTAGTAGATGCTGCTGCTGGTAGATTGAAACGCGGCGGTGGCTGCCCAAAGACATTTTGGTATCGAGTAGTTGGAGAAAGTTCAGGATGCTCTTGCATCGACATTCTCCGTAAGCTCGACCCGTTTCGGTTACCAGACCCAGGGCCAGTATACCCTTCAGTATCACAAGAGCTCGCAGGAACCAGTGCCATAGAGGATGATTTGTTGTCTTCCTCGATACCATGTCTTTGAAGCATTTCCTCCAGCTCTTTGATACGAGCCTGCAACCCTTCAATCATCTCGTGGTCGTGACGCTCCTGGGCTCGTGCAGTATTGAGTTTGTTCTGGATACACTCTCTCTGGAGCTCGGAATGCTCAAGTTGTTCCTTCAAGTACTCAATCTCGCTCTCAAACGCGTCTATATCCTCAACTCGGATCTGAGACTGGGTGTGTGGCTGAATCTGAGTCTGAGATTGAGGTTGGGGGCGTGATTGCTGAATAGGACCTGAACCAGGCGGTTGCATAGGCAAACGCTGCAAAGGCACTGGTTGCAGGGGAATAGGCTGGACATTAGGATGATACTGCATACCACCTGGTCCAGCCATAGGCATTCCACGATAAGCAGACATGCTCGCTTCTTTGCTCTACTAAATATCACAGATTAGATATATCTTTGCGTCGGCTACTTGCTGCACATAGAGATACAGCGTTAAGGGATACTAAAGGGAGTATAGCAGGTCCTACCTTTGCACGATATCTATTAGGCAACAGATATTATTGACGTAGTAGGTAAGTTAAGCTACCTTCTACTAAGAATCAGGGAGTTGCCAGTCTTTTTCTGGCAATAGAGGCGGTTGTTATTTTTCAAGGAAGAGAGAAAGAAAGCAGATATAAAAAGATATCAGAGCGCACAAAAGTGGCGCTAGTAAGAGGACCAGAAGTGAGAGTAAGTGAAAAGTACGCTAACAGTCACTACAGGACAGAGAGGACAGGCCCAGATAGTGTGCCTCACTTCTATTGAGATATTGTATAGGTTAACAAGATGTTACCTAGCTGGGGAGATAGATATTGTACGTGTACATATTGAAGCCCTTTTTTTATTTAATGATTGAATCAAGGTAAATTAGCAACCAAAACATTTGGCTCCTATAGGGGGAGGAGATATTAGAGCTTGACATGCAGCAACCTGATATAATTCTATACATGTATACAGCACCGACTGCATTTATACAACTAGTTATAATAACAATTGCTCGAATAATATGTTTATGATATGCTATAAACTAATATCAATCAGACAGCTATACAAATTGTGGTTATAAAGGAAACAAAACTAGATGTAACTAGCCATGCTTCGGTGGATAATAGCAGGGGGAGAGCCAGAAAAAAGCTCCCTGACGATCCATACTACCTAAAAAAAGCACCATCCGAAATTGATTTGATATTTCCCTTAACCCCAAAGCTCAGTTTGAGCGCGGGGATTGGTCATGTACTCCTAATAAGTCAGGGGTTGGTGAAGTAGTAATAAGAGCACGCAGAAAAGAGCTGTCCAAAGATCGCGTAGATAACACCTACCGTCTGCAACTGAAGGTCCAATTAAGCAAGGTGTCTTTTCACTCATAGTATGCGGAGACAGCTTATATGGCCTTGGTCCTGGAGAAAAGACTACTGTAAACGGCGTCGACGACGGGTTGGGCACTAATCTGTCGACCGCCGAAGAAACGGCCGTTCAAGCCTTTGATGGCGTTTTCGCCTCCCTGGACACGGTCGAATTTGAGGTAGATGTCGCCTTGGGTATTGGGATCTAACGAAATGTGAACAACATGGCCATACTTTTCTTCGCATTCAGCGCGGACGTCATCCTCGAGTTCCTTAACCCAAGATTCGCCTTCTTCCCTATAAAAAATTAGAATTTCTATTCAGGGAAAAAGGCTAAAGAAATAGGCTGGAAAGATAACATACTGGGCTGGGTCGAACATATTCCGTAGAAGCACACAGCGGCTTGCCATATTGACGGTGACAGGGAGAGGCTTAGCCTCCGTACGGGCTTTGGGGGCTTTGCGTTTCTCGTCAGGAGCGGGTTCAGCGGCGGGTTCATCTGTTCTTGCGAGTTTCCTCATCAATGCATCTCTGCTATAATTGTTAAAGTTCACACCGGCGACATCTGTGTCATCTAGCGCGCTTGCGCCGCCAGCGCCCTTGTCATTGTCCCGGCCGCCTGCACGGTCGAAATTACCGCCGGAACTACCACCCGCGTTGGCTCCGCGGCCGCCGTGGTGGGAATACGATGAACCTTGGTTGTGACCCTGTTGTTGAAGTCGTTGCATCAGCTGGGCCGGATCATGGCTAAATTTGTCATTGCCTAGGCCGACACGAATGGGACGACCGGCAAGGTCGAATCCGTTCATCTTCTCGAGAGCTTCACGAGCTTGGTTTGGGTCACGGAACCTATCACAACAGTTAATTGAGTTAACCAGGAAAAACAAACATTCGCAACAGTGGTGACATACTGTACGAAGCCATAACCTTTGCTACGTCCTGCTTCTTCTCTTTGCAGCTGAACAAAGTCGAGTTCACCAAACGGCTCGAAAACGTTCTGCAGATCGCTCTCAGTGATACTGAAATGAATATTACCGACATACAACCTGTGGAAGGGAATAGACTGCTGATTGTTGCTGGAATGAGCATCAGGATTACGAGCCTGACGGTTTTTCTCAGCTTCTGTCAACTGGGCGATAATTGGGATTCCTAGAAGTTTTTGTCCAGTAAGCTGGATGGCAAGTGGGACTGATTCTTCGTTCTTAAACTCGACATAACCAACACTAAAATTGGGTTAGTTTCAATCTGCACTTTGCAGATGTATAAGAGAAAAAGGACCTGCTTACCCTTTGGATCTCCCACTAACCCTGTCCTTCACGATCTGGGCCTCCTTTACTGGGCCAACCTTTTCAAAGAAAGCAATAAGCTCCTTGGTTCTTAGGCGAGCAGCAAGCTGCTGAACAAATACGGTACGTCTGTCGCGTTCATCTTCAGTCAGTTGGGGTTCAGGGGTCTTGCTGGGCGAACGTCGGCGGCCGTCCCTATCGCGCCGGGAACGACGCTTTTCGTCGTCTCGATCGTCACCGTCACGGCGAGCTCGGCCAGTTGGTCTATAGTATCTATCATCCAGCGGAGACCGGGAACGGGATCTCATCCGGCCACCACCTCTATAAAAATCTCCGCCGCCGCCAGACGAGCGGTAGGCGTCATCACCCCGGTCACGGTCACGACGAGAGCGTTTCCTCTCACTATCGCGGCTTCTGCTTCTCTTTCGGCTTCTATGGCTCCCGTTAGCACTTGCGCGATCGCTTTTTGGGCTCTTCATCTCTTCGTCTCCATCGGCATCCCTCTCGCGGCGTCGGTCTCGGCTTCGGTCACGGCGTTTACGACCCCTGTCCCTGTCACGGTCCCGGGAGCCATCTCGGTCACGGCGTCCGTCACGGTCCTTTTTCTTTTCAACTTCGTTGTCTTTCAGGTCTGACGTTTCCGGAGATTTGGTGGTATCGGGCCCCGGGTCCGCGGTTGAATCAAGTAACGCCTCGACGTCGATACCAGACATGTTGATGAAAGGAAAAGAGCAAAAGGTATATGGAAGTAGATAGGAGAGGTACGCGTATGGATAGGAGTAAATATCACTTTTTGCTTCCGTTAGATGCGAGAGGGGAGACAGTAAGAAGGGAAGAAGCGCGAGTCGGTCGAACCCTTTGCTTTTGCTTGAAACTTGGCCACAGAGCCTGCAGAACCGCCTTCTCCGTCCGTCACCTGCAGCAACCTATGGTTAACTCTGCTGCAGAACCTGTAACAATAAATATCTAGTCGACAGGCCGCTTCTGCTGTCGCTACCGTCGTTGTTTCGTGGTGAAGAAGCGAATCTTGCTTCGTTTCTTGATCAAAAGGAAGAAGAAAAATTTAAGCTTAGTCATGACCACGTGATTTTTTGATTAGGTAATACTTGGGATAGCGTTGGGTTCGTTGCCGAGGTTTAACTCTAACTTTAACCTTAATTAGTGCTATCAAGAAATTGAGAGACGATATGTAGAAGAATTTCCAGATAACTACGGAGCATATTAAGATATTTGATGATACAGTTTACGCCTTCCACTTGTATTCTTTGAAACATATAGCTAAATATATATAGTTATATTATCATGAATATATAAAAGACTGCAACTCAAACAGCTATAAAGCAGTCAACCCCCAGGTATACAAGTAACCTTCCAGAAAGCCAACCTGAGAAATATTAGCATAAATACAGTCAAACGGTGAAATCTTCCGCTGTTAATATTCAAAGTAGAAAACTGTGCTTTGACCCTTTTCCAGTTTTTATTTTCGTCGATTTATTTTTCCATCTTCTTCGCAATGGTATGTGGGATACTAGCCTCAATTCTGGTAAAGTATCAAATAGGGGGAGGGAGACGCAGATCGACATCGACTCACTACTCAACCTCTACCTCCCTGTCTATTGCCATCAGTGGTAGAACTATGGCAGTGGTAATCACGGGTATGACTGTTGTATCACTGTTAGTATATTTCCCACTATACTGTACGGGAGTTATAGGACTACACTCACAGGCAGCAAATTGGAAACTGTAGAGGTAACTGCTGCGAACAATGCTTCGTAACGCCTCTGGAATGATGTCAGGATTAGAATCATGTAGAACACGCTCAATAATCTGCAGAAAAAAGTTAGGAACCAAAGGTTATTAAGTCACAAAGAGATAGAATAAAAGCTGCTTACCTCCATTTTGCTAGGAATATCTTCCAGGCGTATCCTGAGCACCTCACGCAAAATTGTTTCGATGGTCAGAGAGGAAAACACGGTTCCAAGCATGGTTCCAACCTGCTGACAGAGGTAGTAGACGCAGATAGCAGTGGCATGGATGGATTTTGGAGTGCACGCAATCAGCCCGGTAAAAGTGGTCGAAAGCAAGAGTCCAAAACTCAGGAAAGCTGGGAACACATAGAGTGACTCCCAGCCACTTACCCCAGTTCGCCATCTTACCGCAATCAAGGTGAAAAATGTGAGACCGAGGAGAACAGATATAATCGACAGGGTCTTATATCTATGAGTTCTAAAAGTTACGAGCAGAGAATGGTCAGTTTCATCATCCCACGATGCCAGTCTCATAGTGATATCAAAAAGTGTGAAAAGCGTGTAACTTACTTTCTAATAATATAACCAGAAGTGACAGAGCCTATTGTGAAACCCACAAATACTGGAGCAAGATGAACTGCAGCTCGTGTACTACTTGCACCTGTGGTGCGAATGAAATAGGGCGCAATGTTTTGTCAAATTTCTGTGCAGATATGTCAGGGCTAATTTGTTCAAAGTTTTGGATTTACCAGAGTAATCTTTTGGGGGGGGGGGGGGGGGGGGGGGGGCATATTACCCCAAAAACCCCTACTTGTAGAAGTACCTGTACGGCGTATGGACCTGCCATGCTTTTGAGTAAACCAGGCGGGATGACAGGCTCTCTCGCATAGTATGCCTCCACCACGAGGAAGAAGCCACCAAACACAGCGGAGACTACCCCGAAAAGAATGGTTATTCTTGTTGAAGCCTCATGGTCACCTAGTAGCCTGATGGCAACCAAGAATGTGGTGATAGAGATAGCAAACATCCCGATCCCCAAGAAATCGACTCTTTTGCGCAACGGAATCTTTTTCACGTTCTTGTCCTTTGGTTTGGATGGTGGCAGCAGGGCTATGGAGATGATACAGCACATGATTGCAGTCGGGGCTTGTACAACAAAGGACCTTAAAGAAGTCAGAAAGTTCATGACTGCAAGCGCTTGTTATAAAAGCCAGGTAAATGAGGAAGAATACTTACAATTGCCAGCCAACACTGTCTGTAATGAATGCACCAATAGGACCTCCGAGAACACGGCCAAAGACACTGACCATGTTCACATAGCTTCGGGTAATTGCTACCTGGCTAGGCGGTACATTATCTATAGATTGTCAGAACATGGGACAGTGTCTTTTTTATGGGCGTTGATCCATACCCGTAATTAGCACGCATACTAGAGCAACCATGCCAGCTGCTCCAATCCCTGTTATCACTCTTCCAACAATAACGTGCCAGAGCGCTGCAGCTGAACCCCTGTACATGTATTAGAATATCTCAGATGACTCAAGTGGAAGAGTCGGGGGGATGGCATACGAAAATATGCAGCCACCGCTGAAGAGGCAGTAGGCAACGACTAATGGTATCTGTCGACCATAGGTGTCACTCAATTTTCCATACTAGACAGGGTTTTAAACATTAGCAAAGTTAGGCTCTCAGGCACATTCGCTTTTCTAAGAATTAATTACCACTGGAAGAGCCACACAGTAACCCAGATTGTATCCCGCAAGCACCCAAGGGCTGTCCCCTAGCTGCTTAAAGTGCGAAGCGATAGTCTGGAATGTCACCAGCACCATAGACTCGTCCGCACCGGCAAGGAAAACACCTACTCGACATCAGAATCCCCATTGCGTTGTCCAAATTGAAAAACATTGAAAGAGAGATCCCAAGATATCATACCAAGTAACGCCCCGATAATACCGAGCAACCTCTTCCATGATAAACCAGTGTCCACGGGCTTATCGTCATTTTTGGGGGGTTCCCTGACACCCTCCTCCCGTGGGAGCAAGCTGGTCGTCTCTGTAGGCTCGGCCGTCATACTGAATACCGCTATATTCGCGTATGAATTGAAAACGCCTTGAGCAAAGCGTCTGGAAGTTTTCAACCACCCGCGAGACACCAAGCCATTGATAAATGATGGAAAGGGCAGCGGCTTGGGGGCAAAAGCAAAAAGGACAATCAGACCCATTCATGCATGTTGCACCACCATTTTTTATTCCTCGTCGATCGTATTACCAGGCTGTCACCTATCAGGCCATTGGTATCTGGCGGAGCTGGATTCCTGTTGCTCGGGTGGCGTTGCCGGCTGGGCTTTAAACATTGGACCCAAATTCTTTCCCTTGCAAACTGCCTCCTCTAATTGGGCTAGTTAGCTCGTTAACATGCTGACCAGGGTTACCCCTATATACAAAGACATACTATTGTGTATCCTCTGCGAAGTTGATAGTCCCACCCTCGGGGTCAACCGGCTAAACGGGACTTTGACGGGTCACCACCCCCAGGTTTGTACAGAGTACTCTGTGGGCTGCCACTCGAGGAAAGATAACTAAAATCCCATCGTTAGCTTATTTGGAAGTTTTATGCATGACCGTCTTATCTTAGACAAGCGCACTGGCCGCAATTCACGCCCATTTCCTAACCAAATGGATTTGAATGCAGGCATTAACTAGTTAGTTACCGGTGGTGGAGGTGGGCCCCTTCGCATCTCGAGGTCATCTCGTATGTAACTCCGGAGTATAAGCCCCTGACACACTCCACAGCTCACATTCCTGGACATGTCCATTAGGTGCGTTGCCTGTCATATCGTCATCTCGTAAGAACAAAAACGGAGAAAGGGGAAGAATAAGAATAAACGAATCTCAGCTTCGCGGTTCGATAAGAAACGCGAAACTGGTCTCGGAACCATGGGGAATATCCGCAGTTCCACCATGCTAGCCATGCATATCTCATGTCTCAACTCGGTGTACGGAGTACAGGTGTCGACATAAAGGAACCGAACCAGTCACGTCGGGCTGGTTACGTTCCAGACTCCGCCTCTAGCTCTTGGACGGCACGCAAGACATCAAAATTTTCTTCCAATCGCGGTGACATGGCCAGCGAATTATGTGCGAGCCCAGCACCCAGCCATTTGCATAAGTTTACGTCAATGGCACCAGGGCGCAAGGGAGCCAAGGGGCGCAAAAGCACTCGGTCTGGATATTGGCTCAAGCTGAATTGTCTGCGCTTGTTCTTTCGTATATAAAGTTGCGTAAGCGCTCAATTGATTGTTCGCCTCTGGTGCAAATCCGTCGTAGGAAGAAAAAATTGGACGCCTCACGCGACCCAGTGGGTGTTGCGATATGCAGGTTATGCCGTCGAGCGCTGGTTGTAAACAGGCCTTGGATTCCTGCACAGCCAACCAGCTCGTCCGTCGGGCAAGCCGCAAGCGAGTGCGTATGCGCTCATTGGCCTGGCGCATCCTTCAGACATCCCTGGGCAAACTCAGTCAAAAATGGAGTTGCCCGTTCGACGCTCCATCCGGGGTGTATGCTGCGACTTTCCGGGCAAGTTAACCCTTGTTTGGGCCCTTGCTAGGCTGAAGTTTTTTTTGGCGTCGATAAATGTTTTCTCTCTGGTTGAGCCGTCACAATTGCGGTGGCTTTTAGCTCCATGCAGCCACTGAGATAATATCGCCGTTGATCTCAAGCCATCCTGCCGGTTCCTAATTTTCAGGGTCGAGAAATTCAATCCCAGCTGCTCAGGGAGCACCCACCTTGTTAGACATACCGCAATGGGATAAGAGCTGGCCGATCCGTCTCGAGTTGAACAGCGCCTACGAATGTGTTACTCCATGCATGGACACTCTGTGCCGGGTCCCACAAGCTGCGAAGCTGAAAACAGGATATAGGATGGCTGTTATATCACCACTTCGCCTGCTCGATTCTCCTTTGTGTCCTCGATGTGGATTATCGTTGTCAGTATAATCCGTAGCCATACGATGAATGCAGCGAGAACAATTTGAAGATACCGGTGGAATGGCTAAAGCGCTACCAGCAGCCTTGATGAGGTACGGAGTATCGACTCACAAGATGCCAGAGCCATCGCAGAGGTTTCTACGTCAGACGTACGGAGTACTCCGTATGATCATAATATGTCTGGGAAAGCTAGATTCCTCTTAACAGGACAAGGCATGTCTGAAGTATAATACCTTTATTGCTAAATGGTAGGTCCCGTGCTGACCATCTACCCTTGATATATACCACCTACAGCCCCCATGTCCCGTTACATACTTTAGTCTTCATATTCCTAGACAATCATAAAGACAGTGCGATTTTACCTCCCAGGGGCAACCAAAGAAGCGCATATAAAATGTCATATTTGCTAGGGGTCTAGACTAAGAGAAACTTCTCATTTCTATCAACAGCTTACTACGCACAGAGTAGTGTTGCTTGGTAGTTGCCTGAGCAGCTAATATGGTACGGATTACTCCATACTCCATAAGTCGATGGAGCTCGTCATCGATCTAAAGACTTGCTCCTTGCTAACGCCTGTTTGCTTGAAAAAGCTCGATTTTGGGTACGGAGTAGTTTGAACATCACAACATTGGTAAATCAGCGTCGATCTCATTTCGTGTGATGTATCATACTCAGCCGCCACCCGAAACTTGTCTTAACAGCCCAGAAACAAGTACACACCTCGTAGGGCTGTGTCCGTTCAATGTACGGAGTACTTACTCCAGTAAACCGTGGTTCTATGACGTTGATCTTTCTTCCACAACAGACCTTTTACATATACACCCTGAATTTAGAGTACCTCTTTATTAAATAGTTACTTTCCAATAGTCAAATACTCGGTATCATGATAATTCTATGTAATACTAATAAAGCTTCTAGGATTACCATAACATTAGCGATGGCACCCATAGTACGGAGTACAGGGTAATATAATTACGTGGATTTTCTCTTCTTTCTTTCCTCCAGTTTACTTTTTCTTCTTTTTTTCTTCTAATGCTAGATCCGATTCAAAATGCAGGTCTCTATCACATTACCCACTTTCTTTTTATTTTCTTTACCTGCGGGTTAGCAACTAGGATAGAGGCCTCAGAGTGACACTTAGCCACTTCACCACTCGAGCCCTGTAATGCTAATTAAAATTTAGAAGCACAGACATGACAGTGCATACGGTATAAATACCGATTGGACATGCTAAATACGTGCTCTCTACTTCGTACATAAAGATAGAAATGCAGATACGAAGCGAAAATAAAGAAGCACATGAGGATATACGAAGTACTGGGTGCGACTCCGATCTGTATCAAGGTTAGTGGAGCCCCTAGCAAATAGCCCGATCGAAGATTTTCTACCAAATATCAGCAAATGGAAACATTGTACGGAGTACCGAGTATTTACGGGCATGATCACGTTTTTGGACAACTCCTCTGGTATCTTCTGAACCAGGGCACGACGACCCTTATCTGGGTTGTTTCGCGGATAGAATAATTGTCGGCGGATATTGGCTCTCGGCTTGTGGAGCCGGCCCCACATTTGAGCCGCGCTTGGACCAAGCTTCTTGCCCCTAGTAGAGTTAGATTATCAACATCATCAATCATAATCGCGTGTCATCTCCAAGCTGGCCATAATAAGCCACATATAGGGTGTGCGGAGTAGGAGATATTGGCTCTACAGCTTGCAAGCTCCCGAGTTCTAATTATAGGTTGCTATGAGACAAGCTTCACTCGACCAGGACCTAGTCAAACTAGTGGTTGGAGTTAACTATGACCATTGACTAGAATTAACTTATGTTTAGTGAAGTGCTGGATTGATTAACGCGCGTCAATACTACCCGCCAAACCTTGGCCTAAGGGTCACCCTCTCAATTACTTATAGGAAGACTCGGGAATAGAGTCCGCCATCCACCAACGTCAGAAGAGAGAAGCTGGGCTACCTTGCGCGTAATAGATCTATCTTTGTAGGTAGCTAGCAATCCTTTGATTGCCAACGAAACTATTAAAACCCCAGTTCCGATACTTTCTTTCTCCATATCTCCCTTTTGTCTATTCGTCTAAGGACCATTCGGGGCCATTCCAGAAGTCGATCATTTAGTAGAGTTCTTGCTAGTGCCTCTAGGTGTGGCCTTTATTTTCCAAGTTATCTCCTAGAACGTATAGACACCGTCGCATATTTACCCCCAGTACTTATCTGCAGCCAGAAAAACATTCAGAAGCGCCCGCCCTAGTTTCCTTCGTTTACAGCTTCATGACTCGGAGCAGGTATTGCGGAAATGCTAGGTGACTGGGATTTCAGTTTCCTACGCTAGACACTACCAGTGGCTCGGGCTTTTGTTGTAAGCCCTAGCCCATGTATTGAATTCTCCCTCCTTTGATTCACTGACGTAAAGCAAATTCACAAAGCTGCCATCCTAACTTCCTAATGGCAAATGGGCCTACATCACCCCAATATACCGTGATTCTCGGAGTATCCCCAACAGCTAGGGTGATATCGGAAAGAAACCCAATATCATCTGTGGCGTCGACAATGAGCTGGGGGGTTCTGCTTCAAATTCAGACTGATCAATTTCTGTAGCAGCGTCTAAATCATCCTAAAGCTACCTTCGTTGCTGGTAAACTTAGGCCGGTATGCATTTATGAAAGGCTGGACCGATTTTAATCTGCGGTCGAAGCGGATGACGATGCCGCCGCCTAAGAATGCGGGAAGTTTATAGCAATAGAGGTCTTCGCGCGCAGAGTCCTTTGCTATGGGAGTACTGGTGAACAACAGTGGTATCTTGAAACAAATTGGATTTCGATGCTCTAGAACTAAGGAACGACAGGGTAAGGTGCACGGGACTCGTATTGTTTTTCAGAAAGCTGGATATCCGACGCAGATGAAGCCAGACAGTTGATCATCCACTTGCTATTGCTGCTATATTGAGATACTGAAACACCTGTCTCAAGTTCATGGTGAATGTGAAAATCTGGGCTGAAAACGGACGTCCATATACCAGTTGGCTTGGGTATGGCTCTACTTTCAGAGAAACGAGAGAAATTACTTCACCGCGCTACCAAACGTCTGTAGTTTTCGGTAATGCGAGCAGTCCACTGCAGAGTAAATAACATTTGTAGATAGTATGGCTGGGTAACCAGTTAGTTCATTACCGTGGGCAATGAGTAATCTCCATGGATGCCATGGACTGATATATTTGCATATGGCTATTGTCGTGTGTTAAATATTAACACTGGAGAAGCCATGGCACTCCATAGTGCCTTCATTCCTCTTGATAATTAAAGTTAAGTAATATTTCATACATTAAAAGGGTATGTGTCTCTTGCTTCAAAGAAAACGAAAACTAACAACGGAAAAGAAGCAAAAAAAGGGGGAATAGGTGTAGAAGGGGAAGAATTGATTTTCTGTGAAAAGGCATAGTGGGTAAAGGCAATAAGACATTATACAGTAACTGGGCATACCTGAATTAAAGGAAAGAAACAAGATAGGGGAAGAGGAGGGTGTGAAGAAGAATTAAATAACCTAGAAAGGTGATGACGTGAATATAAACGGGTATTGATACAGCCAAGGAAGTGAAGCAGGTATATAGACGGAATAGCGCGCCTACTCGATCTTTGCGGGGGCGAGAGGTGGGAGTTCGGTGCCAAACACCTTGTCCCAGAACCGGCTGGTGACGCCGAATCCGTTCTCGTAATCGGCAAAATGGTGTTGGAGGTGGTACTTCTTTAGTTCCTTGTAGTAGTATGGGAGACTAGTAGGAGCATGTTAGTATATAAAAGCCTGTGCCGACTAGACAGGATTGTGGTTGATACGTACTTTCGGTGATGTAGGAAGTAGTGAGTCAAGTCGTAGCAGATGTATCCAAATACACCACCACAGAAGACCAAGGTACCCGCATACCAATTATAAGAGAAAACGAAGTGCGCGAGTTTCCAATACGGGGTAGCTAGGACTACGAACAGCGTAGGCGGCATGACGAGGCGGTATTTATCCATGGGAAGATAGTGATGAATGCCGTGAAGTAGGAAATGGAGGCACAAAGCAACTCGGTTGTCCGGGAGGTAGCTACAATAATCTTGTTAGTCGGAGTGATGCAGAAAAACGAAGAGAGCGGGAAACCTACTCGTCTACGTGGAAGAGACACCGGTGCATGCCATATTCAATCAATGACCACAGGAAAAGGCCTCCTAGCCAGTACATGGAACCGGTGCCAACTGCCATACCGCTCAAGCCTAAGAACGTCCCATATGCAACGCATGGCAGCCACATAGTTGGCACTACCCACCAGGCAGTCTTGCTGAGTGGTTCTAGAAAGTTTCCGAACAGGGGTGCAGAATCACCTCCCATGTAGTGCCGTGGCCGGTGGACTTGGTCGAGGTAAAAGTCCTTGGAAAACCCGCCGTTCCAGAGCTGCACCAGCAAGGGTTTGCTAAGATCAAGAAACTTGTGTGTTTTATAGTCAGACGCAATGTCCGTTTCGACGTTGAGATCTTCCTCGCTGGAGAGACCGGTCGATTTGTAGACTGGTTTCGAAGGCTTAGGGCCTGAGCCATTCGGAAGACGCTTTGATCCGTTTGCGGTGTGCTCCTCGAGGAAGCCGACAAGACATTCATCTAAGATCTCGTATGCGGCCTCGCTATGGTGGTGCGAGACAATGTCGTCCATGATCTCATCAACGTCCTTGCCGGCATAGTCGAGTATCAGGTCGCCGCCACCGGGATGGTTATCGACAAAGGAGGTGACATCGTAAACCTTCGAGCCACGAAGAACAAAGCAGGACTTCGCAGACGTATGCTGCTTGATCTCCTCTGCGGTAAAGACGGGTAGTGTTCGGGCAGGCATCATGAAGATATCAAGTCGACGTGACGAACAGAGCACAAAAATCGGCAGGTGTGAGTTGAGGAAGAGTGCTCGCAAACACAAGCCCGAGTAATATTATAATTGGGCTGATTCCGGGTGAGCCGGAGTTTGAAACTGTCCGTGATGGCCTGATCCCGTCTCAGGGGCCTAGCGAAGGTCGAAAGGTTTGGGCTGGACAACTCGCAGCCAGCAGGATTATCGTCAGCAGAGTGAGTGTCACTGATCGATGCTGGTATCCCTTCCGCAACAGCCACAGGCCCAGTCTCTTCAGTCTCCTTAGATTGACCGTCTGCCGTTCACTTCTGCTCGTCTCGTCTCGTCTTTCTCGTGCCTCATCCTTTTGATATATTTTTCTTCCTTCGATGTTTCTTTTTTTCTGCCCAAAGGGGGAGTTTGCTTAGTCATCACCGCTTTTGCTTGTGAAGAAGTTCGATGTCCGAACCAAAAAAAAATAACAACAACCTCATCGACGACGATGACGACGACGACGACATTAACGAGAGAGAAAGCGACGGTAAAGGGGCAGGACCATGAGAGAGCACCAGGATGTCGATGGGGCCCATATGATGGAAACTCATGGTTGGAGAGCGAGGGTGCCAGGCGTATATTGCAGTCACCAGTATGACGACTCTGTCTGGAAGGGGGCTAACGGCTCACAGGAACTGCACCGACTGCACCCTCTCTCCCCCAGCTGTACGAGGGGAAGAAGAGCGAGCAGAAATCCGGTTGAAGGAAGACCAAGGGCGGTAGCTCCAAAGGTCTTGCACGATTGATCGCCTGTCGGGATTATAGTGACAGCAGCGGTGTCTGTCTCCATAGCTCCAGAGGACACAGTATCTTCCTGTCTGCTGCCACAGTGCTCCCTGTTTCGTCCCCTTGTCCCCTGGAGCTAACTATTCATCCAAGCTTTATGCGGTGTAATATGCAACGCTACGGTGGCTGTGCATCATTGCTGATACAAACAAACAATAAATAACTGGAAATAGTGCATGCCCTGACTGGATTACAAATGGTATCTGATCGTTTCCCTTTCATTCGCGGGCGACCGGCGGAAGGAAGGAAACCGTCGCTGCTCTTGCATATCGAAAAAGCGATGCATCCATCAACCCTGCGCAAGGAAGTATAAAATGAGATATTAAAATAGAGGTTGACATGGGCCAATCTTGTTCCCGATCTTCTTGTTCAACGGCGGTCAATCGGTTGATCTGGCCGGTATGACAACCGTTGTATCAAAGCCAGAGGCTGACTGACTTGGCTAGTCTGCGAATATCGAACCCGCCTCTTTCTCTCATTTTAAACTCTGGTGCACCAAGGACGCCAAAGTACGGAAATTTTGTATAGGTGGTACGGGCTCGTCTAACATAGCCAGTTCGGCCATCACCGCTACGAGTTGTCATGAAGCCAAGTTACGTTGGTACAGAGTAGGGAGTACGGAAGACATGCACTCGTTAACTCATGACCCGAGTTGTCTTCCAAACTGGGGCTAAGGGTAGGCTAGTCAACAATCGCACACAGGCTTCGAGGCGTACTCTGTTCTTGACCATAGCCGTTTCACCTAGGAGAGGCTAGGCTCTCGACGTTTTCAGCATCGTATGCTCCGTACATATATATCCTTTTCTGTTTTTGGGCATGCACAGCTTTCAGGCGGCTAGTTCTCAACTCATCCACAGCAGGTCGCCTCCCGTATATACATATATTTGGATATTCGGGCATCTTATATGGAACCGAAAACTATTCGCTCGCCTGCAACGTCAATCTGGGGCAAAGCAAGGGCCGTCAAGTCTTAGCACAGTTATGATCTTCCCATAGCCTGTCTCATAGGGGCCAATAGTACTGAGATCAGAGCCCCGAGCCAGGCATCCTAGTCATCAACTTTCCCCCCTCTCTGCCAACCACCAGCGTTCAGCGATCCAGATTCAAGGCATCCTTCATGGGGCCAATGGCGGATCGGCGTTAACCGAGTGTTCCCAGTCGATAAAAAAACAAAAGAAGCGAACAAAAAGAAACATTGTCAGATCAGCACGGAGATATATATCAGTGTATATATTTATATACGGGAGTGTATAAAATATACGGAGTACGGAGTACATGCACTTGCTTTATTATCTGGTGATTTGGGGTACGGATGGCATTCTCCGTTTGCCGCTCATTACATCAACAGGAGTACCAAAAACACAAAACAAAAAGATAGGATAACAGCAAAAAAAGAGGGAGAAGAAGTGCCTGTTGAACTGCAGTATGCATGTGAACAGCACCCCCAACTGATGCTCCCTGCTCATGATCATTTCCTCCTGCATGTCGACTCCATTAAAAAGGGGGGGTGATCCTGCTTCTCCCAACCCTCAGCGGCTCCATTGGCTTGATTGTCTGTCTTCTCGCCATTTTCCTTTGCTTTTTCCTCTGGCCCGGTCGCCCAAATGATCTCATCGCTAGCATCAGCCTGGACGGCGTATGGAGTACCTCTAGGCGGGATACATTTCCAACATAGTAAGGTCATTGCGACCATCATCGAAGGATAGTCGCTATGCATATTACTGTTTAATTTTATTGCTGGCACAGCTAACAACCACCATCTCCAGGACGGCTCAGCATTCCGGGTCTATGGGGCTAGCTATTCTCGTACGGAGCATAAGGTAGTACTTAAGGTGAGGGCCGGCGAGCTGCAAGTGCCCACTCTTACATTGATATAAGAAAGGGGATCCTCCTCCCCGTCCCACCGCGCCGCTGGCGTATCTACACTTGCAACTCTTACAACAAACTCCTACATAAGAGAACCACACACCCTTGACCAACGCAGCCGGGGCGCGTTACCTGATGTGGCCAGCAGCACTTGATATACTGCAGCATCTTGCAGCACGTCCGACTATTTTTGGCCCTCCAAAGCCGGGCTAGGTGCCTAAAAGGGGACAGGCCAAAAAAAAATAAAAGAAAGAAAAAGAAAACACGAAAAGAAAAAAAAGGAAAGTGAGGTTCACGGTAAAAAGCAATGCAAGAAAAAGAACAAAGTATGGTCCACCCTGTTGAGCCGGCCAGACAAACGGACAGACGACAGGACAGGAAGACGGGGCGACTGGACACATCTACATCCACACACTCTGCGACGCACACAAGAGTACAGGGAGTGTAAGACCATGTAAACGACCGGCGTTGAAGGCGAGGGGGTTGCTGCATCGTCTTTTCCCATCATAAGAAGCAAACATAAGACGAAATATGAGCCTACGATAAGCTTGAAACAAAGGAGGTCGTGCAACCGCAGCCATTACCAAGGCCCCGGTAGGACATTTTGCGAGCTAAAAGGCATCGTCTGTCTCTGCCCGAATCGCTCTTTCTTCTATCTTTCTCTTCTCTTTCATTTCTGCTTCCCTCTCTCCCTCGCCTCCCTTTTCTACATACGACAGGACGCTTGCTTTACAGCTGCATCGCTGAATTCTTACTGAAACTCCGTCACATTCACGCATAGTAAACTACGGAGTACCCCAGAGAGAAGAAAGGGGATCTTTTTCATCCCTTAGCCGGCCCCCTTTACTATTTATTGCTACGGAAATTTTATTCGCCGCCCATCCAGACATCGACCCATTCGTATTACCGACTAGTTAGCTTTTTACAAGCGGCGACTTCGATCTGGGATCAACTTGAGCCACTGGCTTGTTTCTCTTCTTCGAACTTTGCTCTCCTGGCGGGTGTGAATTAGCTGGGATCCCTACTGCATACGCATCTTAACACTTGTGTTTTATCGCCGCCTCAACGAAGTTCTCGAGCAGATCCCCCAGGGTGTTGAGCGAAGGAAGGAGGGAAAAACGCCAACCAAACCAGTTTACCTACAGAAGAGAACCAGAGGAAAACAACTAGAAAATATTGACAGAAAAACTTGAATGTTCTATCGACGGTATATAGAGGAAGAAGGAGACGTCCCTTACGGCGGTGGCCCCGATATTCCAGACATGCCCGCCATGGACCCTACTGCCAGTTCTTCGTCGAGGTCGTGCCCCAAGACAAACACACTCACAACCTATCTCCGGCTATTACGGCAATGCAAGCCAACTCTTCCCTATGGCGAGCTCGTCTGCGTCTCTGCATCCCCGAATATCAGTACTATGAGTTCGCTGCTACGCCTCGCTCGAACAGTTGGCCCTTACATCGGTGTACTCCAGGTCCACGCCGATATCATTGACGACTGGTCGCTGGAAGGCGTACGCAAACTAGCTCGTCTCGCAAAGAAACATGCGTTTATTATCTGGGAAGGAGGGCGGGTATTGAACACGCAGCAGCGGCTGAGCAACCGATTTCTTACCCCAGACGAGGTGTCGCGAGATATAGATATGTCAAGGAAACGGTACACAAAAGGTGTTGTGAGCGTCGCAGCATGGGCCGGATTAGCGAGCACATGGATGATTGATTCGCCTCAGCAAGGGAACGGAGCTGATCGACTGATCCCAACCCTTCGCCGCGCCGCAAAGGAGACCGTTGCATTCATGACAAAGTCCGTCCGTACAGAGATCAGCAGTAGCGGTGGAAGCATGCCTTCAAACGAAACCCCAGCTGAAGAGGAGCATGAATATACCATGGAACTCGATGAGGCCCTCCGAGTTTCTGCCAACGATGGGCTATCTGTCTCCCATTCTCCACGAAAAGCATCGGTTATATCACTCACACAGACAATAACCCAAAGCACAGAGCCCTCTACGCCCTCTGCAGTTGAGGTCGATGACAACCCCCTTTCAGATGCAGAAGATGAGCTAGCGGATGAGGATGAGCGACCTGCGCCATCTCTACCCGAGCCCCCTCTCCTGTCACGGGGATTAATCATCTCTGCTCCCCGAGACGACGACGAACGATTCACAGTTGAATACCGGGTGGCGGCTTTTGAAAGCGCTAAGACCAACGCAGACTTCGTCGTAGGCTTTTCAACCGATGAACCATGGATAGAAATCTGCACCCGCTCATTGTGCTCCGAGGCCACAGCTGAGCTGTCTGCGACGGTTGCTGCACGCACAAGAAACTCAGACGATGAGAATGAACACCCCTGTAAGGAAGAAGCCGAATCCACGGTTGATGAAGAACGACGGACGTTTGTGATTTTCAACCCACTAGAAACCGACCACCTTACACGCTTCGCAAGGGACAGCGACAATGGTTTCGGTCACTCCTCTACTCCTGCCCCCGCGACAAACGGTGCTCCCCTTCAAAGTCCTCGTCTAGATATCAACACCGCTACCATGAGTAACTCTCGTTCTAGGCGAGAATCACAACAGATCTCGGGTTTACAGCAGTTAATTGCTAGCGCTGTTGCAATCAGGAATTCTCGAATAAGCCCGGAGAATGGGCTTTCGCCTGGTGTGCAGGCACGATATGGTGGATTCGACGTTATGTTCGTTCCCGTCATTACTATGAACGTATGAGCGGTTTTTCTTTTTCTTCTTTTTTCCTTTTCTTCTTTATTTACATCCATTTTTTAGCATTTAATTTTAGCCATATTGAAGTATTTATATATGTTGGTTCAAGCATTTACCTTTCAGATGCCCCATTATCTTGTTGCTCTCGATTTTCTTTTGGGCCTGGTTCTCTTCTGTCTCTGCGTTATATGTGCGTTCTGTCAGCAAATACTTATGGCTCCGCTTCATATTAGCGTGCTAAACAAAGCACAGGCACTGGTGCATTTCATTCATAGTTAGCCGTGTACTCTGTACTCTTTTCTATCACTACTGTCGTTCAATACTCCTAGCAGTTTATTTCTCTCCACCCGTCATTCCATGCTGTGGAAATAGCACTCATGGTACCGAGTAAACTGCAGTCATCACAACGATCCTACGATACTTTATCATACCATGTTACAGCGTATGCAATAGTGCGGAGTGTGCAATTCGCAATCCATCTGTGTATACATGATAAGATGCCTAACCATATAATAAAAGTGAGCTACAATTTTGACCCATCAATATCATCTTCAAGTCATATTTCGGTCTGCTAATTACCACTACTCCGTACATAACATAATTTAAATGCGTATTAAACACAGGGTATCTATCCGCGAGGCCGAAAGGCGAGACTTTCCGCACAGAACAAGTAGCCAAGCTTATCTCACTGTTAGTTGTTGCCTATCACTGCAGCACTCCAGGGGCTCCGACTCCATTGGGTCCTGGCGTTTTAATCTCGCCCAGCCCATACCAGACAATAGTCGCTATGCCCAGTGCTGCAGCGATAGTGCTGAACACCAACGCTACGATGCCCTTGGGGGTAAACCCAGCAGGTAGTGGCGGGGCAGGCGGTCCGTTCATATTAGATACATCCAAGAAGTCTGTTGTATTTGCTCCCGCGTTACCGCGGTATGGGGTCTGTGTCGACTGGCAGGTATCAATGTGACCTGCCGGTATAGATTTTATCCCAGCCTTTCTCTGGTCTTGAAGAGCCAGCGGTGCTTCGACCATTGTGACTACCAGCCCGCTATCCATATGCCACTCGATATGACAATGGAACAGCCAGGTTCCAGGATTGTCAGCACGGAACCTGAGTACGATGTTACCATTGGGATTGGCAAGGACTGTGTCCCGCCTCATAGGTACTCGGGGTAAATTAGACATTTGTTCTGCAGTGTGTGGACCTTTTTCTTCTTCGGAGCGGTAGACTAGCTGGAAGTTATGTCCGTGGAGATGGAACGGATGCTTCCCCGGATCGTTGTTGTTTAGGATGATCTCGACCACTTCGTTATGCTCTAGAACGAAGGGGTTCGTGCTTTCTCCATATATTAACGGGTTTGTCGCTACGTCCTGAGGAGCATCAAGAGCGGTATATAATGTCGGCACCTTTGGGCTAACATATGTGATGTTGTTGAACCAAGCACTAATTATCGAAGCCGCGTCAGTGCATATCTTAGCTTTTTCTAGGAGATATTACGACGACTTACTAGTTTGCCCCATCGCCCAAATTTTCCATCTTCAGGTCAAGAGTGATGCTGTGATCAACATGATCAAATAATTCTATTGAATCACTAGGTTTCAGATCAAAGTCGTCCAGGGCAGTGAATTCATTAATGATCTTGGGCTCTGGAAGTGGCTTTTTATCGTCATACACGAGCCATGAAGTCACATTTGGGTTGAGCCCAGGGGGAATCTTGTCGAAGAGGTCCTATACATGTATACCGTTAGCTATTCAGCTAGAAAGACGGGAGGGATACCCGGAAAACCCACTGTATCCATGCTACCGACTATGGCAAAGTTGTCTGTTGACTCGTTCTTTGTGGTCAACAGGATACCATATCGCTGGGCAGCAGTGACATAAAGCATGTCCGTCTCGTGTTCTTCGGTCCACACTCCGTCAACTTCAATAACACGCATCGAATGACCTTCAAACCAGAGGTACTGTGCGGCCAGTGCCGCCATATTAATAGCCCGGATGAAGTATGTCGTGTTTGGCTTCACAGCAATAGTCAAATTTTGCGTATCGGCCATCAAAGCAGACTGCGGCACTGGTTCGGCGCCAGTAGGGTTGGCAAAACTGATAAAATGCTTGATTAACGGTAGCATCTGCTCGTGGTACCAGTCCGAGAGGGTAAGGACAATCTCTTCATCCCACTTTCCAGCGTGCGGGGACTTAGGGTCATCGATTATCATGGGCCCGCGTAAGCCATCTGGATATTGCCCGTGGCCGTGGGAATGGTACCAGTATGTACCTGGCTGATCGGTCTATACCTTGGTGTTAGAAAACATGGGGCCGACTTAGTAGGTGAAGTAGAACATACTGTAAAGTTGTAGGTGAATGAGCCTCCGGGTGGTATCTTGCATTGATTAACGCCGATAGCGCCATCCATTTCAGCAGTCCCATTCATAAACAGCCCGTGGAAATGAAGGGAGGTGGATTGATTCCCGAGCTGGTTGTTGACATGAATAACAACCCGGTCGCCGACCTGAGATCTGATTTCCGGAAGTGGCCATTTGCCGTTGATTCCAATCGTTGGCCGGTTACATTGTCCATCTGGATTGGATATCACCCAGGTAATGTTGAAGTCATAAGTGACTGTGGCAGCGTGGACAAAGCACGAAAGTAGAGAAGCCCACAGGCCGAGATAGTACCACGCCAATGGGGCCATGATATGGTCGACAGTGATCTCCTTTGGCAAGATGAGACTTGGATGATATCTACAGCATTCCCTCAGGAGCTGGCAGAGCTGGTACACGAACTGACGTGAAAATGGTATGCCAGACGGGATAGGCTAAACACGGGGGGGCTGAGACAATAAAACATGAACGTCCTCTCCGAGGAGCAGGATCTTTCCGGGACGAAAAAAGTGTGTGTGTACTAGGTAGGTGACCGGCTAGGCAAAGGACGGACTCTGATCGGAATAGATCAGATAAGATGGAATGACGCCCGCCCGGTTAACAGTCTTTAGTTAATCTTATCAATCGCCAAGGGGGGTTGCCACCACGATCTTTTGTCGAAAACATTGTGGACGTCGTGTATATATAGCACTACAGCACACTCTGAGAGGCACGACTGGCTACCGGCTCGCGATATGCGTCGGGATGCCACCCTCTTCGCTAGTGGGCAATCGTTCCATTGGTTTGTTCTGGCCGAAATAAGGCATCGCATCCCGTATCATGCCACAATTTGAGTTCTCGCTTCGGCACACAAAACTTTGCTTGCAAGGAACAGGGTCACCTCATTCTGGTAGTTAGCCTCTTTGCCGTCTGGTTTAGAGGGACGGAACCAGAGTGAGGACGCTCTCTGTCCCCTTGGGCCGACGTTGAGCCGTGTTCCACTCCCAGCAACAGGGCCTATTTAGTTAACAGGCTCGTTGTGTTATTATATTAATTTTTATTATATTCCCTGATACATGGTTAACAAGGGGCTCCGAGTGGGTCGGGGAAACTCAGTTAAAATGCTTGATAAAGCTTCTCAGCAGGTCGACATCTTGGTGCGCTTCCTGGGCTGGATGCCAGAGGTCAAGATGTGCCTACCTGTCACCACCGGCCTCATAAAGAGCAGCAGATTGATCAGGGACAGCATCTGATAACGACAGAGGAGCGGGCGTCATGGCGTGATCACCAACGAGCTACCCTATTAAGCGTCACGCTATGTAGTTAGTTAAATAGTTAGCTTGACTCGTTCCCTGGATAGCTTGATGGTCCTATGGACAGCCGGCTCCATGGATACGTGCTGGCTCCGGTGACACACAACCAGCTCCCTTGCTAGCCCCGGTTTCTTCTGGCCTGTAAAACAGCCAGGCAACGTAACTCGATATTGCTGCTGCCGTTGATCCCGAGGTCGCTAACAGATGTCGCTCATTAGCTCGCCATCGCTTAGACTTTCTTTATCTGATCCCGTGAGGCCCAATGGGAGTCAGAAATGAAAGATCCGGTTGTCTTATCTGATGGAGCCGCCGTCCCCATCTCCGGCCTTCGTAAGTATTTTTCTGGTCATATATGAAGAGAGGAGGACAGGCTGCAGTGAGTCCATGTCGGCGAGCCACCTGCAGCAATAGCCAGCCTCTTAATTTTTTGGTAGTTATCTACAAGCTGTTTTTGGCTGCTCAGCCAAAGTCGCAATGGTGAACGTATTTTATGCTCCAGGCATGTCCGCTCCCCTTCCCTTCTGCCCTTCTGTTTCTGTGTCCATACCAGCTAACGAGCGGTTTGGATAAAGTGTTCTTCATCGTGTTTCGAGAAACACTGGAGACAAGCATTGTGGTGTCAATCTTGCTCTCCTTTCTCAAGAACCAGCTTGGGCCTCAACACGATGCCCAAGTGTACAAAAAGCTGAGAAAGCAGGTTAGTAGCAACTATTTATCCACGCTCAAAAGAAGTTGCCAGACATGAGTAAACTCATATATACTCTGGTAATAGGTCTGGCTGGGGACTGCCCTGGGCCTGATAATCTGCATTATCATCGGATGCGCCTTGATTGGCGTGTTCTACTCACTCGGGAGAAATGAATGGGAAAAGGCGGAGGCCCTCTGGGAAGGTGTATTTGCCTTGGTTGCTTCTATAATCATCACCTTGATGGGGGCTGCCTTGCTTCGGGTCTCAAAGCTCCAAGAAAAGTGGCGCGTCAAGCTGGCAAAGGCTTTGGAGTCAAAGGCAGACGATAGCCGACAGAAAACGCTCTGGGGGAAGTTCAAGATATGGTGCGAAAAATACGCCATGTTCATGCTGCCTTTCATCACCGTACTGCGGGAAGGCCTTGAAGCGGTAGTGTTCATTGGAGGCGTTAGTCTGGGCGCTACTGCTTCCTCAATCCCGATACCCACTGTTACCGGACTGATTGCAGGTGCTGCGGTAGGGTATATGATCTACAAGTACGTTGAGTGGTAACCTTTTGCTTCGGAATCGAGCTAGAGTACTGACCTGCCCCATTAGAGGCGGAAACTTCGTTCCCATCCAGATATTCCTCATCGTGTCGACCTGTTTCCTATATCTAGTTGCGGGAGGACTGTTCTCTCGAAGCGTAGGATTCTTCGAGCAGTATAAGGTGAGAGATGCCAATCCCAAACCATTTCCCTAGCTCCCAGCAGCGACTGCTAACTTTAACGAGTGGAATATGGTGATTGGAGGTGATGCGGCAGAGACAGGAGTAGGTGCTGGATCATACGATATCCGATCCAGTGTTTGGCATGTTAACGTACGTTCCTCAATACAACAAAAAGATCCCCGAATGTTGGCATAACCAGCTAATTTAGATATATCCTGTTTTTAGTGCTGCAGCCCTGAGCTAAATGGGGGTGGTGGCTGGGGTATCTTCAACGCCCTGTTCGGATGGACCAATTCTGCGTCTTTGGGCACAGTATTGTCATATAATTTTTACTGGATTGCAGTTATCATTGGCTTCCTTTCCATGATATACTATGAGAAGAGAGGCCGATGGCCGTTCCAGAAAAGCAGCGCGAAGCCAGACCTTTCCATCAACGACAACTCCAGTACCGAGCATCACGTTATGGGCAAAGGGCCATAAAGTCCTCTACAGGATCTTAGAGTCATCTCAAGAATCGGAAGCAAAGCGAATGCCAATGTTGGATGTTTCTCTGGATGCTCGGACGTTCGTTCAATTTCCGTTGAGACGATAAGATCAAAACGAAGTGCAAAGGTTAGATGAAATGCTATTAATAGTTATGCTTCATTACTAGCTTAGCTAATTTGGGTAGCTAACTAGTTAATAAGTAGCTAAAGATACCGTTGAAATTTTACATTCTATTTTTTACTACATGGATTTTAAATCATTACTAAAATAATATATAAAGCCATTTCCAAACGTATTCATTATCGTACTTATGGTATTAGAAGTGTGATATTTAGTCTCAACCTTTTAGAAAACGGACCGCCTGCAGACTTATTGGAGTTAACTATAAAACTGCTATTGTAAAACTAGGAATTCAAGCACCATTTATCTAGTGCTCTTGAGAGGTAGCTAGATCGTAGGGATGATAGTAGCTTAGCCTTCTACAACAGCCTGGTAACAAGCCAAAGTACTTACCTAGTAGTTGTTTCTTACGAGGCAGCGATTATGGCCGCTTGGTTGTCACTGCAACAACCTGATTGGCTGATAACTGGCCATTGCACCGTTTGAGGCTTCCAAGTCAATTATGTAGTAGATAGATACTATGGGTGCCTAATACCTAGATATTTAGTCAACGATCGAGATATCGTTTAAACATCATGAAACTCCACATGCAGTGAATGTCACTTCCTTAGTTTGATTGGTGTAACGAGTCATGATCCAAAGACGTGTGGTCAGGGTGTAGGGCGAAGGTGGTGTGTGGTATATGCTACCCCAAGTTGACCATCTATGTGGCCACCAAACCAACTATATAAATAGGCCTGGAATAAACAAAGCATTTCCCTTGATCCCCCAGGTGCTTCTCCCGCACAGTGCAGAGTGGGCTATTAGACGTTTCCACTTGTCGAAATACCAACCACCCTCTCGCCTCCTGCAAATCATACCATACCAGGCGTGTTCCTGCAGAGCCAGAATGACCGCCCGCCCTAGCGTCCTCTTTGTCTGCGTGCACAACGCCGGCCGCTCTCAGATGGCGGCAGGTTACCTCCGCCACCTCGCTGGCGACAAGATCGAAGTGCTCTCTGCCGGATCCGCCCCAAAAGACTCAATCAACCCGCAGGTTGTTGAAGCGATGCGTGAAGAGGGGATCGATATAGCGGAGCAGCAGCCCAAGATTCTCACTGAAGATGCAGTGCGGGTCAGCGACGTTGTTGTTACTATGGGATGCGGCGATGCGTGTCCATACTTTCCTGGGAAGCGCTATCTGGACTGGACGCTTGATGATCCGGCAGGGCAAGGGTTGGAAGCTATACGGCCTATTAGGGATGAGATTAGGAAAAGGATTGAGGGACTTGTTGCTGAGCTTCTACAGTCCGCGTGAGGATGGGGGTGGGATCCATGGTATATACAGGATACTAGACCTATCCCTGCGCTCCTTTGATGGCACAGTCTTCTAGTCTCCCCACACTGCGTGGGAAGGTTTCCTACCTGCCTGCAATGAATAAAAACTTGCCTTTCTTTTCTTCATCTCCTTCCATCCGCTGGCTCTGTGCCGGCTCTATCGACGAACACAAGCGGATGTTGGCGTCTCTAAGGATGGAATAAGCGCCTTTTCCAAAACTAACTGTAACGAGCCACCCAACCTTAAAATTTCAGCCAATCACCATCCGCCAGTGACATAACAAGATACTGCTCCTTTCTGCGACGATGATCTGAAGAGCCTTTTAATACTCAATAAACCGGCATTTAGTGGCACCAATTTGCATGTTAAAAAGTCTTCCCAATGTTCTGCACCTCGCGCGAAGCCTCTCTGGAGTAATACCCGATGTGGCATTGTCTAAGAAGCAAGTTAGTTTCTTCACATTCAAAACTCTTACTTCCTCCCACTCATACTGCAGTGCACTTTGCACGCTGCTTCCACACGACAATGACAGTGGCCACGTCGAACGGCAGCAGAATACAGCCATCTGAACCTGGTGTTAAGTGCATGGTACCTGAGAGTCCGCCATCCAGAACACTTGCAATACCCTCGTCAGAAGACGATGCCGAACTCCGTCTGAAGTATCGCCCGTTCCTACTCGAGTCCGACTCGTTTCCGGATTGGGTCAGTGATCTTGAATTATCATCTGTGCTCGACATGGCTGAGAAAGACCTAGTGGCCACAGGTAGCCGGTTGAAAGTCCTCGTGCTCTACGGCAGCCTCCGACGTCGATCGTACTCAAAGCTAGTGGCCTTGGAGGCCTCGCGAATCCTGTTCCGTCTCGGCTGCGACGTCCGTGTCTTCGACCCTGAAGGCCTTCCCATGAAAAACGATGTCGATCACTCGCACCCAAAAGTCCAGGAACTCCGAGCGCTGAGCGTGTGGAGCGACGGACACGTGTGGATCTCACCAGAGCAGCATGGGAATCTGGTGCGCATCCCCCTTTCTATTATCTTATTTAGATAGTTATTAGAAGGCCCGCATGCTAACATTTAGTTATATCAAACACTAAAGACTGCCGTCTTCAAAAACCAAATTGACTGGATACCTCTTAGCACAGGATCCATCAGGCCAACTCAAGGCCGCACCCTCGCAATTGGACAGGTTTGCGGCGGGTCGCAGTCCTTTAATGCAGTGAACTCACTGCGCATCCTTGGTCGCTGGATGCGTATGTTCACAATCACGAACCAGTCGTCTATCCCAATGGCATATACGCATTTCCCTGACGAGGGCCAAGCAGGGGACCAACGACTAAAACCGAGTTCAAATCGCGATCGATTGGTCGATTGTATGGAGGAATTTGTCAAATACACGGTTCTTATGAGGCCACATCTCGAGACTTTCGGTGATCGGTTTAGTGAGCGTGAGCAGAGGAGAATAAAGGAATCAAGAGTCAAGACTGGAGAGCAATAAGTGTAGTTTCGCCGTTCTTTGAATGATATATAGACCGTCACTAGTTAGAAGTTGCTTAACAAGCATCCGTGCTAAAAGAATATAGATAATTTTACTTACAACAATTATCCTGCCTGCAGAGCCAGAGTAGGTTATCAACACCACGTCCCCTTATGCTTCGCAACGAGTAGCTCGGTTGATTGGATGAGCTACCTTTATCCATTAAGATTTATGATTGGCTGAGAAGTGGCGCTAGGAACGGAATGGAGTTATTCCAGGTCACCTGATGTGTGAAAAATAGGTGACCAGGAAGACCCACAGATATTCACTTCTAAGGGAAAATGGATACGCAGCCAGACGAGGAGACACATTTCACTGAGACTGGCTAATACAAATACTCTATTCACTTTGGTGCGGTCTCCGAAATGCGCCAAACATGGTAGCCTCTCGAAAGGTCTCCGTTGCTGAATCCGAATATTGACGCTCTTAAACCCAGAGAGCCATGGTATAACTTATGGTTATACGATGTCATCCCGTAGCAAGCAGATTATCTGTTGGACTACAAGGGACAAAAAGGCCTGAATGCCCCAAGGAATCCTTGGGTATCTGAGTGCGAGTCGTATAGCCAATGGATTCCAACATTATCTCACTTAATTGATATCGTAAAAGGATGCAGATGCTGGCTTTTGTTTCCTCGATATTCCAACAGTCGACTGTCATCACTCTAGCCGCTTGACTTAACTTGCTGTACCCAGCAGTCCGCAAAGCTGGTTGGTGTAGGCTATTACTACTGCCAGCCTGTTATCATACTTTGAAGGACCACTGCTCAAGAGCGGTCCTGGCTCTAGATATCAAATTCACTTCGGCTCTCTGAGTCCTTTATTCATACAAGCATGTGTCCATACTCTCTATTCTGACCTGTACCGTTGAAAACGGGAATTTCTCTTCCACCCACAAATGAATACTCCAGCTCAGGTTTTATTCTTTTTCCTTCTCACCACCCCTTCCACCGCATATTTTTAATTCAACATCTTCAACATTTCACTGGTGTATCTTCACATCTCTAACCTTCTTCATTCACCTACTCTCATTTACTCTCTGCCAGCCAGTCACTATAGTTGGGGTTGTTGAAGATGATCGACCTCTTACGCTCCTCTCTGCATCTTCCAGTTCAACCACGCAAGTTGTTTTTACTGACTCCAAATACTTATATACCCCCCCCCCCCCACCCCCACCCCGTTTCAACCCACGGCGCCGTTATGGTTTGGACTTTGCCATAGGGCCCTGCTACCCAAGGCGTTCTAGTTCCACTTGTACTGCTGCCAAAGAGAACTCGGATATTTCTTCATCTGAAGAGACGCCGTTGAGCCCTGGTCAACGGGATCAGCTATTTTCCGGAAGGTTTCCCGCTGACTTTTCGGGTGAAGTTGTTAAGATCAAGACAAGTTACTATGAGTACAACAAGTTGCTGGAAGCATTTGGGAGAAGAGCATAGGATGAGTTCGTGTGTCCTGCCTCTTATTGATTATACACTGTGTATGCTTACATTTAATTTGGTAACTAGGGAGAAGCAACCACCAGCCCTGGAGTTTAATAAGAAATCCAGCACGACATCTATCAGAAAAAAATTCAGCTTTACACCAATTTCTCGTCAGTAAAATATCACACCAGCTTCAATCCATCATGGAATCAATCTCTGGCAAGTTTACTGTCAGTAAGGATACGGAAGTCTCAGAGTAGGTTGCAGATCCAGACCTTCAAATGATCCATAACGAAGAGGATAGCCCGAGTCTAATTCTTGCAGTTGAGGCTGGCTTCTCACAACCAAGTGCTGATTTGGAGCTCAGAATTAAAGAGCTATTCAGGAAGACATCTATTCAAGTAGCCATTCTGGTTGATATAAAGGAGAAACCCGATTACAAAAATCCGCTCGCACGCCAGAAAAATATCGAAATTCTAAAATCAGAGCAAGACTATCTCCACGGCCAGCCTAAATTTCTGATCCAGCAGTACTGTAAGGGTCGTGAACCCTTTGCCCTGTTTTCTTATACGGTATCCAATGGACAGGTGAAATGACTGCGGCAGTGCAGGTATTCGGAAAAGACCCTGAGACCAGAGAGCCAGTGGAAAAAACTCCGAGGATTGTAAGTGTTGCAATCATCCCTTCATGAACTCCCAGAATGTATTTGAGTGATGAATATTAACTAACTACCGTCATTAGACATTTTTCGGTGAACCCAAGCTAGTGAGCGGGTCCACGGGAACTCCCGCCCATGAAGCACATCCAGATCTGAACACAAAAATATCTGATTTCGTGCAACGAGATGACGAGATCTACCAAAAAGAGTTAACATTCCAATGGGATATATTGAGGAAAGAGCTTGAGCGGGCTAGGCGGCATCTTGCGCTGGGAAGATACTTAACTGCTATTCGCAAACTCAAAAGCGATGGTAAGATATGACTTGACAGTTCGTGCAAAACTGGTGGGATGTACCTAGCCAAGCAAAAATACCTATAATGATGGCTGCAGTATATTCCTGCTTTGAGGTACCAGCGAGTTGAGAGATTTATGTAATGTTCCTTCTCAATCACGATCGTGATAGATTAACTAGTAATCATAACTACCAACCCACCAAGTATTGATAGGAGCGTTAGCGAGGAATGCAGTTGAATGAACGGATCTCTGATTGGTAGCTACCTGGGTACCTAGAGGTTGACACTTGATGGATTGATGGTGTACGAGAAACATTAACTAACCTAGGTACCGTACCTAGGTGGTTAGTTAACTGGTTGTTAGTAAGCGCAGTCAAACCTTGCCTTTTTTCTTTCTCTAACAACCACAGAAAGTGACAAGCAAGAAAATAAGGAGAAGAAGAAGACAACGAAGAAGGGGAGAGAGAGACAGTAGAGCAATTCTAATGTTGTTTCTTGTTGCCTGGCCACATTTTATCTGCAAGATTCCATATACATATGTATCCATTGCAATATCTATCAGTCCTTTGCTGTATTGAGCTCCACTCCTGGTTTGAGACCTCTGCGGACTCTCTACTCATCAAAGACCTAGCTCTAGCTACCCATAAGCCTAGAGCCTGGCTATAAAAACAATACCATGCCTGTAGATCTGGACTACCCATAAGGATGGAAGAAGATTTCCCGCCTCTACCACCTCCTGCTGCAGCAAATAGAGAAATGGACAGACCCGGGACCGTCCCCTATGCTACGGCTAGGGTTCCTGCCACCGCAGCAGCACCAGTCCTGACTGTCCATAAAGAAGGGGATCTAGTTATTATTTGTGAACCGTCGCCTTACAATTCATTGCGCGAGCAGACGCCATACATGGTCCGACTCTCCAGCCGAGATATCACGAGAGATAGCGAGTATTTTAGAGCCCTGCTAGACCCTGCGAAATTCCAGGAAGGTCGGTCGCTTTTACGGAGCCATGAACAGATGGAAGCCCAATATGGGTCAAAAGAACTGGCTTTGAAGCAAATGGACATAGACCAGCTATTTAATTTCAAAATTGAGCTTCCACCATTATCAACCAGAGCTGACCTGAAGGAGACATTGACCCTGTACTTTGAAATCATATGCTCCTCTGGCCCACAATACATTCCTGGCCTGGCCGATGTGATCAAGCGACTTGCAGGTTGCCCGGCTCCCAGGCTGGCTAGCCTGCTTGTCCTCTCGGATAGGTTTCTTTCAAATCCTGCGATAAGACATGCTTTCCAGCTAGCTTTAGGACAGGATATGGAAGCCGGCTTTCCACGTACGGTAACCCGTCTACGGCGCGTGCAGTCTCGGAGTGAAGAAGGCCTAAGGGAGGGAATCTTCCTAGCACGCTTCCTCGAAGAGCCGGTATCCTTCTCCCGCCTGACGCAGTCGCTAATTCTCCGAGGTTCTGTTAACTGGATGGCAGAGAAGCCTGGTGGCATAGCTGGACTCGAGAAGCCCCTATGGTGGCACTTGCCAGGAGACATGGAAGGTAGGTTACATTGACTTCTACTACCCCTTTATTTATTGCCGTTACGTGGTTATAGAGGTTAATGTATTCACTCTTAGAAGAACTTCAATATCGGCATGACGCTATAATCCATACCATAAATGAGATTCAGAATTACTTTCTTGCCGCATATGGAGCACTCAATCCATACCAAACACCACCATGTTCTCCCTTTGATATACTTAATCAACGGAATCAACCAAAGCGAAAGGTACAGTGCCGCCGTGCTTTAGAGAATTCCGAAGTATGCGATTCATTCCAACTGGGCGAGATGATTCGTTTTTTCACTTCCCGGTCCAAAACACTCTTCCTGGAATCCGGGCTATATTTAGAGTCAGACCTGGGAAGCAGCGAAGGAGAAGATGGATTTGCCCAAGCTGCAAGGTTAGCCCGAGAAATGAGGACGATGAAGGGGAATAGTAACGTTGTCGCAAGACTGAATGCAATGAACCCAGCCGAAATGGCTAATATCAGTACCATACTTTCGTACCTGAGACGTTGCCCTGAGCGTCAGATGGATTCCAACCATGTGGGATGCGGACTTCGACGTCGACTTCTTCCTCTTCTGGAATATATCGATAAATTTTTTGAGTTAGGCAAACCATCTCTGGCGACTCGCCATGGGCAAGTTGGCCTGTGCATCAAGCACGACCGTTTCGGTATGGATGAGCGTGACTCTTGGAGCAATAGTGAATTCCGTGAAGAGGTGTGCGTCGTAGTGAGCGCTCACACGCCGGTTTCCATTAAGTTTCCCAATCCAAGCACGTCAATTGCTCTGAAAGGCCGTACTTACTCGTGGACGGATGGTTGGTGCGGCTGTATACATTCGGCAATGGAAGCAAGGGCATTCTTTACATCCAAGAATCGGCATTGGGAATGTTAGATTGGAAGCATTATGCCTACCCTTAGAGTAGTTTGACATAGACAGAATACACATCTCCCGCTGTGCGGTTTGCCACATAGTTCAACTATGGATATTTGACAAAGCCCGTATCATTTTTCTCTAGGACGGTAATGTGAAAGACATAAAATAATTGTGCATATCAGGTAACATTAATCCAAGCTACTAAAGGCAAGCGTAAACATCAAGCTCGACAGTAGAATGGAAGAGGTGCGTGAATGGAAGCATTTTATAATATACTAGAACATCAACCAAATCTCCCTCACTCAATGGTATAACCGTCAGCAACGCATTTAACATCCTGAGTGAAGCCCACTGCTTCGCCCTCCATATCTAATAACGAAACAGAAAGAACGTCTACATCCGCAAATGGTGTCGACTTGGTAAACCGAACACTCATAGGGAAGAACTCATTCTCATCACTGTCAGCATCGGAGGATTCGAACTCAAAGCTGCCAGAGGAATTAGAAGAATCGACGTGTCCAATGTTCCAGTCTAAAGTGTCACCTGTGACCTCGTAGTTGGAGTCGAAGCTGGTGATGGTAGGTTCTACTGTTTGGAACGGAATGGTGACGGCAACATCTTGCAGGTTATCTGAGCCAGTAAGCTCATACTCCACTGTAACTGTGGTGGAATCAGAACCTTTATTAACCCATACGGTGAAAGTGATTGGTAGTAGGTCTGTCTCTCCGCTGCTTGCAATACGCCATCGAAGCACACCAATTGCGTTGTTTGCTGGGAATCTCTTGGACGTGTCTTTCAGCTGAATAACCTTTTGGCTTGAGAAGAGTGCCTTGTCGACATTTGGGTGGGTCCGGTACTGGGCGCCGTGCGTTGCATTTGCAGTCAAGTCAAGCTTGGCTTTGGTGAAAGAAGGGTCGGAAATGCGTAGTTGGAGGTCGCCCTTGACCTCAAATGATTTCAGTGCGCCATCTCGGGATAGCTTGGCAGACATGCTCTCAGCAACGGTTATGTGGATTGGATCACGCTCTGCGGATAACGATGCTCTTGTCGACGGAGCTTCTGTCGCAGCAGCAGCTGCTGCACTTGGTGTGATGAGGGGCGAATCCTCAGCTTCAGGCCCAAGTTCACCTCGCACTTTCTCGTAGATATCGGTGGTCTTGGACTTCTTCCCCAGTTGCATTCCCTTGCCTCTCGTGACAAGCGGTCTATTGACAGTCAGCAGAAGTGTTAAAATCGTATGTATTTTTCCTCGCTATAAGGTGGAATATGATGCCGTACTTAGAAAATGTTTTCTTTTTCTCCGCTTCATATGAGTCCATTGCATCTGGCACGCTCGATCGGACGGGTGGGGTGTATGTAGGGTAGGAGGGAGTTCGAGGAGCCATAGCTCTCCCGCTTCGGGCAGCTTCTTTGCGTTGCATTTCGAGTTGCTTCGCCTTGCGCTTTCGTTCCTCTGTTGCCTCCAATTCTTTGTTCTACAGCCAGATATTAGCAACCACGTCACTGATAAGCAAAGAAAAACAGCCGCTTCTTACCCTATCAATTATCTCCTGGACTCGTTCCTCATGACTCTCCATCTCAAGGAAAGTCTTGATTTGTGACAAAGACAGGTTCTCTCGGTATCCCAAAGTAACAATTTCGTCAAACGCACTCAGGAGCTCAAACGCACTGCGGATTATCTCCCGCTCATCCAAACTCTTACAGATGCTAGACACAACCTGGGCAAATATGTGTAGACTGTCGATATCCTGAAGAATGTTGGATTGCCGATTTGTGATGAGGACGATATACAGCTCGTCGAGGGGCTGATAGACAAATCGGACACTATCCTGCTCGACGATAGTATGCTGCGTGCCTGAATCCGCCAGCTTTGGGAACGAGGCCAGCAATGCCTCTATTCTCGTACGCGGCATCTCTCGGAACTGCCGTGAGAGGACGGCCTTCCCTCCTCTTGTACATATCGAAGCTGCGAGGACAACCTACGAGGTCGTCAGTACTTGTATAAGGAGTATGAGGGGACAGCTATAGCAGCCAGAATGTCTACCATTGCGTCTGCCGGTCACACCCAAGTGTAATTGCCTTTGAAGACCAACTTATCGTCTGTAAAAAATTCGCCGCCGACTTCACGAACTCCCTCTCTGTGGATGTTGGTCGTCGTCGTTGTGGTTGTTGTCTTCGTCTTCGTCCTCGTCTTCCTGTGATGCTCAAACTTGTCCTTTAGAGAAGGGTGAGGTGGCCCGTGCACGACGTCGCTTACTGTGGCGAAAGGGGAAATTTATTTCTTTCAGCTTCCAATTTCAAAACATCAAAAGTCGACGTCAACTTGATATGCTCCAACAAACACGACAAACGGGAATGATTTAGCTCTTACTCGTACTTCACAACTCGTTATTGAGAATAAAAAGATACGACATTTCTGGATACCTGCGTTTTCAGGCCCCTCGCGATGCTGCAAAAGGCCGCAGTTTGAACGGTTTTATGAGACAGAGACAACGCGGTCGGTTTACAACTCCTCGCGATGGAGGCGATTATACTTGACGAAAGCATGGAGCTGGCTCCTGATACGGCCAGATACTTTGATCCCCAAGATGATATCGAGATAGATCTAGATGAGGTGGCCGCGCCGAACCACGACGTTGACGTGATCGTTGATGATGCCTCTATGGCCGGCTCAGATCATCCGGAGGCCACGAGAGGGACACATGAATCCGTAAGAGATGCAGATATGATAGACGATGGTCACGGGGCCCATCATATCGAAGGTATTCACAAACGTGCCGAAGAAGATTATCAGTTCATCAACGATGCACTAGATATCGACCATCAGTCCTACGAGATGGAGGATGATTATGAGGAGGATATCGATGCTCCGATCCCGGGCACAGGTGTAATGGAACCTGATGCACCTGCAAATAGTGCACCTTCGGCTGAAATGGCAGAGGAGGGTTATCATGGCCTTGAAAATGAGCCCGCAGAGCGGGTTGAACCAAATGGTCGGTCAGATTTGCCCGAAGAGAACACACCATTAGAGCCCAAGGAAGAGCGCGAAGAGGCTCATATGCCTCCTATTGGGGAGCAAGAACAGAATACCGAGGTTAAACTGGGTGATGGCGAACCGGAGCACCTTAACATTGCCTCCGATGAACAGCTGCAAAATTCAGAGGATCTCGAGCATGAAGAACAAATCCACGAGGTAAAATCCCAGGCTGAAGGCATAGCTCCAGGGAATGTTGATGAAAACACCACAGACCAGGTAGACGAGGAAGCCGCTGTCCTCGGCAAGAATGAAATTGGCGCCCATGAAAGCGGAATTTCTATGATGCACAACGTTCAAGTCTTGTATCAAGACAGTGAAATTTCTTTATTTCCTCCCAAAGAAGATGATCTATCTGAAACATACTTTCTCGAGGACGAAGCTTTGGCACACGAGCCCATCGGAGATTTGCTTAACGCCTGTCGAGTAGTCTTGGGGGATCATATGGGAACGGAAGAGGAGCTGTACATGGACATAGAGTGTCTTGGGATTCATCTAACAGAGGTAAGAAACACTGTTAAGACCAATGCGTATGTGATAAGTTACTTATACTCTTTTTTTAGGCCACCCGTTCCCCTATTTCATTATCACAGGTAGTTCAAGTGTATCTTGACCTTTGCCGTAATGATGGAGACACCAACCCTGGTCCTCTTTACATAACTCTTGCCACGCAACCATCCTTTACCCAGAACTTTACCAATCTTTCGGAGGCAGCTCAGTCTGGCAAAGGTCTAGCACATGTTAGTAAATGGGATGAGTACGAGGACCAAATAGTGTTTGAAGAGCATGGAGCCACAGGCAATCAACAAGAAGAAGAAGAACCAGAAAACACAGAAAGCAGAGAAAAGGTGGAAGAACCCGAATTTTCTGTAGAAAAACCAACAACTCCCCAGAACCATCCAGAAATGCAACATGAAGAGGGAAATGAGGAGGAGGCTTACGCAAATGAAGGTATTGAAATTAATGCAAATGAAACAGAAGAACAGGAAGCACAAGAAGTGCAACCTGTCCCTGCTGAAGTTACAGCTGAGGCCCCCGACATCGAGGCCAATCAGCTAGAGTTGGAAGAGGCTACCCACAAACGCTTTTCTCCCAATGAAGGCGCCGAACAGGAGATAACGGAGGAAAATATAGCTGCCGAACGAGTCGAAGAACCAAGTCATGGAGGCGTGCAAGAAGAAGAAGAAAACGCTCAATCCCCAGTTCCCGACAACGAAGATGGCGAATCTTCAGTACCTGATCCCTCTAGAGATACTAACACTGAGCCCACCCATGAAATTGTCGCAGATGCCCGTGAAGATTTTATTGAAATCGACCTGGAAGCGTTTGATAAAGAGTCACACGTCGATGATGGCCATGTGGAAGATGACTCTAGTTATCCTTCCCATGAACAGGCTGCCGAACCTAGCACGCCAGAACCAAGCTACAACCCACTTGAGGTTGACGAAGATATATTCAAGAGCCCCACTGCTGCTCAATCAGAGTTACCCCATGAGTCTTTCGATGATCAGGATATAGGTCGGTCAGACGTAACTGCCGATCTGACTGAAATACATGATGAGAACCAGGTAGAAATCATTCTACCTGCGGACCAGACCGGTGATGGTCAACACACTTCTGCCGTCCCTGCAGAGGAAGACCAAGCCCAGGATTTTAACACAATAGAGGTTATAGACTCTGCAACCGGGGAGACTCTATCAGAGCCTCATGTGGAGTCTAAAGAGCTAGAGGAGGACGTTGAAGATGTCGTCTATGCTGGCTCGGCAGAGTTGGAAGCAGACGGGCACTACGACGCTCCCGAAGACCAAGATCTGGTTGACCTAGAAGAAGAACCCTACCAGACAGAGGTACTGGATGGAGAATATTTAGGAGCCCACGATGCGGCAGAGAATCAAGAAGTGCCAGAGCCAGCGCTGGAGCCAGAGCCTGAAACCAACGGAACGGCCCTGAACGGCACGAATTTCCGGGAACAGAGTCCGAAGGCTGGCAAGAGGCCTCGTGCGGATGATGAGTCGATCAGCATATCAAATCAAGTACCAGTGATAAAGAAACCTCGCGCCGAATAAGATGGCGGTTCTCCATTTTGCCTGGTCGAGGTCGCCCTTTTAAGCCTCGTCATATCAACATCCGGATCCAGAGATGTAGACTGCCCTACTAACCTTGTACGATCACATATCTGCCAAGAATGGCGGTACTAACGCACACAGGATCAGCATACCGCACATACCGTCATTTTACTTTCATTCGGGTATCGACAGCTAAAGAGGTACGTAACTTTCCTAGATACTAACCATAGCTTGCCCTTTTTTTACACGCAGCCATTCCTCGGTACCATACGAGTAACTGGATGTATGGGTACTACCTTCCCAGACCGAACATCACCTGCCACCATTTGACGCTACCACCATAATGCTGGATGTTGACCCATACAGGGTACCTGAACTGGACAGTTCGATACCGCCTAGTCTTGACATTTATACCCCTTGTTAGGGGGTAGTTCTTCTTGTTGATGCCGGCATGGTCCTTGGTATATCCATTTATCTCCTGGCTTACTGACCTGGTAACTGTTGATTTCATCCACACCCAATCACAATCCTCTTCTTTTGTTCCACATCTTTATTCTCCCTCTCTCTCTCTCTTTCCCTCTCTCAGCCCTATGCCTTGTCTTTTTATATCCTCGCACTGACCTTACCTGTGGCTTGAAAATGGCGTTCTGCACGGATGGTAAAAGGGAGTTTATCATACCTTTAACTGTTTGGAAGCTTTTCTTCTTTTCTTCTTTTCTTCCTCTGTCTATCATCTTGAACTAGATCCTCCTGCCTTCCTCATGTTCTCCACCCTCCTCCCTGTTCCCCCTTTGCCTTCTTTCTACTGGCGTCTGTATGATAGTTAGCTGTCCGGTTTACTATAATTTTAATCGTCAATTTTTATTCCACCTCCCTCGCGCCCATACGAGCTGCTATTGTCCGGTGGATTCATCCGGCCCCCTTGCCGTATATCTCGCACTCTTAAGCATATAGATATACTCCGTATATTAATTACTTACTGCCCGCCCCCGACCATCCTGGTGCGTGTCTCATCTCCGATCTCCTTACCCCTGAAACATCCCCCCGATATCTCCAAGGTTGAGCCTCCAGCATCATTACTTCCGCACACCACCTGGCATCGATGCTCAGCAGGGCCCTCCTGCCTCGTACCGAGCCTCCTCCCCCACTCCCTGTCCATTGAGCATCTACTTTCTTCTTCTTCTTCTTCCTACTCCGCCTCCTCATTCATACTCTGTGCCTGACGATCACCCAGGGCTTGTACGCGCAAAGCAGGCCTGCTTAGCTAAGCGCCTCACCTGCTGTCATGAAACAACCAAAAAAAGAAAATCACCGAGAGAAAAAGCTGGCCTGAAATCAACACCAACTGCAACTCTTCGCCCTTTTGCACCTGAAAAGGAACCCGGAGTCCTCTCGAGCAGGCCGAACAGTCGAGATCTTCGCTGCGTCTTCTCGTCTGGCGCCGTCCTTTGTCGCTCTCTGCTCGTCCTCTGCCGCCTTTCTATGGCCATCCTCCACCTCGGTCTCCACGGACCACGACTTACGATCTCGCTGCACCAAGATCGAATTTGACCTGCTACAGAGCTGTCTGGCCGTCTCTCTGCGTCTTGTCTGCTCATCTATTCACTTGCTCTTCCTCGCTTCACCCTAGCCTACCTGTTTTTCTTTTCTTACCTTGCGTCGCTCGTTTTACTCTTCCTTTCCCGGTCGACTCGCCACGGGATAAACGCAAAACGCCTCCTCTTGTACCTGCGCCCGAAAGTTGCTGGTCCGATTTTCGACCTAGAGGAGGAATAATATTAATATTAACGGAGTGGTTTGCGCCTCTCCGTCCTGACGGTGCGGTTGAACGACGACTTAACTATTGCGCAGCACTTTTACAAGAAGAGGGCAAAGACCGCTGGATAGGAGTTGATATACCGGCAACATGGTTTCAGACAAGTATGGTGAACACTCAGAGACAGATGCAGACGTTTTGGAGCTGGGAGAATTATGGTGTTAATTGTTGGGGTTAGGTATATCGGGCTATGTCTCGCCATCGTGTCAACAATGGCCATTGGTGAGTGCCAGCCGAAGAGCTCCCTTTTTCACTTTTGGATCTTGTTCTAACGATATTCTTTGAATAGGCACAAGTTTTGTTATTACTAAAAAGGTCGGTATCAAGGCTGCCTCTTTTTGTTTGTTCTCCATGCTTATCGTAGCGTCCAGGGTTTAATACAAGCGTCGGAACGACATGGCTTCGAAGGAGATGGATTCTCTTATCTGAAGAGCCCCATGTGGTGGGGAGGAATAGTTACATGTTTGTCCTCCTGCTTATGCTCCTATTGATGCAGCAGAGTGTGTACTGACTCGGGAGCCTTACAGTGGTCCTCGGCGAGGTTGCGAATTTCGCCGCATATGCCTTTGCCCCTGCGATCTTAGTGACTCCTCTCGGCGCGCTAAGTGTTTTAATAGGGTCAGTTATACCGGCATTGGCCCCCTATTATATACTTATCCATCAGCTGACATTCAATCTAGAGCTGTTCTGGGAGCATACTTCCTTAATGAGCGGCTTGGAGTCCTGGGAAAACTTGGATGTGCCCTTTCACTGCTCGGCTCGGTTATCATTGTCCTTCATGCGCCTCCAGACCAAGAAATCGGAACTATAGATGAGATCTTACATTATGCGCTTCAGCCAGGTATTTTCCACTATTGACTAACGCTGCTAGCTTTGCACAATACTAACACTGGTCAATTATAGGATTCCTTCTTTACTGTACTTTTGTTGCCATTTTTTCCACTGTGATGATATATCGAGTTTCGCCGAAGTATGGCAAGAAAAACCCTCTTGTTTACATCTCCATCTGTTCCACTGTTGGTTCGGTCTCGGTCATGTCGGTCAAAGCATTCGGAATTGCCGTGAAACTCACCCTGGACGGACATAACCAGTTCACACATCCATCGACCTACGTTTTTGCCATCGTGGTTGTCTGCTGTATATTGACGCAGATGAACTACTTCAACAAGGCCCTGAGCCAATTCTCTACTTCCATGTTTGTCCTTCCTCCATCTAAACTATCCAATGTTTGAGTTTCCTTGCTGACTTGTGAATGTGACAGTGTAAATCCCCTGTACTATGTTACCTTTACCACCGCCACTCTATGCGCCTCTTTTGTCCTCTTCCGCGGATTCAACACGACAGACAAAGTCGCAACGATATCTCTCCTCTGCGGGTTCCTCGTTATCTTCTCTGGCGTCTATCTTCTCAACCTATCCCGGACGGATCCCGATGGCCGTGCTACGGGCCGACCAGATGATGAGGACGCTGTCCCAACTGACGGGATTGCAGGTATACAGACCCGTCGATCGCTGCAGGCACGAAGAAGCATCGACCCGCACCGCCGGAGTTCTTCCAGTATTGCATATTTCAACGGACCAAGTGACAGGGAAGGGCTCATGCGGTCCTACGATCTCGAGAGCGGTGCAGCCTTTGGTCTAGAGGATCTAACGGAAGAGCCTGACGATGACAGTGAAAGCCATAGCCTGCGTCAGACAAATGGCACTACAGAGCGTCGTCCAGATGACCCTATTCCCAACGGGAATGGCACAAAGCCTTGAAAAGAGGACACCGCTTCTGTCCTTCCTTTTGTTACCTTTTTTCTTTTTTCTTGCCTCCGTCCCTGGATTCTTGATATATCTCTTTTATTTACATACCTCCCCAGCACTGGATCGATGCATTTCAGATGACCAACTCCTAGCGCCATCCTCTTCCAACGATTGAAGGCTATAATAATTACCAAAAAAAAAAAAGAACAAACATGAAATCGATCACGAAAGCAACCAGCAAGACGGGAGATAGTAATGACCCTTTCCCTTGTCTTTTTTACCCTTTTACTGTTTCCCTCTACCTCCTCTCTGCTTTATATTTTTTTTGGCTTTTTGGATGGCCTTGATTTGGTTTTTTTTTACCCGCGGATAAGTAAAGACTTTACGCCTGTCCATGTATTATTGGGAATCGGTATTCTTGGGAGGTGTTCATATACACGAAGGCCATTCTCTGGGGCTTCATCTTCTTTTCTTCCTTTTCGGGGCCCCTTGGCCAGATCTATTTCTTCTACTCTCTTCTTGTTGCATGTAGACCTGGCGTTTCGGAGTAGGATGTGTATGCTGAAGGGGAATCAATCTATTCGGTCTGTCTTATCTGTCACTATACATTCTTTTCTCTGTCTGTCTCTCTTTTGGTTCATTACTATCAGCTTACATCGCCCTCCTGGTTATACTGTCTGTTTGTATTGATTGCTGTCCTGAATGTGTCCTCGTACCCCTATTTCCTTCGTCTATATCTACATCTGATAACGACAGGGTCAGGTGACTGGATGCGCCGGCGATTCGATGAGCTTTCTTCTAACGTCGCCAGTTTTTTTACCCATCGAGGATCCGCTTCTCCTTCTCCTTCTTCTTCCCCTCGTTCAGGATGGACGCTGTTCATCTGGCGATGCCTCTGCGGTTTTTTGCGAGCGCACGCCAGTACCGACAGACAAGATGCCTGGCCTGGCGAGAAAGCTGCTCATCATTGCGGCCGTGGACGGCTTGATCCTCCAGCCGTACCATAACAACACCCGCTCATCAGCGAATCTAGTACAAGTCGACTACAAGACACACCACGTCCACTCGCCGGCGAGGGTCTCAAACTACCAGTACAAGAACGACGCATGTCTGGAATCGCATGGCTTGATCGGTTCGTTGGCCTTTGTCACCTTGGGGGGTTGCTTGCGCGCTAGTTAACTAAGTAGTTGGTTTCTATAGGACTGCTTTCCGTAGCATCATACTCGTTCCTGATATCAATCACCCAGCGCCAGCAGGTTGCGCATATTCTAGGGAAACCGATTTTCGTGATCACCGGGGTATCCATTATCCCTTTATCTGGCCAGGCTGAGGCCTCCAAGGCAATCAGACAGGCACAACGAGCATTGGAGGATAGTCCGGATGCCTACGAGCTATCAGATAGCGAGTCGGATAATTCTGAGGACTTCCTCTCTGATGAACACACCAACTTTGATGCTATATCCCCGGAGGGTGACCTGTACCCTCCAGTCGACGAGCCTAGCAACGAAATCAGTATTGCTGAAGATGTTATCAAGAAACGAGGGCGATATGGCAGATTTACAGCAGAGTGGTTTGCCAGGAAAGGTTGGGGCAGCATTGGACTGTCTGATTCCAGGAGACGGTCCCTCATATCGTCCAGTGATGGTTCTACTCACGCGGAGTCCATGGAGCTGAAGAATCTTGGAGCTGATGCTTCTGATGGTCTAGAGCCTAAGGGCGCCAGCGAGAACATGGCTGTGACAGACGCCAGAACCTATGATTTAATGCCCAAGCTGCTAAAATACACCAAAATGATGTTTGGATCCCGGAGCTTCTACTTTTCTTATGACTATGACATTACCAGACGGTTTGGTCCAGTAGATCCAGCTTCAACGCATGTTCCTCTATGTCAGCAGACCAACCCATTGGTAATATATTTCTCCCCTTTGCGGCAAGAGTATGCAGGCTAACAAGCCTGCGTTTCAACAGTACTTTTGGAATAGACACTTGATGAAGCCTTTTATGGATAGTGGGCGTCACACCTTTACCCTTCCGATAATGCAGGGTTTTATCGGACAACAGGAATTTGTTGCTGAAAGAGCTGCACCATCGAGTACCGAAGCTGATGGTCAATCTAATACCGCGGAGGAAGGCAACATCAGCGCCAAAAAGGAGAGTGAAGATGGCTCAGCCGATGGTAGTCGAAATTTTCTTCTCACCTTGATATCACGTCGCTCTGTGTTACGTTCGGGAGTTCGCTATCTTCGCCGCGGTGTCGACGATGATGGCAACTCTGCAAACTCAGTTGAGACAGAACAGATACTGTCAAGTCCTTCGTGGAATCCAGCAGAGAAGGTATACTCGCTGGTTCAGCTACGAGGATCGATACCTCTCTACTTCTCCCAGTCTCCCTATTATTTCAAGCCAGTCCCAATCATGCATCACTCCGCGCAGACCAATCTTGCATCCTTCACGAAGCACTTCCACGATGTCCAGAGAAGATATGGCAAGGTCCATGCTGTCTGTTTGGTAGATAAGCATGGCGTGGAGGTGAACATTGCAGAGACATATGGACGTTATTTGGAAAATTTTAACAAGGCCGAAACATCCGAGGATAAGAAAGTCCCCTACCAGTGGTTTGATTTTCATGCCGAATGCCGTGGAATGAAGTTTGAAAATGTTAGCCGTCTTGTGGACAGGATGTCGGAGACTCTGAAAGATTTCGGTGACACTGTCGTCCTGAACAATGCAGTTGTTCGTAACCAGTCCGGTGTCATAAGAACTAACTGCATGGACTGCTTAGACCGCACCGGTGTCTCGCAGTGTGCATTCGGTCAATGGGCCCTAGAAAAGCAACTCAAGGAAGAAGGCCATTATATTGACCTCCAGGGAAGTGCTGCCACCCAGTGGTTTAACATCCTCTGGGCAGATAATGGGGACGCAATCTCAAAGCAATACTCGTCTACTGCTGCACTAAAGGGAGATTATACCAGGACCCGGAAGCGTGATTACCGTGGTGCCTTGAATGACCTAGGCCTGACCCTGACCCGGTACTATACCAACATTTTTACAGATTACTTCTCCCAGGCTTGTATAGACTATCTGCTTGGAAACGTCACCACTCGGGTCTTTGATGAATTTGAGACAAATCTGCAGAGTGCAGACCCTGGGATATCCATGGAGAAAGCTCGTCAAAGTGCGATTGAGACCAGCTGCCAGATCGTCATCAGCGAGGAGAACGAAGAGTTCATCGGAGGCTGGACGATGCTGAGCCCTCGTCAGCCAAATACCCTGAGGACCCTACCATTTGAACAGACCGTTCTCCTGCTTACCAACGTAGCCGTATATTCCTGCCGGTTTGACTGCAACACGGAGAAGGTCACTTCCTTTGAACGCATCGACCTGACTTCAATCACGGGCATCAAGTATGGAACGTACATCAGCTCCACATTGACCGACGCCCAGAGGGACGAAAAGAGGAACACAGGCCTGGCAATTGCCTACCGTCCAAGCACCAGCAACTCGTTACGAGTCAACACAACCTCCCTACATAGCCTTTTTGCTGAGAAGCCAGAATCCGCCACAGAAAACCAGGATATCATAGACTGGGACCTATCCACTCTCTTCAAAGGCTCAGACAGGTCTTCTACCCACTTCCTCGCCTTCAAATTACCAAACACCTCTTCTGCAGTAGCTAGGACCCCAAAAACCCCGGAAGTCAGCGAGGTTGACGCCGTGCGCGCCATCTGCGAGGAGATTGAACGCATGGTGAACCGAGCCACCCAGTCTTCATCCATTCATGCCGAGCGACCGTCCATCGTCGAGCAGACTCAGATCATCTCATTGGAGAATGCCCGGAGACAGACTGGATACTTTGAACATCTGTTTTTCGATATAAAGAAGCTCGTCTGGGCCTGATAGATACTGATTTGAATTTGCGTTCAGAATCCGTTCACTTGCGTCCCATGCCTTCTTCTACCCTCACCTACTTGCAGCCCCGCACGTCGGCCTCAGCCTTCTGATATATACATAATCACATTAATTGCATCTATAATCTTTGACCTTGAATATCAAGATACATCGGATAGCCCCTTATGTCTATCAAAATATCAAATATCAAATATCAAAATAATAACACTTTTTGGCTTTTCCCATTTCGGGAGGCGGGGACTTTTCTGCCGCCTTCCCCCGCCTTTCCTTTTTCGTCATAATTTTTTTCTGCCCCAAAGAAAAAAAAATGAAATAAAAAATAATAAAAATAAAAATAAAAATAAAAGACACAGAATAAAAACACCAGAGAAGAACAAGAGAGGAAGAAGGAAAACAGAGGAAGAGAAGATATAAATCAAGAAGCTTGCTTGAAGACGCCGGCACAGCCTATCAGCAAAGGCTAACTAGGGATCCCAGGTGAGGTCTTGGCGCGCTGTGTGGTTCCTCTGGCCGCAACAACGCTTTTTATTGCTCGTATACCTTGGTACCTGAAACTAACTGTCTTCTTTGACAGACCTGTTGGTTCCCGCTGCCCGCTATCTTCGAGAGATTGAGAACAAAAAGATATATTCTCGGCTGGTGCTGGTCTCTCTTTTCCTTCTCGCCGGCGTTCTCGACGTTGCCTTTCACCCATCCATCAGCGGGGGTTAGCTGCTTTCTTTGAATACCACTACCAGTTACTCTCCCAGGCCCTATCTCTCTATTATTTGGCTCCGTTTCGCCTCGAAGGCTTCCGTATTCTGCGCGAATATCCAGTATAACTAATTCACGATGGCGTGGCAAGCGGAGGAAAGCACGCTGGCGCAGCTGGCGGGGTATCTCAACGACACCTTGAATGCGCGAGATCAAGCAGTGCGCAAAAACGCAGAGCAGGTGAGATATATTTAGCTTTATATTGTCATTGATTATTTATGTTTCTGAGATGAGAATGGCATTTTTTTAACGTCCATGGCAATATAGATGCTCACACAAGCTACATCTTCTCCCGACTTTGTCAACTACCTATCATTCCTACTACGAACTCCTCAGCCCCCCGCTGCCGTTGGCTTTGATATCAAGGGATACAATGTCGTCCGAGTAGCCGCTGCTATGAACCTGAAGACAAAGATAAAAGTGGCCTACCAGTCGATACCTCCGGATGCTTTAGCATACTTACAAGCAGCAAGCTTGGTAGCCCTAGGAGACGAGTCTGCCCCTGTTGCAAACTCCGCCGGTACAATCATGGCAGAGATGATCAAACAGGGGGGAATGTTAGGATGGCCAACGCTGCTTGAGGAATTAGTCTCGTTGGTAGGGAATGCCTCAGCTTCAGTTCCAAGCCGTACTCAAGAGGCCGCAATGACTGCACTGCAAAGAATATGCGAAGACAACCATCGACTGCTACAAAAAGAGATCCAAGGGCAACAACCCATTCATGCCATTCTGCCTAAAATAATGGAGTTTACTGCGAGCTCTGTACCAAAGGTCAGGACCATGGCTTTATCAACAGCTCACATGTTCATCGCTCACAAATCACCCGCACTCATGCAATCTCTGGATACTTTCCTTCAGTGCTTATTCAAGGTGGCAGAAGATCCTAATACCGACGTTCGGAGGGCTGTCTGTCAAGCCTTTAACCAATTAGCAGAGGTTGCCCCTGAGAAATTAATTCCTTACATTGATGGGCTTGTCAACTATGTACTGATGCAGGAACATAGCCAGGAAGACCCAGAACTGGTGTTAGATGCTTCCGAATTTTGGATAGTTGCTGGAGAAGAGAAACAGCTGAGGTCAGCTTTGACACCATACCTACCAAAGATTATCCCCGTCCTGCTGCAGAATATGGTTTATGACGAAGAAGAGGCCGCTATGATTGCAGGGAAGGCAGACGACGCAGACGAACAGGACAGACCTGAAGATCTAAAACCTCAATTTGCAAAAGCAAAATCTGACCGGTTGACTGGTGGAAAGGAGAGCGAGGATACTTCTAATGGTGAAAAGAAAGCGGCACCTGAATCTGAGGATTCTGATGACGACGATCTGAGCGATGGAGAGATCGAGGACGATCCTGAAGAAGAGTGGACAATAAGAAAGAGCTCTGCCACAGCTCTGGATATTTTCGCAACTGTATATCATCAACCCGTGTTTGAGATTGTTCTCCCATATCTTCGAGAGCACTTGAAGAACATTAGCTGGGCCCATCGCGAAGCTTCAGTACTGGCGCTCGGCGCCATTGCTGATGGGTGTATGCTAACCGTCCAACCACACCTACCGGAGCTCGTTCCATACCTAATATCACTCCTAACGGATCCAGAACCAATCGTGAGAATGATCACTTGTTGGTGTTTGGGTAGATATTCAGGCTGGGCTGCACACCTCGAACCCGCTGAAAAGGCTCGTTTCTTTGAGCCAATGATGGAGGGAATGCTTCACCGTATGTTGGATAATAACAAAAAGGTTCAAGAGGCTGCTGCATCAGGCTTTAGGAGCTTGGAAGAAAAGTCTGGGCCCCATATCATTCCTTACTGCGAACCCATTCTTCGCCAGTTCGTGCTCTGTTTTGACAAGTACAAGGACCGAAACCTAGATGTCCTCTACGACTGTGTACAGACTCTTGCTGAGTGTACAATGTCCGAACTAGCAAAGCCTGCACTAGTGTCTATCCTTATGCCCTGCCTCATCGGAAGATGGAACAAAGCCGCGGATGAATCTCGAGAGATATTTCCACTCCTGGAATGCCTCGGGTACATAGCTAACGCTTACGGACATGCGTTTACACCCTTTGCACCACCGATATTCAGCAGATGCACCAAGTTGATATATAACACCATTATGGAGTGCAACGCGTTAGCTAACGGCCAGACGGTTGAAGAGCCCAACAAGGACTACTTCATCACCTGCTTGGATTTGCTCTCCGCTATTATTCAAGCTATCGACCGCCAAAAAAGCGAGGAACTTGTAGCAAGCACTCAGCCATCCTTCTTCCAACTTCTTGCCTACTGCCTTCAAGATCCATACTATGACGTAGGTATGTCAGCGTATGCAGTCCTTGGTGACTGTGCAATGGTCCTCTTTGAACAGCTACAGCCATACTTGCCTACAATAATGCCTGTACTTCTAAAGCAGCTTGACCTGGACCAATTGGCTGATGAGGACTCATCAACTGGGTTAAGTGGTGGTAAACATGCCTGCTGGGCGTGTGGGGAGATATCCATAAATGCAAAATCCAGCATGGCCCCTTACGCAGAGAACCTCTATACCCTACTATACGCCATTATGATCAACGAAGAGATTCGTGATTCTGTCACCGAGAATGCTGCTATTGCGTTGGGACGTCTAGGAATAGGATGTGCTGAGCAATTAGCTCCTCGCCTAGCGCAGTTTGCACACTCTTTCCTATTAATCATGGCAAACGTAGAGTTTTCAAGAGAGAAGGTGGGTGCCTTCGCAGGATTTAACCAAGTCCTTAAGCAAAACCCCCAGGCACTGGAATCTTGTCTACCCGATTATTTCAGCGCCGTTGCATCAATGACGGACAAACCTTTCCACGCCCCCGAATTTGACGATTTAGATCAGTCCACCAGACAAGTACGTAAATGCCCCTATGTTAAGAAACATTTTATCTTTAGTCTAGGATGATTGAACTAACCCATCTCTTGTAGGTTCTTCAGGGCTACAAGGAGCTGATCCCCGACTTTGCAGGCTTCCTAGGAACCCTGGATCCAAATGTGGCCTGGAGGCTTCAGACAGCCTACCAAATATAATTCGGGCTATACGGTCGTCCGCTCTATTTCACTACCATTCATCTCTTGCATACCATTACGGCCAAGTCATATTATAGGTTATATATTTGTTTCCCGCTTATACTCCCAAAACTGTTTCACGACCTTATTCCCTATCATCCTTTCATCTACTCCTTACCCCACCAACCATCTTTATGACTCTCTTAGCCCCTCTCCATTGATATCCTTTTGTCCTTAAAAATGTAGTATCTGAACCGTCGGTACATAAACCCTTTCTTTCATTTTGCCAGGGCGTCAACAGAAGATGATAGGAAAGGATAGTAATTATCTGCCCTTTTTCAAAATAAGATAAAATTAAAAATGAACCCAGCGAGACAATTACTCTGACGCTCCCGGTCCATGCTAGCAATTACTGATAAAGCTATACAGTACTTGTTTTCCCTCCTTCATTCTTTCAATTTATTCGGAATATTTATTTTAGCAGCCTGACTTCGTAAACTGTCAAGTGTCCGAGGCTCCGTTTCAACCCAATACTTATTTGCTTATGGAGAGAATATATGCATAGACTATCTTTATCTATACCATTAAACGGTTTTCATCACAAGTTCTCTTCACTCGAGGAATATACCTATACTCCGTATTTCCTGAGCCTATTGTGACGTTTAATGCATCAAACCCCCCAGTCTCATCGTACCATCAGTGATCGGCCATTTACAACACCGTTTACTGGCTAGTTACGCAGGCCATGTATTCTCCATGTGCCCGAAATGCACTGATTATACCGTTCTTGACAAGAAATCTCCGATATGTTGTTTCTCACGTACACATGCATGCCCCATAATGTCCCTCCTGTCCAGGGCAGCCATTGAAAGAGCCCTGTCGGTTGAGATTTCATGTCTATCACCTCCAAGGAACCTGCACTTCACCGTAAACAGGAATTGCTCTTGGACAAGGGCTCGCGGGATGGGCATGTGTGATTGGATGTGAACCTCTTCCGGCTCATCTTTTAAAATACTCGGGGTATTTTTATAATTGGCTTCACAAGCATAGATTTTGATCTATGCTGCATCTGAGCGTAGCATTCGAGGTAGCTGATATTGAAATTGCGCCTTGAGGTCAGATAGAGGGTTAAAAAAACCGAGGCAGTTAACGCTGGTCTTTGAGGCCTGCAGAAGGCCGCGAGTCACGGCGAGAAAGGGCGTCCTGCATTCCACGAATACATCTATAACTAACACGCTGACGAAGCACCAGGATAGGTGAAACTTCCTGATATCGTCGTTAAATGCGCTGTGCGGATGAATACATGGCCGATCTCAGTCGATGTAAAAAGCTTGTAAACGACAAATGCGGCCAGGGCTGTCTCTGCCTGTTTGACACACGTCTCACTTGCCTTTTTTGCACATTATTCTGAACAAGCCTATAAAATGGATTGGACCAACATGTTTGCGATCTCGCTTGGTTGGTAGCATTCGTGGGGTTGATCGAGGGGAGTGCTCAGCCCCGGGTAATTCGGTAGAGGGCTTACCAATTTCCTCTTCGAGAATCGAATCGCCAAGTAACTAATGATTGATTGTAACCATACGGAGCACTCCTACCGTGGATGTTTTGTCATGCGGCGGAGAGGACGCGATGGCTCATTAAAACGCCTTAGAAGAGATATGTGTATATTCTGAAATAAAAATGCTAGCCAAGGGAGTCAGCAAGCCACGCCACCACTCCGCCACCCGTGTTATATTGACTTGAACTGGCATATCTTGAGAATGAAAGGAGGCGACTTGAAAAGTGAGTGTTATCAAAGCAACCCAATCCTGAAGGAAAGCAGTTAATCAGAACTTGGCGTTTGAACTGAGATAGGAAGGAAAATGGGAAGGCGGGAGAAGTTCGGATGAAGTATACTGTCCACCTGCGCATGGATTCGCATACATATGTAGAATGGAGTTAGTTATGGTTCATGGCCTTTTTTTCGGGAAGAACTCCTTGGCTAGCCTATGAAAAGCACAAACGATTTAGCGTGAACGCGGTCGCGGACATGAAGTCGCCTGAAAGCTCTTCAGGAAATCAAGTTCATGTCTGGTCCAAGAGGTACGTGGAAGCCGTTTTCGAAACATTAGCCAACCCATGCTAGTTGTTCAGTAAAACAAAGTAACTATTGCGAGCATGTCCTGCGCAAGGCAAGCCAAATCTGGAAGGCTGGGTACTGAGAGGGAGAAATGAAGGCTCATGCTTTCTCATCTGATACAAGTGGGGATAATCATAATTCCAGTCCAAACATTTTATTGGCCACAATGTAAGTACAGTTATGCTGAGAGCAGCTTGTTTGTCCTTCGCCACCGCCCTGTAGGACACGCCCTGCTTATGGGATAGGCTGATGGACCCGTGCGAAGAGAGGTCGCGACGGCTATCAGCAGCAGAGACTCAGAGTTCAACAGTTGTCGATCGAGCTGTTTCCCGTTCCGTGGATGGAAGTATCACTAATATATGTTAACCATCCACAAGGGACGGGCCACACTGCGAATTTACCTCATCTGGCTGACGAGGATGCCCACTTGGTTAAGGATCAAGCTGAGCTAGCCAGAACAGGTGATTGGGGGAATGAGGATTGGAGATTGCGGACGGAGCTCTTCATATGTATATGGAGCAGAAAACATGTGGTACCGAGGACCATAACGTTGTGTTTTATATATAGACGGACCCTGTACATACATATACTCCGTACATATATTCTGACTCACAGATTCGATTTCCTGCAAAATCCCGTCAGCCAGCGGCCACTGTGAAGGAGTTGGATTTCAAGAGTGGAGGTCACGGTTCAACTCGGCCGACTTACCAGAAGTCACTTATATATATAACTCCACCCCAACCTCGATACCAGAGCAAGCTATAATTAAAATATCCCATCCGGTTAATATATGGATGTATACGTATCTGCTGTAGTAACAATGTACCAAGACGCACGTATGCTGTACTGATGAAGGAAGCGAGAGTAACTGTGGTTCAGGGGTTTCTTACATAAGCCACTTAACGCTAAAAATAGGCGTTGCTTGGTCAGCACCGTTATGATTGGACAGGCGGTTGCTCCAGGTCAGCGCGGCAATATTTCCGCGCGCTAAACTGCTTTAGTCGCAGTTTGGGTGGGGCTTCGGTAAAACCGGCAAGGATCCGCTCGTCCCCCACCCAGTGTTCCGGAACGTGCCAAGCGGCCGATCGCGTGGTGCTGCGATGGCCCCTTTGGGAAAATTTAACCGATATACACGCTTGTCATATATAGTTTATATCATTGCAAGCTAAGTTTGTGTGGTGTCTGTTAGTGTTTAGATGGACAGCGCTTGGAAGAAGAAACGTTGAAGCGGCATCCGCTCACCCGCGGCGTTATTTTGGTTTTGTGCTTGCTAGTTGGCAAGCCAGGGCACATTATGGCGCTGCGGATAAGCAGAGCGCTGCCTTGTCGGCTCGGCTTCTTCTTGAGACCGGTGCAAATCTCCCCGAGGTCTATTAGCTAGTTTTATCGTGCCTCTCCTGCATTAGTGGTTGTTCCCATCGAAGTAACTATTTGTCGACATTTCTTTTTTGTATTTTTTGATTCCCGTCAGTCAATTTGGATCGCCGATCGTCAGGAATGAGTTGAATAGCATCTTGGTTCTCCCATGTTGTAGCTACTCCTAATGTAAATTTGCATGCATTGATTGGAATTGCATTTGGCGTTGGATAGAGTATGCATGAAGCGTGTTTATCCTCTGTCCAACTTGGCGTTATTAGGACGGTTCGCTGTTTGCAACGGTTGGCTGAAGATGGTCTCAATTTGTAAAACCATCGTCACGCCCAACCAGGGGTGGCTGTCGATGTAGTGTCCTGTCCAACGTGGCGATTCAAGCGCATGGGGATGTACGGGGTATGCTGAGAGAGGACAGAGTATCTTCTGAGGTAGCACAGTTTTCCCCTGGCTGATACGGTGCACATCAGTTATGCATCTTCGCTTGATCGTCGACCTATATAGTACGTACAGAGTACTCCGTATGGTTAACCTGTCCTTCGCACGGCTGCTATGCGAGGTGGAGACGGGAGGCTCTTCTGCCGTGGAGATGTTCTTGCGTCCTCGTTCTATTCTTAGCCGGGTGAACTAGTGCCATGAGGTTGCACCCACCTGGAGATGTGTGGGCATTTGTGTATGTGCATGACGGGATGGGTACATATAGCATTACGAAACACCCGGAGAACGCGGAGATCATACAAGTCTAGTGCGGACTGCAATCCACACCGACTGCGACTTTGCTTTGAGAGAAAAAAAGACACAACCTTTACCTTCCTTTCTATAGAGTAGCTTCGATATCCCTCGCAGAGACCAACTTCAGACTTAGACTGAGACTCGATCCAGAGAAGTCTCAGTCTCAAGCGGTTATCTGCGTAAGTATGTTTTGTTCTCCTTTTGCTGTGGGAGCAGGTTTCCGCCTCTACTTCAAGGTAAGAAAAAGGAACTTGGGTCAGCCAAGCCTATACTCTGGACTTTTATATCTGTGGTAAGCCTCCCCCCCTCCAACCGTAACAAAGGGTGGCTCGGGATGCGGGTGAAGGTTCTCCTGCGGAGGGAGGCTGATGTTAAAAATAAAACTGTGACGCACATGGCGTTGGATGGTTGCATCCCAAGAAGCGAGGTTGGAATGTAACACAATCAGTGTTTCTGAAGTAGAAGGGCAGACTGATAGACTCATAAGCGGTGCTAATATGAGTACCATGTTTTGAAGGTAAAACGAACAAGAGATGACTTCTTGCTTGAGGTTAGTGGGAGTAGATCAAATACAGCAAGAGGAAAAGTGCATGGAATCTCCAACCTTTGCAGAAATAAGTAAGGTGGTCATTTCAAGTTGTTTTAGCTTCCAACCTTATGTGACTGCCTTACGGCCCACACCTTCACCAGCCTAGCTGCTTCGAGCATTAGCAAGTTATAGCAAATCCTGGCGTGAAGAAAGGCGGAACAGGGCTATCTCCTTTTTCTTCGCTAGCTAACCCTTTTTCCTCGGCAGCGTGCAGCATGGAAGGACGGTAAACTATGTAATCCAGATATGAAAGATAGTTAGACATCACCCTTGCCTTACATTTGCGCGGCAGTTCGTTTTACAAGTCGCCTTATCCGCGGCCTGTTGTCGAGAAATTGGGCATGCCTACGGAGTACTCCTGCGATGGTTGCAAAGAGTGGAGATAAAAATAGTATGGGGATAGCCGCAGGCTGTCATAAATAACATAGTTTCTTACCAACAGCAACCAGCTCCAGCTGTCCGCACGAGCGGGAGGGCCACACCATTAACCCACAGCGCCATGGTATTGGGAGATTTCAGGACCTTCGGAAGGGCCTGGGCTGGCTGATAGGTGGCTTGCTCTGTGCAACGTAAAAGTATCAGCTTTTGGAAGTACACATCCATCCCCACTGCCCATAGTTCCGCTTGTCTGTCATTGGTACTCTGGTTTGATTCCCCACAGAGACTTTCTTGGACAATTTAGCACTTGGCTCACTTGCATGGTCTGTGTTGATGAAAGAGAGAAAAGAAAAGTTTGTTGGGTGGTAAGTAATATTGTTTTGTTTAAGATGACAAGGCGAAAACTGTTTGGTTCCCCTCAGCCGACCCAGTCGGCTATCAAACCTTCACATGCGCCTTGTACGTGGAGGTTGTTTGTCAGCCTATCATTATTCCTATGGTTGGCTTCTCGTGAGAAGCCACCCTTGTACGGAGTACTCTGTACGCTTTTCGCTATCAACTTCAGGGTTCACATGTTCCGCACAAGAGGAAGTACAATATTAAGGATATGGCCTGTTGATAATTCGTACTTGGAGGTCTAAGAACCTAACCTATATTCCGTACGGATTATATCAGTGGAATTTGTTGATGGAAATCCACGTGTGCGTCACATAGAAATCGGCGCACACAAATGACATACATCGAAACGTGGTATTCCACCTTGTTGAAAAAGGAACAAATGGGAAAAGACGATGCTGGAAATTAAGTTGGTAACGTGGCTGGGGGTTTTGGGCTGCCAGACGAACTGTCGCTGGCTAGAATGCAGCAGATGCAGGTAGTACAAATAAAGAAGCGGGTATATCGTTGAAATACGAAAGCCTTCCTCAAGGGGAATTTCCCATGAAGGAGTATAGAAAAGGGGGGAAGCCTTCTAAAAAAAGCTTCTTCTTCGTATATGAAGATCGTTCTTGAGGATTCTTGCTCTCCACAGTCGAGGAATGGGAGCAGTCATGCCTTCAATCTTTGGTGAGTGAAGATGGTTGAATGGAAGAGACGCCGTTGTTTGTGCCCATAACTACAACAATACACATGCTCGGCAGTGATTTCAATGCAACGCGGAATGATGTGACTCCTGCCGGGTCACCGGCATTGGCCCTTACGCAATCAAGCTGAAGTTGTGCAGCCATCCTTATTATTTCGTCGTAAGCAGAAGCCCAATCCGTCGATTTTCACCGCCGCTCTGAGCAGACAAGTTTTGTTAGGCCAGCACCGCTCAGAATCGATTGGTCAGGAGCGGCTAATGTTGAGCTTGACATACGCCCGAGAAACCCTTGCTGCTTTTCGTCTCTGCTTTTTTTCTTTCTTTCTTTTTATTTCTTTTTTTTTGCCCTTCGTAGTATTTTGCAATCTCACAGCTCGGTGTGAATCATTCCGGTCGTAGAATCGGGCCGTTTTTCGCCCTTGCTCATGCTTGCGCATTTTGCCCAGATAAGATTGAACACTCATACATGTGTGTGTTATAAGTTCCTCGAAATGTTGATACAAGGCTGATGTACTAAAAGGAATGGTCCAATCAGTGCAGGTTTTCTCAATCTTAAACTTTCCCTATCGGGCAAGTTTGCAGTTTACAAATCAATCACAGCTCGTATAGCAATTTCCATATCAGGAAAACTACGGCCGCTAACAAAGCAACAGCTGGAATCTTAAATTTTCTTTTCAGCAGGTTGACATGGAGTCGATGCAAGGGGACTTGATGGAAAAGAAAAGAAAGGCATCATGGCTCTTGGAAGTCTCAGTCCAGTCACCATCAACAATGTTTCTTTGTCACCTTTTCTGTGAAAAGCACTGTTGTCATGTGGATCGACGATGATAGCAGAATTCCTATTGTGATTTCCTTTCGCATGGCAGGGAGGAGCCATGTTTCTTGACAGGCAACCCGTTGGCATCTTCCTGGTCGCATCCGGATGCATCGACCCAGCATTCGCTGTATCGGAGCCCTCGCGGTCCCGCGTCCCTCCTCGTTCCGCAAGATCCAATCCCATGGGTCGATTCGCTTATTCCTGATCGTGGTCAAAGAAACAGGTGCCTGTTGGAGAAACGGGATGACGGGCCTTGGTTGCCACGCACGTAACAGTCGCACAGTCTCGTCTCGCGACGGGCAGGCTCCAGAAGATAATAATAGTTCCCTCATGCACACATGAAACACGTTAAACTTGGAAAACTTTGCGCTAGCTAAGCGGCTAGGGAGCAGGGATGCTCTTCATCTCCTGAATTCAGGCAGACAGGATATCATCTGATGGGCAGGCTTGCTTGCAAACAAGCCACCACCTTGTTTTGTTTTCTCTTCTCTTCTCTCGGCGTTGCTTTTTTCCCCTTTTCCTTCTCCTGTTCTATCAGCTTCGAAGCGGCATACTACTGCAGGAATTGACATCGCAATGGGAGGAAAGGAGCTGTCAGGACTCCCGTCTTCAGTCCTGTTGATAATTCTGTGCTCTGTGGCTGTTTACCATGAAAACGAAGAAGAAGTTCGACGTCCAAATAACAAATGCCGACTTCCGAAATAGGCAATGATTAGTCAGCAGTATCATTTTGTTTTGACGACTTTCCATCAAATTCAACTTCTCCTACTCCGTCCATATCAAAAACATCGGCACCAACAACAGATACGCACCATCGGCTCCGTGTCCAAAGGGCTGTTCAAGTGCGACGACACAAGAATGTCGATCACTTCACGGGCTGGATGTAAGAGCTCAATGGTGTGGAAACTTGATCGGGGTCCTTGAAGGGCCCGTCCCGTGCAAACCCTGCCCTTGATTATGCGGAGGGCTGGGAACACCAGTACGGAGTATCAGAGATTGGAGGGTAATGTTCATATCTGTTCATGCACATTTTCCGTCTCATTCCCTTCGACCTTATCTCTTTTTTCATTTTCTCTTTCTTGTAATTTCTGCTATATGTATTTGAATATATATGAAACAGCGGATAATTCCCCTAACCTATTTTTAAATCCTCCTGCTGACTGGTATTGTAAGGCACAATAAGAGAGCGTTGCCGTGGTTATTGCGAGAGCTCCTTTGCATGTTCGCCAGCGCGAAGTTGCAGATCAACTGGTTTTGCTGCTGTGACAGGCGTTCACAAGGCTCCTCTCCCTCAACTGAGTTGTCTGGTCCGTCACACTAAGGGACGCTTATCAACTAAAGCCTGGGATTACCTCACTTAATCCTCCCAAGAGCCGCTACCAGCGTTCATCATGGCTGAAGTTTCAAGTTTGAGGAGAATGTTAAAAAATTAGTTACACCGCTAATACAAAACTAGTAACATCGCGGGTCACGGTGACTGGCCGTGCGCCGAAGGTAGCAGAAGCTTCTGCTCAGCGGTTCATCCCTTTCTTCCCTTCTCCTCCGAAGCGATGGCGGCCTTCTGGGGGAGAGAGGGGGAACCTGACTTTCGATACTGTCAACTTCACTTCCGCTGGAGTTGATTCTTCCCGACTCGCCGGCGCTGAACTCTGTCTCTTTCCCACCTTCTCGTTTTGTACTACTCCCTCCCCCCATAGCCGACAATGTGGATAAGATCTTGTTCTCCACGCTTGACAAGAGATCGATGTCCACAACACGGCAGCTTTTTGTTGTTAAAATGGCCTCTCTTTTTTTACCTCCTTTCCCAGCTGCTGAGCTGACAAGACCCAGGGTTCATCTTCCCTGACAGATCGGCCTTTCTTTTCCACACATAACTGTCTAGGATCCCTCGAAGCCAACCATGCAGTCCAGCAGGCCAGCTGACCATGGTCGGCCGGCCGGTCGGTATCGGTATTTTTCCCGTTCTGTACTCCATGTTCTCCGTCCATACGCCGTCACCTAATTCACCCCGGCCTTTTCTGCCCTTTTTTCTTTTGCATTATCACTTCTGACTTTTCCCATTTTCTTTTTCTCTCCTTTTTTTTGTTTTTAAATTCCTTTTGCATTTACGGAGTGGTTATTTTTGCTTGCGTCTCGTTTGTTTTTCTTCGTCCTTGCTTTTTTTCCTCTTTTTTTGCTCCCTTGCTTTTGTCATGTATATCAACTAACTTACCTTGTCACAGATTTGGCGGATGCCACATGGTAACTAAGCAAGTGCATGCCTTTGGGCGCAGAAGGATGGCGGAATCCTTGTACGCCTCTCAGCCAAACGCCTGTTTTGCACACTTCTCCGTTTCTTTTTAGGATCCATCCCCATACTGATTACATCTGGCTCAAATCTTAATTCGAATTCCGTGGCTCCCATGCTACTACGATGTTTATGTTCACAGTGTGATAGTCAAGGTCTTCACACAAGAGAAGACGCCGTCCCCTGCCTCTGAGATCCTCCTATTCTCATTTCCCTCCAATGGTTGCTCCCGCCGCCCGAACTTTCCTGTACTTTCCCTCTTCCCCCCTTTTTAGACGTCCCAAACGTTTTAACGTCTTGGTTATTTCTCTTCCGCCTGATAAACTTTCGCCTCTCCATCCTCTCCGTGCCTTGTCTTTCCACCCCAGCCTGGCTTTGGATCTCTTCTCTGGTCTATAGCCCAACTCGACCTAGCGTCCTCCCCACCCATGCGTCTGACTTGTGTCTGTTTAAGCTCCGCTTTCTTCTTCTCCCTCTTCTCCCTCTGCAGGCCTGTAAGCTTGCTTTTTTGTTTCTTTTTTATTTTTACTCTTCTTCTCCTCCCTCTTTTCTTTTCGTTCTTTAGTTCCTTTTTTTCCTCTTCTCATTTTTGCTTTTGCTCTTCTGTCATACCCATTGCTGAAGTATATATCTTGACCCTGACCAGGATCATTCCGCAGAAGAAAAAAGAGGGTCCCTATTCATCCGATACCCTTGACATTTATTTTTATAGGCTTGGGGTGGTGTTCCATGCTTTCCCTTTCTTCATATTTATCCATACAGATACCTTGTTCTGCATCAATTTTCTTCGATCTTCATCTTCATACCCTTCATCAATTAACCTCGTCTCAGCCGTTGCTCGCCAGCTCGTGTTTAAGCCTCGTTGATATATAAGCAGCAGGGTGAAATACACGGGGTACCGGAATTCCCCATTTATACCCAAGGGAGAACCCCTTACAATCTTCGACTTGACCAGTGAAGAAACAAAAGGGACCCGAGCATCCGAGAAGAGAACCAGCTTGTTGGAAGAGGCACCGACGGTGTGATTTTTAATCCCCTTTGGAGCTTTGCTACAGACTACGTTTACAGACGTAGCGGCAGCGAAAAGTCCCAACACCGCGCGGGATACTCAAAACGTCAACCTTCTAAAACGCCTGTGACACTTTGAAAAGGCCCAGAGATCTAAACCAGCCCGCTCCGCGTCTCCTCTATCACGACGGCCCTGTTTCTATTTTTATACCTGGTCCCTTTAATTGAAATAATCTTCTCCCAACTACGATATATCTCGTATTGCCTACCCTTCTTTTATATACCTTGATTCAACCTCCTCTTGCTGTCTACAATCAACTCGCGCTCTTATACCATATTCAGCTTCCAAAACATACCTTCAATAATCACCAACGACCCGACCACCCTTACTTCCTAATCCCATCATCTATTCACAATGGCTGGCCCTGGTGGTGGACCTCCTCGCAAGAGCCATACCAAGTCGAGAAAGGGTTGCAAAACTTGCAAGAGAAGACACATTCGTTGTGATGAGACCATGCCGCAATGGTAAGCTTTAGTCTGGTTTCTTGGACTTGCTCATAATACTGACTTTAGCAATTTAGCCGAAACTGCACCAAGCATAACTGCAGATGTGATTACATGGATAATGTTCTCGCTCATGATGCCACCAACAATGCCAGAAGCCCGGATCTCCTCATGTCTCCAGAGATTGAGCTAGAGATTCAGAACTGGCAAAAGTCCGGGAATCCACCTTTTCCTGAACTACAGCTTAGCACACGAGCTTATTGGTATAAGTTCTCTCGCACGGATCTACGACTCATTCACCATATTGCAGGTCTGTCGATTGACCTGCACCGAAGAGGCTACAGTAACTGTACTGTCTGGGCCCAGAAGATGCCTATGTAAGTTCCTCATAGTTGAAAGCGCAGCTTTTTCCTTGAATGTACTTTCTAATTCTACGCTAGCTTCCTTACTATTGCCCTATCCAACGACTTCGTTATGAGTTCTATTCTGGCGCTCTCAGCTTCACATATTGCCTGGATGACCCAGAATCAAGACACTGAGAATCTTGCCTACCATCACCGAGGTGTTGCCATCAAGGGCCTTCAAGAGGCCATTAGTTCGTTCTCACGCGAAAACTCGGACGCAATTCTCGCCTCATCCTTGCTCTTGTCATGGCAATCCACTGAATGGTACGTAATATTATATATGGTTGAATATATAGTTCGCAGTTTTAGCTAACTGCTTGACTACAGGCGAGGTTGGGCATCTCTTCAGCAAGGAGTTTCAACAGTAAGACATCAGCCCATATCCCTACTCGTCCAATTTCGACCGGCCAAATTTTTTAACAGTTTATCATTTTAATAGGTTTTGAACTCGATGGAAGCTTGGTGGAAGGAAGAGTCCGAACTAGCCAGATTTATGGATGGTCAACGAGCATTTCGAAGTGCCCGAACTCCCCTAACCCCAACCTACCCGGGCAGCATGGGGCATTTCCCGAACGAAGACATCATGAGGTTGGATAGAGTTATCGTCAACCTACAGAACATCCACCAGCGGATTTCTCATAACCAAGAACATTTCCGCAGGATAACGGACCTACTCGCATTCACTCAACGGTTGCGAGACGAGCTACCCATCCAGTCACCAGAGAAGGCTTTCGAAAGGCTTCAGCCTCTGCGTATCTGGCTTTTTTGGCTTCCTTCGGCAATGTTGCGAGGTGGAGAAACAGATCTCGGGGCTCTTTCCGTACTCTCTCAGTTCTTCGGCGTCGCCCTCGCGTTGGAGCCACTTTTCCCAGAGTTCGGCGGATCATATCTCGGCTCTATGGCTGTCAACCAAATCGAGGAGATTAGACGAATCCTATACCACAGACGTGCCGCAAACCCCTTTGCACCCGAGATCCAACTTGCTCTCAGCTTGATGGATCTTCCAGCAGAAACAGTAGCTGAGTACCGCAGTCGCCTTCAGTGGTCACCAAGATCATCCTTCGATGGATACCCTACGGGATCACACAGCCCATATCACCATGCGCTTCCAACTCCCCATCTGCCTCACCTCCCAGCTACATCTGCGGCTATAGTCAGTCCTACCACCACTGCCTACCCTGCATATACCACCTCGCCGCTTCATTCGCCCATGACACCAGCCATCGTCGGTTCGCCATACCAAATGTCGAATGCGATGCTTCACTCACGACGCCATTCTCAAGTATACCCATCGCCCACCCTTCACCATGATCCGGTAGAGGATCGTATTCCCGAATATAAGCAGCCAGAACAACCTGCGATGTTCAATCCTGCTTATCTCGGAAATCTTATCAACGGGGGCCCGACAATCGGGACGGATTACCATGATTCCCCCCCAGTTACTGTAACAGGAGGGTTGGTCGCTCCGGAACTCTGCTGGACTTGATACTAGATATACACCCGTCTACGTTATCAAGCCCATTTGCACATGCACAAGACATACCCTCAGCCCGCTGTGATTTGAAGCGCAAATTGAGAACACATAGCCCAAACAAAACAAATGTAACCTCCAAAAACAACAAATCTGCCCTCTTCCCCTACCCACTATTTTCACTTCTTGTACAGACATTTTCTCCAATTCCTTTCTTCCCCTTCCCCTATCGCTCGGCTATTGTTCACAAACCCGTCTATTCGTCGCTCTCCTGCAAACACAGGGAAAAAAACGGTCCGGCTGAGGTTCATATTCTTACTTCTTTCCTCTTGGAAATCTCCAGGCACCACCACCTCCATCCTCAACACCACCATCGCGCCAATTCTTCTACCACCAACATTGCCACACCACCCACATCCGCACCGAGACCGGCAAATACCCTCTAGACTTGCTTTCGCCTATAAAATACCCTTGTTATTTCTTGCCATTCAATATTCGATGATTTGACGACTTATCCGAAACCGTGTGATGGGATATATATAAAAGGGCCAGAGGACGAATGGAAAGCATCGGCTTATCATTCAATGACAAGGGCATTTGGCGAATTAATTTTCATAATGTGTCGTTTCTTTTTACTTCTCTTCTTACCACTGTACAGCGTTTTATACCGGTTCACACTTTTCACTAGGGGATCTTCGTTGGTTCGATCGTTTAGATTGGGGCTCTTCACTTCTTGATCCATATTTATTAATTTTATTTTTACATATTTATTCACATACGCTTTATTAGTGACATCTTTTTCTTGCCTAATCTCCTCGTTCTACATGATCGACTCCCAAACTGGTTTTCTTTAAAGTGGCTAGCCAGGGGATGGGTTTACTCCCCAAGGGTCATTCAAGTATCCTTAGCAAAATCAATTATTAATGATGGTACTATCCAAGCCGGTTTGACCGTCTGATCTCCGTCCGTTTGTTCGTTGCTTTCTTAGCATCTTCTATCCACTTGTCATATTCCTCCGTGCCCTGCTTTAGCTTCATGCCCACGACCCCTTTCAGAAGCTGTCCCGTAAAGTCAATGAAATTACATTTTCTCAGTGAATTCTCCCATGCCCAATTTTCTCTCTTTCTCTTCTCTCTATCCAGCATCTCTTCATCCCCGATCTCTTGTGCATGTATCCTCAAGTCTCTCACAACAGCCATAAGATTGAATCGAATCTCACCTTCGGGGTACCGCCCGATTCGTCGTTGAAGAACATCAATAACCTTCTCCGGGAATTCTTCTGAGCTGCAGGGCCCATGAGTTATTGGATGTGGCTGTAGTCCGTCTAGCTCGTACAGCTTACCGCCAAAGGGAAGGTAAGCGATAAAATGGTATAGTTCGGCGTCTTCTTCTGATGGGGGCGGGCGCGAGGTTTCGTCAACAAATGGCGACGAGCGAGCGAATAGATTATGGGCGCTACGGATCCGGGCTGAATTACTCAGAGTCTCACCTCTGAGGTCAGGGGGGAATCCGGTAGTAAACTCTTTGAAAGAACGTAGCTCAGAGCCAATGTCGATTCCACTTATAGATGTTGATGGGTTGTCTTGGTTGAGTATCACGGACAGAACTGCTTGTGTGCCGCAGGCGTTCTGTATCGTCTGAGCAGCAAAGAAAAGGCCATCCTCAATGGCTTCCGGGTCGTATTTCCCATCTTGAGGATTGGACGCGTTGCGCGATTGCCCACTAACCCATTTGAACAGGAATATAACGCCATATACAGGGCTATATGTCCATATAAATCAGCAAAAATGAACCATGTCTAATAGTTAGACGCCACTTAGTTATAGACTTGGGGGGGATTATCGACCTTAACGAGCGTATTGTGTCAGCGTCTAAAGATATCAATTCTTCAAACTGAACGTCCTGAACCCCGAGATTCTCTACCAGCGCAGTAAACACCCCCTAGAACCAACCTGTCAATATGCGACACAAAATCTTGGGATCACAGTTACCGAACAAACACACCTCATCTGACTCAATGGTGCTCCATCCCCCAGTCTCTTCGGACATGTCGATTCAACCTCGCAGCCTTGTTAGCGCTAAATTGTAATTTCTCTATAACCCTTCCTGCATATATATTATGGCCGCTACCTGAAGAGTCCGCGAAATGCGCCGAGTCGTTGCAGTCGCGACCTTTTGATAATCTGGTAGTTTTGATGTCCAAACACTGCAAACTCTGTAAACACTGCAAACTTCGGACTAAATTTATCCCGTCTTCCGATGCCGCATAAAAATGGAATCCGCGAGTTTGTCTTGCATCTACAGCACGCAAGATGTTGGATGTTTTCAATTCTCGTATTCTTTTTGGCGCAAGCGAAACAGTTCGATCTACACATAATGAAGGCGGAGAAAACTTGAAAAAAGGGCTTTGGTAAGAATCAAGTTTATGGAGATCTTTCACTGCTATATGTACAGACCCAAAACTCCAGCCATGTATATACAAAGAGGACCCATATTGATACAGCACCATGCGCCAGAAGCCCATAGCTTAGATAGAAGTGTAGTCTGTGAGATACAAGATACCGGCCTCCAGCATCCACCAAGATGTGAGCTCATGAGCAAACTTCAGGATCGGGGTTTCCAGGGGCATCGGAGCTTTCAGATCACTGGATTGCCACATCGCCGTCTGCGTCTTGAAGGTGATTTGGCCGCCGTTTCTTTCAAATGTGGTCACCAGCCGGCCGCGGATCTGGTTAAGTTCCATCGCAAATTCGACCCTGTTTTGCTCCCGGAACACGACGGTGTATGCGGCACAGACAACATCACCGGGTTCGAAATTAAGCCTCTGAATGTGAGATGCTTTGAAGGTCTTGCGGGCGTGCTGGTCACAATTGAGGCTTAAAGCATAGGCCTGTGGAAAGCGCGAGAAGGCCGTCATATTTCGTCGTAGATACCGGGTAAGTATCTCATCCTCGCTGAGCGCTGGGGATATATTAATACTCAAGGTAGAGAGTGAAGCCACATCGTAAAGGGCGCGAGTTTTGCTAGCAGCATCCTTGTTCAGGGCAGATTCCGGCATCGACTTGATATCTTGAAGCGGCGTGTCTGCCAGCGATCCTCTTATTGTGGAATGACGGACTTTGCGGCCCAGCCGGTCGTGGTGATATAGGAGGAAAGCAGCTGGTGCGCCAACGATAACAAGGACCGCAGCAGCAGCCGTCAACGCCCTTGGGTAGCGCTCGAAAGCCTGCGAAATGGCGGACATCCCATCTTTGGTGAAGAACTGCATCGTGATCCGGGTGGGTATGGCTGATAATCAATGAAGTACTCTGTACGGAGTAGATGCTGGTGAAAGCGAAGTTCTATCGATCCGAGCTTTCTGTGGCCAAAGATGATGCTATTATTTATAGTGACGCTTCGGCAGCATAGCATAAAGTTATGCATGGTTTATGCAGGTGATGCAGAACTAATGGTTAATTATGTATAGCATAGATCTACTCTGTAGTTAGGATTCGTTCTCGATGACAGCCAGGTAGGTATCTTACCTAGATAGCATACGGCCTAGACCTCAGAATATCAGTGGATGTTGGGGCCCAATGTAGGTTAACTATGCTAATGACGAGAAAATAAGTATACATTTGCGAGTGGTATTCAAAATATCACGACTGCCACCTTCCCCCTTTAACGCCATTGACCCTTAGAATACGAAGAGAGATGCCCTACCCCGTGCTACCGGGTACCAATTTCCACATGCCTTAGTTCTATATCTGACGACCGCTGGTCCGAGGATTCTCCCTGTTCACTGGCTTCATCGTACTTGACCACAACATGGGTGGTCATTCGGATACCGTGCTTTTCTGAATCACTGTCTTTATCGACCATGGAATCGACCCTCTCCTGCGACTCTAAATCCAGTTCCAGCTTCCCGATTCCTATACTTGCGGATGTACTAGGATGCCGTGACCTGGATCTGTTTAGGGGCTGGGCATTTGACGGCAATGGGGACCATGCCCTGCCAAAGTACAAGTCTGATTGTTCTGCCCTCATGGCCGCATTGATGATCGAAGGCCCGCTGCTGTGGGCATGGCTGCTTTTGTTCTTGCCTGACCAAGAGCAGTTGTTGACGAATCGTTCCAGAAAACTAGGAATGAGTATCGATATCGGCCTCCAGAGCGGCGGCATGCATGAACAGATGATCGCAAGGTTATACTCGATGACTGTCCATACTGAGGAGTTTATGTTGGTCCAGGGCGTATCAGAGCGGGAAGTAGCAATGTCGATGGTTGTGATGCGTAGGACCGACGTTACGCAGACACTAGATGGGAAAAACGTCAGTATGACTATATATGTATGAGACCAGGCAAGGGTAGCAAGGATGCAGTTAAAGGTGAAACCCACAATAACCCGACAGCAAACACTCCACAGAGAGCCACTTTGCTCCTGTCCGGCAGTTGTAGCCGAAGTATAACCGGGATAGGAAGCAGGATGATAAAAACATCCGTTGCAATGATGAAAGCCGCGTTTGCGAACCAAAACGCACCCACGTTTATGCATTTTCCACCTCCTGGAGTCTTCTTGTCAAACGCATAGGGAACTGGGTTGCACTGGAAGATACTCGAAACCACGGTTCCAGTGGTAAATGCAACAATAATTGCGATTCCTACCCAGCATGTGGTTTTAAACCACGGAGAGATGAATACCTGGAGATAGAGAAGCAAAACGCTAATCTTCGTCAAGGCGCTGGTTATCTTGTAGAATATCTGTGCGAAATAGTACAACTGAGGTGACAGATAACTGATGTAAGCGCTTATGCTTGAACCGTGTGCTGTTGGACAGCCTTAGAAAGGAACCGCCATACCTTTAAGGACTTTGCAAGCAACTCTGGGGGTATGTCGTCTTTATGTTTGCCAAATGCCCACCCACAAACTGCTCAAATATTAGTTCATATACTATATAGAATCTTTTGATAGTAGCTAGTGAAACTTACTGATAATCATCTGAATCGAAATGGTCTCCGCAAACACCTGGGGTTCGGAATAAACCATCAGCGCACTGTGATATTTATTTCCATGCTATATCCCTCTAGATAGCACAGAAGGGGGAAGAAATGCGTGTATTCCGTACCAGAGATGCCAATATTGTCCAGTCATCGGGCCCGAGGCTCTTTGAATAGTACCGCCGAGTAGCAACCCTCGCTATAACAAACAGTGGCGTGATAATGGAGAATACCAGAGCTGGAATCGCCAGGCGGTCAGAAATGTCTTCGACATCCCCGTAGTGGCTGAAGACTGGCATTATGTCTCATCGAGATGGGACGTGTGAGGAATAGTCCAGCCCATTTGGATCGGTAGTGTCAAGATGAGAGGAAAGGGGCGAACAAAACGAATAGAGCGAGTGAGACTCAGAGAAATAGAGAGAGAGAAATAAAGGATTTTTCATCTAGCCCATGGCGATGCTTGCCAACCAACACCCACATCAGCGGGATTGCCAATACAAGCCTCAAAGAGAGAAGGTAGTACTCCGTAGCAGCCATGGCTATCCCGCAGGAACTGAACGAGGGCGATGGAGCAGGGGTTCAAATTCCTCGACTCTCTTCCACACGAAAGCCAAAGCGCACATTGGGATTCTGACCAGAATGAAGGGAAGTGTATGGGCAGTGCTGCTGTCATCCCATGCCATACTCCGGGGGGGAGGTATGAATGCAGGGGGAGGATACTGGGTGTGAGCACTTGACTAACACAATCGGCACGCATGGGGGGTCCGGAGAGGATTCTTTGGGCCAGTAAGCAACCCTGGCTTGACAGGCTGAGTTGGCTGGTGGTTGCTTGTCTTCCTTGACATCCCTCCTTCGAACAGCTGCTCACTAGCCAGCTAGCTGAAGCCGGGGCATAGTACTTCCTGCATAGCGCTATTACTTGTTTAATAATAGCCCAGGAAGTCATGTACTGCGTGTAGGTCAAGCGGTGGCAGGAGGAACATTTTCCAACGAGTTGCGCGGTTTGCTGGAGGCAGGCTCTTAATAGCGAACCCTGCATTTAGCCGCTCCTTGCACTCCATGGCTATAACATAGGCACAATATAATCTGGCCATATCTTGGTATCCGCACTCACCCGTCGGAGGAGCACCAATTGCCATCCATCCGCCTAGGGTGTGAGTTTCCGAGGGTGCTGGGATATGTAATTAGTTTCTGTTTCTCTCCAAGGGTCGAGGGTATTTCTCTTACGCAATTAATCGCGACGGCATGTCGATCGGGTCTTCGAATGGCTGGCAAGCTAAACACTCCGTATGCAGCTTATAACTAGTGGTTATGACCGCTCGAATTCTCGAGGTAGGTGAGCCGGCGAGCTTATGGAAAGGCGACATCAAAAGTTGTCAATCTGCAGTCAAGCCGGTTACCAAATGGCTAAGATTTAACTGACTAGCCCGTGGCAACTATCACCAGTTGGTCGATCGACAATCTCAACTAGTTAGTTACAAGCTATATTTCATCGCGTCGTAAATAACTAGTTAGCCAGCTACCTAGGCAGTTATCAAAGACAATGGGCTGTGAAGATACGTGATACCCACGTTGCCTTTGCGAATCTATAAAATTTAATAGTTTTATCCATTCCGGATTTTTGCGTACACGTAACACCATGCTAGACATAGTTAGGGAAGCTTGTTATGATAAGAGCGATTCTTGAAAAATAGTAGATGATAGTTAACTCGTCGTTAAATGCTGGGAAATGTCGAAGAATTTGTTTAATCTGTCATATCCTATCCCCCTTAACCAGCGGTTGCATTTAAAAGAAGGATGGAGCAGGGAGTTCCTGTAGCATTTTCACGGCCATTGTATCACCGACGATGCCTATTGCGAGACAGCTGAAAGGTAACAAGATTCATATCTTCCTCATGCAGCGGTGTATGTACTGTATTGCATTGACATATTATACTCGGGTATTGTATCAATGCTGTAGTGATCCAACTAGTAACGACATCACTAGAAAATCCACGGTTGCTTGAGTTAGACTGGCTTCTCTTGTGATATAGCCCCTTAAAGGAGATAGAAACAAGCCAGCATTTCCCATCAACTTAATGGAAGCCCACAGCAGTTTGTGTAAGAGCTGAGCCGAGCTCTAATAACTAGTTAATCGGCAAGTCTCTATTCAGAACCGAATCGCCAGCAAGCAGCGGTTATATCACTTGGGAGTTTCTAGAGTTGCTTGGTTTGCACTGGTTCGGCTCTTGCGAGTAAGAAAGTAGATATAACTAAACCACTGTCAGCCCAGGCTTGTAACCGTTATTTAATTAGGAGTCAGCTTGCTAAAAGTGACAAGTTTGAAAAGCGCGTTTATAGTCTTCTCACTTGATACTAAGCGCCGGGTAAGGTGATAAGGTTAAATGAAGGCTGTAAGTACTGTAAGTTAAATAATAGATTATCATTAACTAGCAGCCAGTGTACTAAAAGTTGTATAACTGAGTGTCCCGATCTTCCAAGGCCATAAAAATTGTATCCAAAGGCCACCGCCTGTGTAGCACTTAATACGTTAGTTATTGCCATACCGGATACCGGATGGGACGTATTTATTATAACTACTATGGTTGTTGTCGAGCGAGCGAGCGTGAAGTTATGTATAACTGTACGGAGTATATCAACTTGTGGTGAGTCGCCGGAGTTGAACCGTGGCCTTCACCCTTGAAATTCGATTTCACAGTGACTGATGGGGTTTTGCAGGAAATCCAGCCTATGAGTGGTTATATCTTTAACACACATTTGTAGCTTGGAGGCGTAATAGCGAGGTAAGCTGTTAAAGAGGGGGTCATTGAGAAATTAAACTCTTCCAGGCGGAGTATCTCCTCAACTCTTTCCTCGTACGGAGCGGTATGTTCCTTGCAATCCTTGCTATATGTGGCCCGTTAAAGGGACTAGGGGATTTTCTCGGTGCTTAGGAAAGGTCCCTGCACAGGCTTGTTTCAATGAAACTTGTTCACTACAAAAAGCCCGCTCATTTGGACGACTGTAGCTGGGTATCTTGTTTTCGTGGATTAATTACCCTCAGGGCGGTACTATACCCACAGCATACACGAGGTCTGTCCGTATGTGCTCGACGAGACATTAATATTATTCCTCCAGCCACTGCATGCAAGCTGCCAGTCGACATGGATCTTTCTGTCGTCCTTTCGTTACGGAGCATGGCCCTAACCTGTCCTAGGACCGATGCTACCATTTTACCCGACTAGATGGTAGTTTTGTACTCTGGATTCTGGACCCTGTACTCTGGACCCTGGACTCTTGGACTCAGAACTTGCAGATTCAGGCTTGAAGAAAAATCTGCAGCCATAATAAAAATGGCTGCTGTAGCACTCGTTTTCGTTCCCTCTTCGCCATTTCTGTTTTCCTTCGTGGACTTGACCCAGCCTTGAACCGCTCTCCTTGAAATTTCACAGTACCGGAAGACATGGCAGATTTGGCAGTCGGGGAGAAAACAAATCCCCAGGAAACTGGGGTTGAAAAGGATGATTCAGAATGCGGCCCAGCGGAGGAGGGAATCATGTCACCCCAGGCAGAAAAGAGGATGATGCGCAAAGTTGATATCAACCTGATGATTCCTCTATGGATTCTCTTCATCTTTGGGTTTCTCGATCGTATCAACCTTGGAAATGTGGCCGTCTTGGGGATCATGGAAGAATTGAAACTCAAGGGAAATGATTTCAACGTTGCCGTTCAAGTTTTCTTTGTGCCGTATGTTCTGATGGATATTCCGAGCAATATCCTATTGAAGAAGTTTGCTCCATCGACTTGGATCAGCATGCTCACTTTCTTGTGGGGTGTGTAATGCTTTCTAGCCCACTTGATGCAATTGCACATACTGACTGAGCAATTGTCTTCCTAGGTGTATCTTCCATGTGTCAAGGCTTTGTGAGAAACAATGGCGATCTTATTGTTTGCCGCTTTTTTATCGGCGCCTTTGAGGCAGGTTATGTCCCCGGCTGCGCATTCTTAATGGCTACATACTACAAAAGACATGAATTCCAGAAGCGACTTTCACTCTTCTGGGTTGCAGGCTTGCTTGCAGGCGCTTTTGGAGGCCTCCTCGCATATGCCATTGATCATATGGATGGCCTTGGAGGCTATTCTGGTTGGAGATGGATATTTATACTGGAAGGCCTCTTTTCAATTGTTCTTGCAGGTCCTGCAAAATTCTTTATTGCCGACTGGCCAGACCAGGCAAAGTTCTTGACCAGCGAGGAAAGGAAAATGATGGTTACCCGCAGCAGCCAAGACATCGGGGGAGGTGCTCGTATGGACAGGCTTGACCTTGCTGCGTGGAAAAGGATCTTATCTGACTGGAAGCTTTATGTTGGCACATTCATCTATTTCAACATTACAGTGTCAGGGTACGCGACTGCTCTTTTCATCCCAACTATTGTGAAGTCTCTCGGGTACTCTGGGATCCAAAGTCAGATCCATAGCATTCCGGTATGGCTTGTGACCGCGGTTGTTACCCTCATGGTCTCATACCTGACAGACCGTCTGAAGCATCGCCTTGGATTCATTGTCTTTGGCGTTGCCTTCGGAAGCATTGGGTATATCATCCTCCTTTGCCAGGGCCCCGTGGGCGGCGGGTTACCTGACGCAGTTCGTTATATGGCGGTATTCTTCGTCAGTGTTGGCTGCTATATTGTCCAGCCTGTGACTATTGTCTGGTTTGCGAATAACCTGGGAGGCCATTACAAACGAGCCATTGGCCTAGCAATTCAAATTGGCATTGGAAACCTGGGTGGACTGGTTGCAAGCAATGTCTTCGTGCGCAAAGATGCGCCTCGGTACTTTGTTGGCTATGGCGTTTGCTTAGGTACCATGATCATGTGCGGAATTGGTAGCATTGTACTTGCTCTCGGGCTTGTGCGAGAGAACAGGCTGCGAGATCAAGGGAAGCGTGATGACAGGCTTCAGCTGGATGAGAGCATCCTGGGAAACATGGGAGATGATGATCCACGGTTCCGATTCACGATCTAAAGAGTATGAGTTTAACAAAAATAACGACAGGATAATAACGCAGCACCAGTATAGGTTTAACTAATATCATACCTTGTTTTATTTTTCCTTCCACTGGCTTTAGCCGCTCTTGACGGCTCAATATCCCAGGTCTCACACAAGGCCATGCTATTTGTCTATAGTCGAGTCAAGTACTCAAGGACCAAATCAATTGTTACTGCGCTCAAGACTCCGGTGAGAGCAATTACATTGCAATCTTAGCTGACATTAGCCTTGTGATAGCTCTCAGCTGATAAAAAGCTGCGGGGTGGTAGTTTTATATCCTCCTGTACGATGAGATGAAACTGCGCAGCTCGTGTAACGAGCGGCAGGAAATTCGTTTCAAATCAGGATCAACATAATAGAAGATGCTCATTTGATGCATTATCACAAGGAATAAAGGATCATAAGACGGCTTTATGAGAGTAACTTGTTGATATGCGCGTTCCATGGAGTTGCGTGTCGTCTAGATGGTGAGTCCCAGGCGGGCAATATTTATAGGCAGAACGTCGACTTTATCTCAACGACATCGCTACAACAGCCAGGACAGAAGATTGGACACATCTACAGTCAACCGCAGTTGATACAGACTGGCCTGCTTACTCGGAAATATTCACTGCTTCAGCATCCCGCCATGCATCTTGCTGGAATGAACATGGCCTCCATGGCCATGATAACTATATCCTGCCTTGCTCCCATTACCAGCGCTGTGTGGACTTGTCCCAGCGAAAGAGAGGCCTACTGCTGCACTCACTATGAAGACAAGACTCCCAAAGGCCTGTTTGGAACCGGATGTATGCAAAGCCCCCATGGTTTTGAGTCTCTAGTCGTTTATATGACAGCACACTGATACATCAATAAACCGGGTCTAATAGGCACTCTTGCCCCGAGAAAAGAAGGCTGTAAAGATAAATCGCCCGTCGAGTGCTGCAAGCCTCTAGTATGTCCCACTTTTGCCTTGCGGTATGCTTTTGAAGAAGTAAAATGAGTCTCCTGACAACCGTTCTTGTGATAGGCCGATCAGATTACTCATTTCTGTGATAGCCGAGCAAAGGGGTACATGTTTGTTGATCAGAAAGAAGGCCCTCAAAAGGCATAGGTATACGGTTGTGGGGGACCCTACAGACTTTATTATGCACATGGGGAAGAAGAATACAGGAGCCAGAGCAGGGTATGTATTCAATATGAAGGGGACCGTGTAAGATTTTCTCGGGACAGCGCAAAGCAGGCCATTAACACCTGTTTATAAAAATTGTTTTATGAATGGAAATTTCTCTTCGAATCCAACAACAGCAGACCATAATAAATAGTTGGTGAAAGATTTCGTTGATTAATCCAGTGGCAGCAGTTAAAAGAGCAGCCAACGTTCACAGTCCAGTTTCAGCCTGGATATCCCAAAGCTCCTCAGCGTTGCGCTGGAATAACCTTTCGACCATATCCCGGTCTCCATCACACCAGGCAACACAAGCTTGGATAAACGGGACAATGTCGACCGAGTCAAATCGTGTATGTGGCCAGTCTGTAGCAAACACAACCCGACCAGGTGCCACACGCGTATATTCCATGAACATTTCCCGTAGACCATCAAATTTCGGATTGCTCGTGAGACGATATGCGGCAGATATCTTGACATACGTATTGCCACCCTTCAGGAGCTCGATCGTCTCCGCAAAACCAGAAAGGGAGTAAGGGTCAAAACCCCCCGCGCTCACCTGGCCTGAAGTTGAAACAGGTAACCCAGGGCTTCCGAAGTGGTCAAGGCACACAGTGGCCCCTAAATGCGGTACAATGTCTACCAGAGATGGGACATGCTGGAGGGCAATATATAGCTGCAAAACCCAGCCATATGGGCGAATGATATCTGCGTACTTGTGCATAACCTCCTTCAGCTCCTCAGCACTCAGCTCCCTGCCAGTAGATTGCAGGTTAAGCCTCACTCCACGTACACCCCATTGATGCCATGACTTAAGGGTATCCTCAGAGGGGGGGTTGGCTGGATCCAGCGAGACCACTGCTCGACCCTGCTTTGGCCCCAGTTCCTTCAGCCCATCGAGCATACATGTATTATCAAATCCGTATATAGACGGTTGTACCAGGACGATGTTTTGGATGCCAACTGAAGACTCAAAGCTCATCGCGTCAGATAGCGTGTGAATAGGGGGTACGTATTGAGCATCTGGTGCGAGGGGGTATTTCTCTGGGTCGACAATATGCATATGGCTATCCCATGATGCCAAGGGAAGTTTTGGTAGAGTGCCCATGGTCCTGTATCGTGAGACGATAGCCTTGGAAAACCGATATGATGTAGTTGGCCGACAAGAGTGCAGTCTGCAGAGTAGATATCTCATGGCAAAGGGCCGTAATCCAGATGTAACTACAAACTCCCTATGTATAATTTAGGTTCCTCATACGAGAATAAATAATGACAATCACGTGAAAAACTGATGGCTGAAAAGCCGGAGAGAGAGAGTCCGCTAAATTTCTAGGATTATTTATTATAGACGGAGACGGAGCGGTATCAAGATGGGGAGGAAGGGTGTGCAGATGTTTCTCCATTTTGTAGCCTTTTAAGTAACTAACCATAGAAATAATTGAAATCCAATCCAGAGTCTATCCCGCCTTAGTTCACAGGTACTACTTTACCACTCATACACATCAACATGTTTCAAAGATTGATCACAAATGGTTAAATCCAAATAACCGTGAACTGTCTGCAGAAAAATGTAGAAGAAAGAAAGGGCAACGCCTAACCGCCGCCACCATGTATATAGAGTATGCAGAAGTCAAGATGACTGGTTCCCCCCCTATATTTAAGAAACGTCTGACTTAGATCAAGAAACAAGGACCAAAAATGAGGAAAGATGACGGACGAATTGTTGAATTACTCTAGCTTGTTGGCCCAGTGCCAGCCCAGTTAGTAGTGTCAAATCCTGCTCCAACACCACCAGGAGTAGCAGGCTCCGCGTACGAGAAGGCTTCAAGTAGCTCGGGAGCAATGTCATACATTCTATCTTGAGCAATGAAGTCAGGCGGGTCAGGTAGCGGGGGGGTATCCATCATAAATGGGGTATTTTGGTTTGGTAAGGGTTGTTGCTGCTGCTGACGTGCCTGTTGAGGGTCTGCAGGAGGAGGTGTGATGCTAAACGCTCCGTGCGGTGGTAGGGTATACATGTGTTGGCCATGCAACGGGTCTAAAGGAGGTGGTGACGATGTGGTAGTTTGTGGGGATAGGGCCGGGATGGTTGGCTGATCTGGGTTTGCTGGGGTATCGAATATGTTAATTCGGAGCTTCTTAAGTTCTTTCTCAATCAAGCCAAGTGCAGTGTGTATGACTTGTCAAATGTTAGCTATGAGTGATGTTTAAAACATTAGTCGCCGAATGGAAACATACCTGGATTGGCAGCTTTTACGCGTTCAAGAGCTAGAATGCAGTATCTCAGTTTTTCTAAGGTTGAAGGAGAAGCATATTTCAATGCCTGAATCTCAAGGATGAAAATAGAAGCAGCCGTATATAAACTATATGCAAGGGAGAGGACGACATGGCTATCGCCAAAAGTGCGTCTAAAAAGGTCATAAAGAGATATGTTCGAGGATGCCGATGAGAGGCATTGGACCAAGTGGTTCGCATTGCTTGAAGCACTTGCTTTTGTCCTGAAAGGCCTAGAGCAGAGCATAGGGCGGTGTAGGAGGATATTGGTAGTGTGGTAAATGCAGCTAACAAGGGGTTAATAAGCGATGCGCTCAGGGGAATGAAGGTGGCTAGCTTACTTGAGAGTCACAACATGGCTTGGTGGGCAATATGTAGGAAGGTTATTGGGAATGAGCTTTAAGAACGGCGGAAGTTCATTCCACCATTTTTCGAGATTGGCTCCCTGTTTATCCACACAGTCCTGTATCTGCGCCTCCGTGCTTTGGCGAACAGGATCGTAGATATGGATAATTATTTGATTAAGTATTTCAGCCAGTGAACACATTTTCATGAAACATGACGTTGAGTGGGCCTGCGTCGGAGGGTAATGCATGCCCTCGGGGAATATTACTCCGTGAGGAGTCCATATCTCAATCTCCGCAGTATCATCCACTTCGTACACCATATTAGCTATGCGATCAGATGACAAGGAAGTCAACATAAACTTACAAAGAATCCGTGGTGGAGAGACTGGGGTATCCTGGATAATTGGGGATCGACCAAAGTACAATGACACCAGTTTGTCCCAAAAGTAGCAGCTCCAGAAGAGCCGATTTCTTATCTCAACATCTTCATCCGAGAACTGCACAGAACCAGAGTACTTCCGGCTATCGATGGTTATGCCCAAGTCTTCTAATAGGCGAAACGCCATCCCGCTGTATAACCATGCCTGAGTCCGATTTCCACGTCCACATTCCTGAGCGCTGAGAAGAAGAAGGGTTTGAACAACAGTGATTTGGCCATTTCCGCCTTTCAAGCTTTCAAATAAACCCGTAACGGCTCGTTGTCGGAATTGCTGGCCTCCGTCATATGCATCAAGCATACGGGCAATCTTCGGTTCGTCCCTGCACCACCGAAGTGAGTGGGAGAGAATTGCGTTAAGGAGTATTTCCGAAAAGTAAGGGCCATTCATCTTCATATCACCTATAAGATAATGCAAAATTTAGCATTTCAAGATGGAATAGCCCCTTACGAGGGTAGGAATGGGGCACATACGTGTGAAAGCTGGACGGTAGACGAAATTAAACAAAGGTTGTATCCAACACCAATGGGAATCTAGCAGGTAGTTGAATGGCTCCTATTTTGGGGCGGGTTAGTGAGTGAGTGGCTAGACATATCTCAACGAGAAAGGTCCCCATTGTGCCGAAGTCGGAGAAAGCTCATACTGGGATGGTAGTCAACTGCTCAAAAGCACGTTCTCTCCATGCATTGTTAATCAGACGCTCCTTTCGACCATCAGACTCATTATCGACAGGCAGAGTCGGGTTAACAGTCTCTGCCAAACCGCTCGGCAGCTGAAACAGACTTGTTGGCCCATGGAAAGAGATGCGCCCGTCATCTTCCACCGTTAGACCTTCAATATCCCGAGAGAGCAGATCAACTGATTCCTTATCATCTTCACGACGTTGCTCGAGAGAATCAATAGATGACGGTCGGTCTGATTCTTCGGTCTTCAGGCTCTGGTCCTGTTGCTCTGGGTCACCGCCATTGCGGTTCTGGGCCTCATTTCTATACTTTGCCAGCTCCGCCTCTAGTTTTGCAATGCGTGATTCGAGGGTTCGCGTGTACGACAGCGTTGGAGTTCTTCATATACCTATTAGTATTTACTTATGCGACGCTAGATGTCGTAACTGATAGTGTCAAAAGCTCACAATGTATATACGCAAGTTTCACCCCGCGCGGAACACCGCGAACATGACGGTGTCGCAGCATTACATTTTACCTGTAGAGCCGTAAGTTTCTCAGTCAAGTTAAACGATTTGGGCACGATCTATATAGTACCTTGCGCTTGCGACATGCCTCGCATGAGAAAGCGCTTTTTCGAGAGATTGACGGTTTTGACGAGTCAGACATGGGATCCAACAAGAGACGAGCGCAGCGTGAATCGGCCAGTGAGTGCGTGGCTCAACAGCCATCTCACGGGATCCGAGAGCGCTATTCGTGTTCCTGGTACCTGTTCGTAACCTGTCCGGAGAGCAAGCAACTTGCTATTCCATCTTGTATCTTTTATATCAAAATCCAAATATATATTTCAAGACGAGAACCTCTAACATGAGGCCTAATTCTAATTTCCGCGGGGCAAACCCGGGCCGGAGTTTAGTTTATCCTTAGCCGAGGTAAGCGCGGCGGATAAATGGTTTATCCATATCACATGATATTGCTCCCAAAGAGGAAGGCGATTAAGTCTATGGGGTCTAAAACGTATACTATTATACATAGAAAAGATCATTTTGTTATACATCGATATGGAACGACCAGAGCGCCGCAGATTATAGGAACCTTCTTTCGAGATCGACAAGCCAGGCGTGTACGTCGTCAACCTTCATCTTCATCTTTGCCGTCGTCCTTTCGCCGGGTTTCGCGGAGAGGGAGATGTCCCAGCAGGGAATGCCGTCCAGCAGCGCCTTGATTTCATCTTCAGTCTTGCCGCCAATCTGGCCGGACAAGTCGATATCTACCGAACCTTCGGCAAGATTCTTGGGTCCCATGATGAAGACGAGGTTGTACCTCGCAGCATGGGCGTCGTGGATCTTCTTGGGAAGTGATCTGCTAGCAAGATCGAGATCGACGTTGAACGTCGGCTGTAGCGGTGATAGAGGTAAACCAGTACTCGAAGGGTGAGTGGAAGTGATGGGCTCAAACCCTGATACCTTAGCAACCACGTCCTCTGCGGCTTGCTCTAGTCCCTTCCCGACGGTAAGAAGGATGGCTTGATGGGGTGAGAGCCAGAAAGGCCATTGACCGTTATATCGCTCAATCAAAAGCGCAAAGAACCGCTCAAGGGAGCCGAAAATTGCTCGATGGATCAGTACAGGGGTTGCCCTCCCGCCCGTAGCTGGATCGTACTCCTCGGAGCCTTCGGGAACCAGATACTCTAAGCCAAACCTTTGTGGTAGGTTCATATCCAATTGTATGGTAGATAGCTGGTGGTATTTCCCCTGGGAATCCTGAATCTGCAAATCAATCTTTGGGCCGTAGAATGCGCCGTCCCCTTCGTTAAGCTCCCAGCTGAGGCCGCTGTTATCCAGTGCCTGTCGAAGCTGCTGCTCGGCATTTTCCCATTGCTCCAAACTGCCGATAAAGTCCTTCTCCGGCCGCGTGGACAGGACAAGTCTGTATCCATCAGCAAGTCCAAACGTCTGGAGGACGGTATCCGCGAACTTCAACGCCAACTGTATCTCGCTGCCAATCTGACCCGGACGACAAAAAATGTGTCCGTCATCCTGGTGGAATCTCCTTACCCGCGTCAGACCTGAAAGTGAGCCGGAAACCTCATTGCGATGAAGAGGGCTGAAATCGGCATAACGGACAGGGAGTTCTCGATACGAGTGCTTCTGAGATTTGAACAAAAGGCAATGTCCAGGACAGTTCATAGGTTTTAAGCCATATGTCTCATTCTCAGTAGAGTCGCCGGTATCCCCTCGGCCTCCCACCTCGTACATATCATCCTTATAATTCTGCCAGTGTCCGGACACTTCCCATAGCGACTGTTTATAGATATTTGGGGTGAGGACTTCACGGAATCCGTACTGCCTGTATTGGGCGCGAAGAAAGGAGATAAGCTTGTTGAGGATATGAGTGCCATTGGGACGGAAGAGAGGGGACCCAGGGCTGTAAATGGAATTCGTAAAGAGGTCTTGAGCTGTACCGAGAGCTCTGTGGTCTGCCGAAGCTGTCGCGGCCGGTTTAATATCGGGTGTCTTCGTTTCCTGCTGTGCTGAGCATGAACAGAATCTGCTATGAACCGGCGACGCAGCAGTAAAGGCTGGCCGCCATCGACTTGTCTGGCAAAAAAACGACTTGCCGCCCCATCTCTGGGCCGCCAAAGGTAACCGCCTCATGAGGTTTCCTACTTCGTTATTTGATCTCGTCGGCCTTTCTCGTCTCTTCAAGTTTCTCCATCGCGAAGTTTTGCCTTTTTCCCGGCCCCTATCACGTGTATTTAACTAGTTAACCATCCCCAGGCTTTTGAGCCGCTTTTGAAGCCGAAGAACCAACGTCAAGAAAATGACGGAGACACAGAATGCAGATAACTAGAGCATCGAGAACTTCTATGACGCGTCGATATGAAGAGCAAGGAGGACATATGGTTACTCGCCCCTGAAGACTTTCCCTGTCACTGATTAAGACAAGAACCCCTCAGCTTACTGGACATCGTACCTCGGCTCGGGTGGCTAGTTATATAGAGCAGGCAACTCCTCCACCTCTTGATCGAATCAACACACTAGAAATTATACCCTGCCTGAGATTGTTACTGAGGTAAAGGCTCAATATCTGCTCTGAGAGAGTTGTTTCCTGCCACAGGATAGCCGATGTATCCAAGATTATAGTCGAAGCTACTTACGAAGGAAAGCTCCGTCCCATTTTACAAGAGTACACACACCCCCATATATATATATATATATATATACCATACCCCTAAGATAGATATACCAAGATGTCTTCATCCCTTCCGGAATCCTATGCGACACTACCAACTGAACACATCAAGCTCTCTCATGTCCCTGCTTCGTCCCCGGTCCCTACTCCAGTCTTACTGCTTACATTGAACCGGCCAGATAAGCTCAATGCCTATACAGAGCAAATGTCTAAAGAAATAGCCTCGGTATTCAAAATGGTTGATATTGACGACCGTGTGAGGGCTGTTGTAATGACAGGCTCAGGGAACAAGGCATTTTGCGCCGGTGCGGATTTAGATATTGGCTTCAAAGGGATGGGAACAGGGGGTGCTGCTGCTAGAGAAAAAGACCACAGAGACGGGTATGTATAAAAGTGCATCATATAACCAAATTATTGACTGTGGCTAATTTATAGGTGAAGTGGTGGTAGAATATCCCTGGCAATACATAACTGCCGAAAGCCAACCATAGCAGCTATTAACGGATCAGCTGTCGGTATCGGCATCACCATGGTGCTACCAGCAACAATCCGCGTGGCTACGGCAAAGGCAAAAATCGGCTTTGTATTTTCGCGTCGTGGAATTATCATGGAAGCTGTGTCTTCGTTCTTCCTACCAAGACTTATCGGCTACTCTCGTGCGCTCCACGTCACCACCACCGGTCTGGCATACCCGGCTGAACATCCTTTGCTGAAAGACTTATTCTCAGAGCTCCTCCCTACTCCGGAAGCTACTCTGGCTCGCGCTCTTGAGCTAGCCGATGATATTGCACGCAACACATCGACGATATCAACTTCACTGATGCGAGATCTCATGTACCGTGGTCCAGACAGCGCAGAGGCAACACATCTGCTTGACTCATCACTTATATACCCTCTTTTTGGTAACAGAGACAACGAAGAAGGCGTGAAAAGTTTCTTTGAAAAGAGAAGCCCGCAATTCAAAGGGTCGTTTAATAACCCGAAAGATGTTCCTGCCGCGTATCCCTGGTGGAACCAAGTTGATGTCTCCCCGCCGAAACTCAGCTCAAAATTGTGACAGATAGAGAAGCGTTCTTAACTTGTCTTCATCCACACAAGAGTATTTAGAGCAGATCTAGCGTGAATAATAGAATGATATTTTTGGCAGTGGCCACAAAATGCCTAACAACGGTGTATATTTTTAAGAAGAAATTAAATAGTAACACAAAGAGCAAATCCAAAAAGCCGGGGTGGGTCTATATACAGTCCATAAATCAGTCATATCCAGATCATAGACAAGCGTACGATTGAATTATCGTAGAGTAACCAACTCCTCCGCACTGGTAGGATGAATGGCTACACAAGAGTCGAAATCTTTCTTGGTGGCACCCATCTTCATTGCGACACCAAAGCCTTGCAACATCTCACCAACACCGAGGCCAAGAATATGCAAGCCAACGATCTTCTCTTCGGGTCCGGCACAGATAAGTTTCATCTCGGTCGGATTCTTCTCTTTCTCCTCAGCTGGGAAAACGCTGAAGAACATATCTGTGAATTTGGTGTGGTAGATCTTGAGGTTCTCTTTGCCATACTTTTCAATGGCCTCTGGCTCAGTAAGACCGGATGTTCCGACCTCAGGATGAGAAAAGACGACAGTCGGGATGTTTTCATATGAGAGCTTGGAGGACTTGAGCTCTGGAGGGCCAAAAAGGCGGTTTCCAAGTTGTCTGCCTGCAGCAATGGCGACTATTATAATAGTTAGTAAATGAAAGCAGTATAACAAGGCGGTAGGTGCATCTACATACCTGGAGTCAGCTCTGCCTGACCCGTTACATCGCCTAGGGCGTAAATTCCATCAACAGAAGTATTTTGGAACTCATCGACGATGATGTGGCCGCTGTCCTTTTGCTTGACGCCAATCTCCTTGAGACCCAGCTTTGAAACTGCTGGGGCACGACCAATAGCCCAAAGAAGCTCATTGACCTCCATTTCCGACCCGTCATCGAATGTGAGTTTGAGACGCTTTTCGGCGCCCTTTCCGGAGCTCAGCAGTTCAACCTTTTTCATTCCCGTATAGCCTCGGTGGAGGTGCATGCCGGTAGCCTCATAACGTTTCGTCATGGTCTGCTGAATCATGGGGTCAAATTTCCTCAAAAAGGTATCTCCACGGATGAACATGTGTGTCTCGACGCCAACAGTATTCATGACACCGGCCAATTCAACAGCAATATATCCGGCTCCAACCACTGCAATCTTGGGAGGCAGCTCTTCGATTTCGAAGAAACCGTCGCTGGTGATTCCATGCTCAGCACCGGGAATGTCTGGGATAATCGGATAGCCACCCACAGCAATCAGGATGTGAGGTGCGGTGACAGTTTTCTTTCCAGAACCATCCATCATATCAATCTCTATGACCTTGGGTTCGATGAACCTTGCAGTTCCCTTGACAAGATCGATTCCCTCACGGTTCCAGTTGCGCTCATAGATGCCGTTTAGCCGTTCAATGGTGGCATCTCGGGTGCGCTTGAAATAACCATAGTCATACTTGATGTTCTTGGGGACGTCATAGCCGTAGTGTTTGGCGTGTTCAAGGTGCTCGTTGATAGAGCCAAAGTTCCAGGTCATCTTCTTTGGTACACATCTGAATACACCATCAGCAAGCCAATTCTTCGTTGTCTTCTATAGGGTTAAGATATTTCATACCCAACATTGACACAGGTGCCTCCGGACCGTCCATTCTCAACAATCAGGGTCTTTGCCTTGTACCAGCCAGCGGCTCGTCTGGCACCACCGCTGCCACCGCTGCCACCTCCAATAACAATATAATCGTACTTCTCTACACCTTCCATATCAATTGGTGCCATTTTGTCCTGCGAAGAAGAAGAAGGAGGAGAAGCTGAAGATAGATGCCGGGCTATAGCTCCAAGGCGAGGTGTGGTCTGGGTCACTGCGGCCTTACTAGTCGCCAGCGTTCTGCCGCGAACTGGAAGAGAGGAGTATAAGCTGTTATGGGGCGCTTGTTGGATATGATACCGGCGGACAGAATATTGAGAAGTGGGCGAAACGGTAGCCGGCGGGATGAGGGAGTTTTTATGTGTAATGCAACGCCCGAGTCGAGACAGCAGCGTTGAAGCGGATGGCGGGGTTGGCAGGGAGGGCATGCCTTGTATGGCGGCGGGGGAGAGGCTAAGACGAGGACGAGTGGAAAGGAAAAAAGAAAAACGACCAGGATGGGCCTTGGGAGTCCCTGCGAGTTGTTTCTGGTCTTTGTTGTTTTCTTCTTCTCTTCCGCTGCTTCTTTTGCTCTGGCGGCTTTTCTTTCGCGGCGTTGCTTCTCTTGATTATTCAGCCGGCATTTTTTGGACGGGCCGAGGCTTGCTGAGTAAGCATAAATTACTAATTTACGGAATTAAAAATTTTCCGTGATTACGTCATATCCGACATTCAGCCGCTGACTCTTTCCAGGGCCTAAAGAGGAAACAAGAACGACACCATACGACAACATACTCAGGCCGTACAACTGTCAATTACTAACAATACCAGAAAGAATAGTTATCAAAGAGCAGTAGATAAGGGAAAGCCTATAGCGTTGCCTTAATACCCTAAGTTCCCCGGAGCTCTCGTCTGCAGAGAACACAGAGCAGTTATCATCCTGTACCTTCTTTGTTATGCTTCGTACTCCCTCATTTTCACCTTTAGCGATGTTATTAATCCTAGGCCAAAATAACACAACGGAATGCGCAATCTAGTTACAAGTATCATTCATGGCTATTCTCCCTTGAAGGTTCGGCCGACATTACGGCGAATTCGAGCCTGTCCCCATCCTTGGTCTACACTTTTCTCCCTTATTTAGCCATTTCCGCTGCGTTATTCTCTGCCACACTCATTTCTCTCCGTGGAAGAGATTGAAAAACATCCTGATATTCATGATGAACGCCAACCAGGAATTCGGGAGCTCTACAACATTCCAATCTACCGCATGCGCGACACGCCGCTCTGTTCGCTGTATCGACTTCTCGAGGATCTCCGTGCCTCCGACTTCATCATGTTGGGTTACGAGTGCACCTACTCCTTCTTCCACTGCGAACCTCGCTGGTCGTTGGTTTGCATCCCAGATCCTCGTGATGAGGATTCCATCCGGTATGCTATCCTTGCCAGCATGGTGGAAGCGCTGGTAGACGCGTTCAATTAGAGGCTAGAGCATAGGATTCGCCGGGCTAATACAACTGACAAATCCGAAGAGCGGAGTTTCAACTTCAAGAGGGAGGAGGCTCCGATCTGGACGTCAAGGGTTGGCGCTGTTGTAGAGCCTCTGGCTTTTCGTGAGATCGGCTCAGATTCACCCGACATGACGATGAAACAGCATTTCCTGAAGAGAAATATCAGAGTGCCGAATGGATATTTGTACACAGTATAATACCGAAGATGGACCGAAGATTTACGGGATGACTATTGGATAGTTCGAGTATTAGGCTGGTTTATCGACATGCTACACGCTGCATGTTAGTAGCATAGGACCCGCAGCTCGCAACAAAGTGATACGCCTAGGGTAGTAATAGCACCCAAGGCCATTCATATTAGGTTGGAATGTCGAATCGACTGAGAAATGAGGCTGACTGGGGTTTGATATCGGATAATGGCTAGTAAGAGAGTGTTGAGAGGCTGTCAATGATCTACAATATTTAGTTATAACTCGTATTCGTGCATAACATCCTAACTATATGCACTATCTCTCCTTACAAGCCTGTTTGCTGCCGTCCCATTTTCCATAAATACACGAAGAAGCAACTATTGGGGTATGGGGTATGGGGTACAGGCTCGTTATGATGCATCCCGTCCGCCTATTACTTGGGTTATCCTTACTGTCCTCCACAAGACATAGGATAAGCAACTCTGTATATTATGTCTGCCTCAAGTTTCAGAAGGGGTATCGCTAGAGAGAAGCGTCCACTTTGATTGGTGTATCTAGGAATCGCCTCTAGCTAACATACGTGGTCTGACGACCTTGAGCTGTGCTCTCTCAGACCTAAGCCAACATACGAGCCTAAGAAAGTACAAGAGGTTATATAGTATATCTTATAAAAGTAATTACCCTAATTATTAAGGAATTTTAAGTGTATCTCTATAGAATATCACCTAAATCTAAGAATATAGTATCATATAGATATAAAATAGATATAAGCTATAGTAAATATTAGGTAAACATAGATAAAGTTTAGATCTAATATTAAAGAGTGGTGGTTTTGAGGAGAGTAGGTGACCATCGTTATACTTCGACTGCCGGTTTTTTTTTTGGATTGGATGTCTCTCTTATTTCACCATCATGTCGAATAAAGTCATTCCTTCTGGAGAAGAAGAGTGGTATCGTGTTTACAAACCTGAACTTGACACGGCTGCTTTTGATCCGCTTGACCCAGAAAAGAGATACCACGAAGGTGTACTTGTCGAAACCAGTCCAGGTTCCGGGAAAGAAACCCTATTCCACGTTACGGGCGATATCATTGCAGCCAGTGGCATGCATTATGAGGAGCGAGCATTTGATCGAGAACAGGAATCAGCATACCTTCACAGCTTTGAACAAATCGGACGAGTTCTACAAGCAGACTTTCACTCAGGGAAAATAAGTGCTATTTTAAAGGAACTGCCACGGCCAACCAAGCAACAGGGTATTAATTTTTGGGAAGTTGATCCCACCACTGGGCGTCATGAGATTATTTGGACGAGACAGGATGGAGAACGGTACGGGCCTGACGAGCAACGACGTCCTATCTTCAAGTGTAACGAGTGGACGCGTCAATATGCAATTCCGGCCTTGCGGGAGGCAGGCATTTTGCTCGATTGCCTTTAGTTAGAGGGAGGAATTTGGGTGTTTATGTTTGGTATGGACCCTGGCTCAAACCGGTGCACGGAATGTTCAGAATCGTGCTAGCCACCTCCAGGCCGAAGCCATGCCAGCTATTAGACATTGGGAAGCTAGATATGCATGCATAATCATTAGGTACTCCAGCATATAAACATTCCATATTGACTCACCATCAGCGTTTAACTACCTCTCAACTCCCAACCCTTCATTTCATTTCTACCTTGCTTACCCAAAAAGTGTCCGGACAAGCACGAATTCAACCAGTTTCTAATTTTCTAGTAACAATCTTAAAAGGGTTAAGGCCTGGGTTGTACAAAGGCTTTGCACAGAGTCTAGGTCATATATTGAACCGTTGCCAATGGCACAAAACTGGCCGTTTTTCCGATAAGGGAAATAAAGAATAAAACTGCCATGAGGAAGCTTACAATCGCTTTGTCTCACCCTTTCGTATTCATCTGGCCATCCCAGCATCATTTTTAAGTTCTCGACTAGCAGTTTGGTAGCCAGGAATGAAAAGAGGTGGCACAGAGGTCAACATGAGTAGTTCAACTCTTATCTAACAGACTACGTGTATCCTATCATGCTAACAATCCGAGAGCAACCCACCCATGGGACTTGAAAACTTACCTATACGTCTTTCCTTTACGTAATCTAGATATATTTTCTAGTTATGTCAATCACAAATAGCCACTCCATCTTCAACAATAGCAGCTAAGTTTCTCTCCTTGTGCCAGATAAATAAGGCGGCAAAGAATGATTTTCCCGCGGAAAATACCTACCCGTTCACCTATAACATGACCTTTTCAGGTGTCTTGGCATCCCTTACGTAGGATCAATAAGTGAGGCGCTTTCAGCAGCTGCAAACGTGTCGAATATCTGATCTACATCAACGTCGGGCATTTATTCAAACAGGAAATCGAGCTTGGACTTACAAGCTTAAGTACAATGACGTCACAAGGCTGACGTTGCGAATCTTGGTGGGACAAGAAATTGGCTTCAACCGACGACATCTGATTGGCTCCATTGAAGCTGTTGAGAGGTAAGCGCCGAGGATCCACAAAAGCTTGTTTCTAATGACCCCACTTACACGCCCGTGCCGCCACCATTAAGAGGCTTTCACATGTCAAGTTCTCGGTCAGGGATTCTCGGGATCAGCGTATGTGGGCATTAATTGACCTACTATACTCCATATGTAAAATCCTACAAATCAACTGTTTGATATGTTGAGAGTACCTAATTACGCAATGCGAATAAAGTAAATAGATAAATTAATATTCCTACAAGCATGTGAACTGGTGATAGCAGATACCCTTGAATACAACAGGCCCCGTACCATGTCAGCTGGCTTGGGAGGATATGGGTGCCTGATTACTTTGATGCAAATAACAGTAGGAACCCAACAGAAGAGTGAAGGGGGGGCGGGGGGGCGTAACTACCGTATCAAGAGGATGGGAAGATAAGGAGAGAGGTAGTAGGGAGGAGGGATGGTCCTTGATTCATTGGTTTGGGATGTTGGTATTGATATACTATGTATGTAACTAATGGATATACGGGGTGTCTTTTATCTCCTTTTCTTTTTTCTTTGGTAGTCATGCTTTATAAATTGCTGGCCTCCTTCGATGTAGCTTTGATACATGGTGGCCAGCACCCGTATCCTCTCATATGCATTGCTGGCAGGGGGAGTGGGTAGAGATGGTGTGGAATAGGGGTAGAGATTTTATGATGTTATGTTATGTGGTGTGTGATATGTGATGAGCGCATGGCTCCAAGTTTGGATAAAGGTAGAGAAAAGAAGTCAAACTAGATGTTGTTTTTCGAGTAAAGGGCTTTTAGGCACAGCGTCCAGTGCGACGGCGTGCAAAGCGGGCCGTTCCTTGCCATTAACTTGGCCTGTTCTTCTTCGTTCAAGAGCATCCCGAACCCACGCGGCGACTTCTTCATCGTAGGTGTCTGTGTTATGATCGGGTGCATCAGGAACCTTGACTTCGGTGGGTTCTGCTGATCCTGTAGCTTCGACTGCTCCCGCTGCATCTGGTGCAGCGGTTGGGGGTTGCATGAGCTTTCTCACCCACACATGTCGAATGAGGTTTGCGTAAGTTGGTCTGGCAGCGGGGTTTTTCTGCAAGCAGCTTGCGACGAAGTCTTTTGCTTCGGGGGAAAAGCCTTCATCGGGTAGAGTTGGTGGGTCCCCATGCACAATTGCCTAACAGGTACATGTTAGCTATATAGATCCATTAAAAAAATAAAAAAAAAAAGAGAAACGGAAAGTTTAATAAAGTGACAAGACATACGTTGAGCTGACTGAAGATGTTGTTGTATGTTTCAGGCGGGTAAGGGTATCTGCCAATTGCGCATTCAACAATGGTCAAGCCCAAGCTCCAGATATCAGACTGAACGCTGTACGTGCCTCCACCGGCGTTACCAGGGTGTCCGCCACCGGCGATACGTTCGGGAGCCATGTAACTCTGGCAGCCAATGTTTGTCTTTGCAATGCTTGCAACAAGGTTTCCGCTGACACCGAAGTCGCAGATCTTGATCTGTCCACGCGTATTGACGAGGATGTTGGTTGGTTTCACGTCTCGATGGATGATGTTGTGTTCGTCCTTGAGACACTTGAGACCCATGACGGTAGACAGCGTGATTTTGCGTAAGATGTTTTCAGGCACGCCGCCCCCGTAGACTTTTTCCATGGATCCACCGTCCATGTACTCGACGCAGATGTAGACAGCACCTTCCTGGAAGAAGGCGCCGTAGAAATCGATGATGAAGGGTGAGACACAGCGGTGCAGGATGTCGAGTTCCATGATGATGGCAGTGAATTTCGCTTCGTCGAGCTCGAGCCGAATCTCCTTCATGGCCATGATGACGTTTGTAAGATCACCCTTGTCCTTTTTTATGTTTGAGTTTGTATCGGGAGAGTCAGAGGTATTATTATTGTTGTTGTTGTTGGTATTGGTATTGGTGTTGGCGTTGGCGTTGTGGTTGTTGTTGCTATCTGGCAGATTGCCTACTGCCATGGTCCCCTTCAAGCCGAGACCAGGCCGTCGTAGTTTAGGCCGACAGTGCCGTACTCTGTAGACAGTACCGTAGTTCCCCTTTCCCAGCTCGCTGAGAGACTCGACTTCGTCCAGGGATATGCTGAAACTCTGGCCCGAGGAGAAATCGATGCCTCCGCCATGGATGATGGCCTTGTTTTGGAAGTTGATAGTGCCAGCTTTTGTGTCGATGAGGTCCGAGTACTTGCTAAAAGCTGAGACGGGCGCATTCGACGACTGCGAGGAGCCGGTAGCCTTTGAAAGACCAGCTGAGCCCCCGTTGACACCACCACTACCAACACCACCGCCACCAGAGCTGGCGTTTTGTGCACCGGGAGCCGCACCGGGAGGCTGTCCGGTGACGTTTGACAGTTTCATGCCGCCTGCCATACCTCGCTTGGCAGCCAGGCCTCCTCCGCCCAGTTTGGGAGTAGGCGTACGCCCCATGGGAGCGGCCGCTGCACCGCCCTGAACTGCTGACGGCGGAGACCAGGGAGTTGTAGGCTGGGGGGAAGCTATGGGCAGGCCGGGCAGCCTGTCGTGGCTGTTGTTACCGTTGGCGGGAGCACCCTGGCGGGAGAGGGAGAAGGCCTTCATCTTCTCCTGGATATCCTGGGTGAGGCCACTGGACTGGCTTACGCGAGCCGGCAGGGGCCCAGGACGGCGGGCAGCGTTGACATGGCCAAGCGGAGTGGAGGAGGGCGTCATCATGCCGGACGTGGTTCGTAGGGAGGATGAAGTTGCCGGCATGACCGGCAGTCGAGGACGGCCTTCCGCGATGGCCGTCATGGCAGGAGCAGGAGAAGTAGCGGGTGCAGATGCAGATGTGGGTGTTGAGAATATGCCAGAGACTGTGGCTGCTGTGGCAGAGGCTGCGGTTGTGGTTGTGGTGGTTGTGGTGATGGCTGTGGCAGAGGCAGAGGCAGAGGCAGACGGTGTATCTGCAACAGCACCGTCGAGTCCCGGCATCCCGACACCTTCGCGCAACTGGTTGCTCTCGTCCATCTCTTGCTCCTTGTTCTTCTTTGTTTCCTTTTGTTCCCGTCGTCTCCTTATCTCGTGTTGTCTCCCTGGCTTCTGCTCCCGTATCTCACGTAGGGGGAGGGGAGGAGGGGAGGAGGAGGAGGCGGCCGCAACAGCACACGCTTAACGGTCCATGAGACGCCGGCGGAGGATGCAGAGGACAGAGTCAGCGTAGAGTCGACAGTCGAGGGACACGCATCAGCCAGGTCAATCTTCTTCTTCTTCTGCTGCTGCTGCTTTCTTTCTTTTTGTACCGGTGTGGCTTGTTTGCGGCGGGATGAGTGGGATGGAAGTTCAGGATGTTTTTTTTTTTGGCTGGTCAAGGTCAGGGTCAGGGTTAAGGGCAAGCAGCGTCGGTAGAAGCCCTCTGGCTATCTGTCTAACCAGTCGAGGTTGAAGTCGAGGTTGAGGCCATGCATCAGACACAATATATAAGTGTCGAGCCAACCGTCGGGCCTTTTACTTTAACTGTGGAAAAAGCGAAAGGGGGAAAAAAAGCCCAAACCCGCCGGATCATCTTTTCCTCGCAGCCGAAAGAGGCCAGCGTTTTCTTAACTCGCTGCCCAAGTGCTAAGTTACATTGTAATAGTCACGCATCTACTGGCTTCGCGTTCTACGTTGCCACCAAGGGACCGAGGGATAGCACATAGTTAAGAGCCCTATCAGCCCTGCAACGCCGGGACCTGATTTGCTGGGGGCGAGCTACCTTTGTCGAGAACCTGGCAATAGCCTAACTATGGGGAATGTGTAGATGGAGTTCCGGCAACGATGCTGGCAGCGCGCAGGGAACGGGGATGTCTCTATACGGAGCATTTAGCATGTGGCAGCCAGCATGTAAGTGTCTGGCATATGTGTCTAGTGTCGAGATAGGCAGGTACATGTAGTTAAAGGTTGGTCTACCAAGTCTGGGGAAGAGAGTGAAACGCCTCTTTCAACGGTGGTGGAGATATAGATAGGACTTTGACCGCCGGGACGGAGTAGTTAGTTACATAGTTATGCGTGCAGTGAAGCTGGCTGGATAGAAAGCCACGCGGCGTTGAGCCACAGCGTCTTCGTATTTTATGCGGATCTGGCAGATAAGTAGGCGAGCAAACAGGTAATCAGAATGTTGCTGCCTGAGGGAGGGAAGGGAAGGGGGCCCAGGCTGTCCCAAGGGGCTTGAATGTACTGCTTCTGTTGGCTGGAGACGATGCCGGCTGTAGGGATAGGGCTGGCATGCCGTCTCACACAGTGTCAATCTCTGACTTCTCTCTCCCCGGTCTCTTGACTCTTGACTCTTGACTCTTTAACTCTGGTCTCTTGAATCTTGAATCTTGGACGGTGGCGAGTGGCGTTCGTTGTGTTAGTTACAGAGTCGGCTTGACTTTGGCAGCCGCAGGGAGCTGCAGATGGCAGTTGACGGGGATGCAGATGCAGATGCAGATGGAGCTGGAGACGGAGACGGATCGAGGACAGGCGAAGGCCGATGATGGAGCAGGAGGAGGAGGAGAAAGACGGTGTCTTCCTCGTCTTCCTTCTCTTCCTCCTCAACGTCTCTCATCGTCTTCGTCTTCATCTTCTGTGTCGCTCGTTGGTTTCAATTTTTCACTCTCCCGGACGAGCCAAGGTCTGGGCACAATCGCGAGCCACAGGCATGATGTTCTCGCCCACTGTGATTGGCGGGCAGCCACCATAGCTCCCATGCACCCTGATTGCCGCGCAGACCAAGAAGCAACCAGCGAACAGCGGCTTGTCGATTTATTCTGATCTCGACTGGATTCATGGGAACTAGCAGTCCTCGTCGGGGCTCTTTGGTCTTATTTTGAGCTTTTATCACTCACTATTCTTGTCACTGTCTTCTTCTTCTTCTTCTCTCCTTCTTCTTCTGCATAGTTTCTCTCTGGCCGGTGGCATCTACATCATCGCCATCACCATCGTCATCGCCATCGACAGACAGCCGGAGAGAGCAGAGAACAAGAGAACAAGAGAACGAGAACAAGAGAGACGAAGACCAGCCGCAATGCTATCGCCGCAGTCGTTCGAGCGAGCAAACGCCATGTCGATGCTGGCAGACAGCTCGTCCGGCGGCGGCCCTCACCCGTCCATCCCCCATCTCGCCCTGCTCGTCTTCGAAGCCGTCCTCGAGGTCGTCTGCGTCTCGCTGCCCGGTTACATCATCGCTCGCATGGGCATGTTCGACGCCGAGTCCCAGAAGTTTGTCGCCAACCTGAACGTCATGCTGTTTACGCCCTGCCTGATCTTCACCAAGCTCGCCTCCCAGTTGACCGCCGGCAAGCTCGCTGATCTAGCCGTCATCCCGGTGCTCTTCACCCTCCAGACGCTGGTCTCCTATACTTCGGCGATGATAGTGTCCAGATGTTTTGGTTTCAGGAAGAGACAGGCCAACTTCGTCAAGGCCATGGGAGTAAGTCTTTTGGAAGAAGGAGGACGGACACTTGCTGTGGCTGGCTGAAGCGAGCAGAGAAGAGTAAAAAGAGCGAGAATACTAACAAACGCAGGTCTTTGGCAATTCGAACTCCCTTCCGATATCTCTGGTCATCTCCCTATCGAAGACGCTGTCCGGCCTGCACTGGGACAAGATCCCAAACGACAACGACAACGAAGTCGCCGCCAGAGGAATCCTCTACCTGCTCATCTTCCAGCAGCTGGGCCAGGCCGTCCGCTGGAGCTGGGGATACCACGTCCTCCTCGCTCCTCGGGAAGCCTACCTGCGTGACGAGGAGGAAGCGCCCATCAATGCGGCAGACAGATACCGGGATGACCCCGAAGACGGCGGCGACGATAGTAGTAGCGTAGGCAGATATCTCGATGAACCAGAGGACCTGGCTCGCACCGCAGTCAACAGCGGACAGACCACTCCTCGATCGACACGTTCGGAAGACGACTCCTCGCCCTTTGAATCCGGCTCGCAGACGCCCGTATACGAACGA